AAACAAACTTTAGCAGGGCTGTTTAGTTGGCAGGGAATGGATATATATATCATAAATGCTATACTCATTAAAAGTCATATTTGTTGTAGTTTGACTTATGTGTCAATAAAGTTTTTTGCAATGAAGAGCGCGTGAGCCTGGACGGTGACTGGTGTATTCAAATGTGATATGTCATCAAAGCTAGGCCTAAGGAAGCTTCTAAAGTCTGCACTGGACCTACCTCACATTACAAATTCCAAGAAATGTAGTCAACTGATTGTCATTCAATTTCCAAGAAGCATGTGCCATATATGGAAGTGTTACTACGATTTATCAATGAAACAAGCCTGGTTCTCATTGCTGACATCGAAGTATATTAATCTCAATGGTTTACTGGTGTAACTGTATGCAATCTAGATTGCCAGTCTGGGACACTAGCAAAAGATTAGCCAATGAAATATTGTTACATGATCTCATGATTACATTCTTGTGAAACCTGAATCAGTTTATTTTGTGTGTGCCACTTGTCCACGGGCATGCTAGAAAACGTATATATTACGTGCCCGACATCTAAACCTGACTTGGCACGGGCGTCGGGCAATGGTATTTCTTAACCCTTGTCCCTTCAACTTTGACACAACGGTGTTTGACTGCGTGTCACTGTTGTGAGATTGGACCACAAAGAGTGAAAATGTTTTGAATACACTCAGAAAAATATATATGCCCAAGGTGAATGATAGTATGTGAGTAAATACTCAATGGCTGAAAATATTATCTGGAGCAATGATCAAGGGTTGAAAATTCTTTCAGAATCCTCTGCTCCCATTCATTTTTGTCATTACTTCATAATTTGTCCTGATTTAAGAATACTGTGACCTTGAAATACTGTATTCGATGTAATAAGCACCCAGGGCGGTCTCAAAATTAGAAATATTATTAGAATATTATTTTGGTGTAAAAAAAAAAGTTGAAAGATAAATTTTGTGGTTTATGCTGACAGCCTGAAATGTTTATATCCGACATAAATATTTTTTCCGAATTTATTAAATTGTCCATAATTAATGGTGCATATAACACACGAGTGCATATTATACGCGAATAAATAAGTCTTGTGTACATTGATCAATTAGAAGGGGTGCTAATTGGAATTGTTCACTAGCCAATATATTAGCAAATAATGTCAAATATGGTACATCAGACTTTGCTGTATGCAAATGGACAACTTTACATCTTGAGTCATCTAAGGTGCCGCGATTCGCTGTGCAGAGTTGCGTCCCTTGGGCGCGCCAGAAACCTATGATTGTTGGTTCGAATTCGGTTCGCCCCAATTATGTTTTTAGGTCTGTCAGCACCATACCCGTGCTCGTGGGTTTCACCAAAGTGGTAAACGTCTGAGACCTGCATCACTTCGTGCTTTCCTCCCACATTAAGCTGACACGCCGCAATATAACTGGAATACTGTTAAAAGCGGCATTAAACCAAACTCACTCACTCACTCATCACATAAACACCAAAATTCTGAACAACGACGGACTGTTCTGACAGGTGTACAGTACTTCACATGAACTCAATGTTGACAGGCCGAACGCATGCGTTCTCAAGTCGGCAGCTTTGATGACGTCACACCTCTCCCTATAATGTGACCAACCAATATCATAATGGTTGTTCGAAAATAGGTGTCTATCGAAAATAGGGTACTAGACAATATATTTATTTAAAAAATTTGCTGACCTCCCAATCACTTTTTTCAGTATTATCATCCATAAATCATAAAAAGTCACATCGGTAAAGTTAGGGGTGTATGTCATGGCAAACTGAAAATTGTAATTTTTCAAATTAAAATTATTTTTTTTTAAATTATTTAGGTACTGGTCATTATAATAGAGGGGAGGGTATCATGAAAAAAGGTTACATGTATTTTAGGGGTGGGTCAGGAAACTATGTCGCAGGTTAAATTTTACTGATCTGTTATTTATCAATTATGTCACCAACTTTTTTCCATACCTAATATTGACTTGAAAAGCCCACCTTAACTGTGGTCTGTGAGGTACATCCTGGGCCCTGGCACCTGAGATGCATTCAATAAGCTGTTTGGTGCCGAGGCGCCAGCGAGCGCTAGCGAGCACCTCCGAATATTTCCAAATGAACGAAACGCACGCTGAGAGCGCTTCCCAGCGCCTCCGCACAAACTGAGAAGGAGGCACAAAGATGGCGGACTTGGACAAATGCAGGGCCTGTGAACATTAACTTTTCGACATGGAACAACTTGTAAGACATACAAGCACTCAGTGGTGAAGTTTGATACCACCACATTAGATATAACATTTATTGGAAGACTTGTCACTTGTTCAAACCAGGAAAACCTAATTGTTTTAGTTGCATTTTGAAGCCCCCCTTTGAAGCGAAATCTCACTCAGTGTCAAGTGTCACTGACATTTGGCTGTACGCAATTAGCGGCGAATCAACACAATCACAGTCTATATTTTTATTTTCCTATGTTAAACAAGTTGGTAGGATTACAAGAGCTTGGTCCAACGTATATCACGATAATGCCATAAAATAAAGTTGTGTTATCTAATCGGTGACCGTCTATCTAACAGTAATGTTATTGTATCTTTATTCTAAACAATAAAACTTTACATACACAATGTTCATCAATATTGCTAAATTACTCCATTTTGAAAACCTGCCCTCTGCCGGCGGCAGTTGACACATCGTCCGATTGCACCCGAACATCCGCGGAGAGCGCTAAGTAAGTGCTCAGAAAGCGCCTCGGCCTACTGAACGCATGCCCGGGCCCTGGCACATGCAGTCCAGGACTCTTCCATAGCCAAATAAAACATCAGCTCAGTGTACAGACTTTCTTGTTCCTGTGACTACTATGAGACAGTCCTATGTCTCAACCCCCCACCGGGTCGCCCACCCACCCTATATTAAATGGACCTGTGAAGATTCCGGGGTAGAATAGGTCTTCAGCAACCCATACTTGCCGTAAAGGCGACTATGCTTGTCGTAAAAGGCGACTAACGGGATCGGGTGGTCAGACTCACTGACTTGGTTGATCACTTGATGCATGTCATCGATCCCAATTGCGTCAATCGATGCTCTTGATATTAATCACTGGATTGTCTGGTCCAGACTTGATTATTTTACAGACCGCCGTCATATAGCTGGAATATTGCTGAGTGCGGCGTAAAACATCAAACCAACCAAACCAACCAACTATATTAAATGACCAGTCACTAAATGAGGCTGATTCGGGGGTTTATGGATGGGGGGTTCAGGACTCAGTTATGTGTAATGCGGGATGCAAATGCATCCGGTACATGGATTCAACGTTTGAAAAAAGAATAATGGCCTACATAAAAATAGCCTCTAAATTTTTTTATTTTTTTATTTTTTCAGGACTTTAACTTCAAATTGCACCCTTGCTTTTGAGATTTGTGTTAAATAGTAGTGGGTATTCAGGGGTTAGCAATTAGGTTCAGAGTCAAAACTTTGGATTCAGGATATGGGGTTTGGCACATTCCTTATTTAAAAGGTAGACTGAAAAAACGTATGTTTGAAAAACTAAACTAACATGTGTTTTGTAGGTTCAGATACATGGGTAATAGGTGTTATATTCATTTGATAGATAAGTTAAGAACACTGCCACTGAATTGTAAACAGCCTTATCAGCCACACTGTGTGTAGGTTGACCTGAGTTATGCAATGTACATGTCTGGCTGTGTGATGTAAGCCTTTAAATCCAGCATATTTTACATAAGCATGATCTCCAAGATGAAATGAACAAGGTTGATTTTATAAGGTTTCATTTGTGATGGTTGCTAGGAATCAATATCCAGAGATATGTGTAGTGTTTCTCTAGTGTTTGAACACACTGAGTTTTGTGTGTTTAGGCTCTGGCACAGGGTGTTCTTTGTCACACAGTTTGAACGAAGAGTTCATGCGAGTTTTAATATTTTTTGCTGTTTGTTTGATAGTAAATTTGGTAATGTAAATCGTTAACTTATTTTTTACAATGAAAAGAATGACAAGAAAATGTACTACTTTATGGATAACAACTCGTGGTTTATTGCATATAATATATCACTCCAGCTTGATAACGGTGTAAGAATATACATCGAGACATCACTAAATGCATAAGCAACAAGTTGTTATTCATAAAGTTGTATGTTTTCTAACTTACTCGCCAACTACTAAAATGCTAATCAAACAGTTAGTAAGTAATATATCTATCTGTAAGACGTCAATGTGGGTGTATTTTTTTATTTGTAGTATCAGAATTTTATTTTCATTTTTTAATTATTTTTTTAATTTGTAGTATCAGAAATGTTGGCGTGGGCCCAGTGATGCTTTTGAAAAATAAAATTGGTACCAGAAAAAACTACAAAAAATATTGTTTATTAAAATATATTGTGAAAAAAAAAGGTTCAGCTCTTCCTTGCGATACGTATCACGATATATTGTATAATTCTAAATTTTGAATTCCGAAACATCTGAAACATCAGTGTATGGATGGAAGTTCAGAAATAGAACAAAAAGGGATGCTGGTACAAGGAAATATGTACTCATTTGATAAATATGCAGCCATCTTGGGGCCCTTGATGCACGCTCAGTGGCAGTGAAGTGAGTGAGTGAGTGAGTATGGTTTTATGCCGCTTTTAGCAATATTCCAGCAATATCACGGCGGGGGACACCAGAAATGGGCTTTACACATTGTACCTATGTCGGGAATCGAACCCGGGTCTTCGGCGTGACGAGCGAACGCTTTAACCACTAGGCTACCCAACTGCCCTGTGGCAGTGAAGCTATTTGGCAAGTGTATTACATGAAACACATGATAAAAGTCTCTATTTCAACTCACCCGATATACTGAGCATGAAAAACAAATCATATTGTGATACGTATCGAGTAAAGAATGAACCTCAATTTACTGACATACCGGTAATACCGTGCACCCTAAATCTTTACACATAATTACAACTGTGAATATAATTTTTTTTTTTTTACTTTTATAGATGATTTCATTGGACAAAGTACCCAGTCATTTAAAAGAAAAATGTGGAACAAACAGTAAAACAACAGTTAACAAAGTCAGATAAACAATATGTCTGTTTCTGTGGAGACCCCCCAGGACAAGGATCCTCCAACTATGCCTGGGTCAGTGCCTGAATGTGTCACCAACAACCCTGACCAGTATGACCCCACGGCGCTGGCCGGCATGTTGAAACTGACCTCCAGACTCGACGCCAGCAACAATTCAATCAATGAAGCTGAAGAAGTCAATGACCAAGAGGTCGATGACCAATCAGTCCTTGCCTTTATCGATGAGCTGTCAATGGAAAAGTATGACGCTGATGAGGAAAGCGATTATGATGTTGACACAGAAATGGACAGACATCAGGATGTTGATGAGGTCTTTGAAGAAATAAAGGAGTCAATTTCTAGGAATTTAGAAAGAAAAGATTCGTCTGTGTCACACTTGAGTTTGTCATCTTCAAACAGTGAGGGTCAAGTCGTGAAAATATCAGACAACTTTACCTCAATTCCGTACGGAATACAGCCCAGAGCTACGTACGAACATGGCAAGAAGAGCTCCGATATTATGGGAGGTGAGTATTGCTACAATCCAGTACAATCCAAACACATTTATTTTTACTCCTGCTTTTCTTACAAGCTTTGAAAACAAGAAAAATAAGCGGCCTGTCATAAATACTCGAAAAATGATATACCAGGGATCTGTAATTCATCCAAAAGAAAAATAATGATAAAGGCTTTTTGTGGCCCATGAGATATGCATAATTTAAGAAATAAGCAAAATTGTCAGAAATGGACGTTACCAGGAATGTTCGTATGAATGAGTACTAGACTTTGTTAATTTAAACACTTGCACACTTTAATTTAGACTAACAGCATCAATAAATATGGAGAACAGGGGTCAATTTAACGGCTGGCCCATTGGCCTGTGGCCAATAAAATTTACAAAAGGATTGCTGAAACATTAAGTAGATTGCCTGTCTGGCTTGTCAAAATTTCCACCTTCTCTGCATATGTTTAATTTTTTTTATTGGACACTGCTCGTGAATGTTGTAAGTTCAATGAGAAAATATTTTGTAGGAATGAGGTCGTGTGAATGGTTTACTTAAAGATCATCTCGATAGAATGACACAACTGGCAGCCGTTTTGTAATGTTCTGTACAACATCTTTATTTGATAATAAAATCGCCGCGAAATGAGACGAATGGATTTAATCTCAGAGTGTAGGAAATGATGTTTTAGGGATGAGGAGTTCTCAAATTCTGGAGCCCCCTGGGTAACTCAGTCGTTGCCTCCAACATGTAGTTTGGGGCCAGTAAATTTGGAGAAGGGCCAGTAACTTTTGAAAGGAGCAAGCCCTGCTGGCTACATACAAATTTGTTGTTAAATCTACCCCTGTAGACAGTAGGCTTAAATGTGCTTAAAAGGCTGATTGTAGAGAATTTCATGAAGTCTTGACCCAAACTGACCTTCTCAGAATAAGACAACTGAAAACATTTGATGGGCATATTGTGACTTAATCCTATTTAGATTTTCTAAACTAAGGATATAACGAACTCAAAGGGACCACTAATATTAATTCGTTATATACGTTGTTCGTTATAAGGAAAGGCAAATGGACGGGATCAAGAAATAGTTGGTTATATCCGTCATTTCATTATACCGGTTAGTGTGTTTGTTATAAACATAGTTTACTGTACTTGATCATGTAAAAAAGAAAGCAGATGTCAACCATTTTATTTTATTTTGATAATTTCCATCCCAGTTTGTAAATTTAAGACTCAACTTTTCCAGTGGGCCAGAGTCTTCATCGTACCTCATCCTGTGATGGTTCAAATTTCTTAGTGACAGATGTCTTCAAGTCAAAAATAACCAAATAGGAAACATGATGAATTGTGTGTAAAGTGCTTGTAAATGATTTCAGTAACTGTTTGAAGGAATCGATCATGTTACATAGTTTGAACACTGTATTTGTTTACCCCCTGTCAGTGTCGTACAATGGGAGGATGAGGCAGTTCATCATCCTGGATGCTAAGGGGGTGATCGCCTGGAAGAGGGATGCTGTGGACGCCAGAGGTTTGTTTGTTAATTTGTACTTGTTTATTTATTTGTTTGTTTATGCCACAGTCAGCAATATTTAAGCTATGTCATAGGTAGGGCTGGCTAAAAAGATCTTTAACCGGAATTATCATTGATGGGAAGAACTATCATTGATATGAAATTGTTGTCATCGATAATAACTTACGTAAACTATTGTGATGAAATAAAGTTTAGGTTTACTGAAACAGACAATAATGTCAATTGTTGAAGACGGAAAGCAACTGGTTTTTTTTATATCTCAAATGTCCTCAAAATAATCCATGCATAAATGTGCCACTGCTCACCAGTGGCGGGGCGGTCGGGTAGCCAAGGGGTTAAAGCATTCGCGTCACGCCTGAGACCCGGGTTCGATTCCCGACATGGGTACAATGTGTGAAGCCCATTTCCGGTGTCCCCCGCCGTGACATTGCTGGAATAAAAGAGGCGTAAAACCATACTCACTTACTCATTAGTGGCGTGAAATATGTTGACTTCTTTCAGGATCTCCTCGCATATTTGCTAAAAGTTACTCTTCTGATATTTATCGATAATTGATCGATATTTAGTTAATGAATATCGATCTCTATAAATTATAATGATAGCCAGCCCTTGTCATGGTAGCCTGTAAATAACAGAGACAAACCAGTGGTTGATAGTATGAGCAACGACCACTGATCCAATATGTTTCTTGTGTTCCTATCTTGTTTTCTAGCTCACTCGAACCAAAACCCATGTTTATGTCTGTCTGTCCTTCTATTTGTCAACTTTCAGGAGATGAAGGTGTTGAGATGAAATGGGGTTTTAACATCACATTTCAAGATAATTGCACTTATTTTATGATATTCATCTATGTGTGTGTGTGGCTTATTGTACCAGTCCGGACTAATGCTGGTTTTATCCATTTTCCCCGAGGCAAGAGAGTTAACTGACTTTAAAAGTCCAGTTTCCCAGGCAAGAGAGTTAACTGACGTTAAAAGTCCAGTTTCCCAGGCAAGAGAGTTAACTGACGTTAAAAGTCCAGTTTCCACCCTTGCCGAACTAGGCTGGAATTCCTTGGCTTGATCGTAGCGCCACCAGTGGCTATTACCAGTTATGTCTCTTCTATGCCTCTCCTATGGACCAATCAGATTCCACCTCTCGCATCATGTGCATTTGTTTCAAACAAAATGGCTGTGCCCAGACAAGACAATCTGATCGACAATCAAGATCTATATTGTGATAAAACGGGTCTTACATCGCAGAGTGCGTCAAATCATCTTGATTAAACACTTGAAAAGATTTGGAAAATATCTGTTGACAACGGGTTGGCCGTGCACATGCTTTGCAAATCCTGCAATCGACCGAACTCTGCATGACAGTTTACGAACCGGAATTTCGATTTCGTCCAGCCAAAATGTAACTCCATAATACCAGCTTAGTTCGGCAAGGGTGGAAACTGGACTTTTATAGTCAGTTAACTCCCTTGCCTCAGGAAGATGGGTTTTATCATGTTATAGTGCTGTCCCATTGAGAGGCCCTGCCACAGTTTAACATGGATAGTAACAGACACCCAACTCACACACAGTATTCTGACTCCGAGCTGGCAAGTCCTGGTATGGTATCTGTAATGCCAAGCTCCACTGAAATTCCAAGAGTTTTTATTTAAGAAATAAACAACAAGTGGGAGTTATTTATCATACAATAAAACGCTGCAGGGAGAATGGTTTATTCTCATGGTTTATCTTCCTGCAGTGTTTTATTGTGGTCGTGTATTTCTTATATGAGATATCAACATTATGTACAGCCACTACAAGCTTGAAACATATTTACCCAAATTGTAGTAATGATGACTACCTGAATAGAATCCGAGCTTGGAAATGTCGGACAAGTCCATTTTATGCACAGGTGGGTTAAGTTGTATTTCCTAAAGTGTATTTCCTGCATTTTCTAACAATCCTCATGTCGATTATCTGTACATTTTCTTCAAATACCGATTGTCATATCTCTCCCACTTTTGGGTGCAATCGTTCGGGGACTGCATTTTTCTGCATAGCCCAGCTACATCTATGAGGAACAAATCACTAGACACTCCCCCCTCAAAAGTAACTTTGTTCAATATATGACTTCATCAAGTTGCGAGCCCATTGGACAACATACTTTTGAGTGGAAAGTGTCTAGTGAGTTGTTCCCCATAGATGTATTTGGAGAAAAGGTACAGATAATTTAATTGATGTGAGGATTTTGAGAATATGTAGGAAATACCAAACTTAACCCACCTTTTCATAAAACGGACTTGTCTGACATTTTTAAGCTTGGATTCTATTCAGGGACTCATGATTATGCAAATTTGGGTAAATATTTTAAAAGTCTGTACATTTTATCAACATCCTTAAGAGACAACACAGTGTTGACATCTCGTATAATATTGCATGCATAACCTCATGTTGTTTTATTATATCACTTAAGAGGGATTAAGATAAATCCCACCTAAGCCACATCAGGTAGATAAGTCCTTAATGGAGTGTACATTGCATTGCTTGATAGGAGGTGTCAGTAGAACACAGGTTGTGTTTGCCTGTGGTGGAGACTGTTATCTACACGTGTCAGTAGAACACAGGCTGTGTTTGCCTGTGGGGGAGACTGTAATCTACACGTGTCAGTAGAACACAGGTTGTGTTTGCCTGTAGGGAGACTCTAATCTACACGTGTCAGTAGAACACAGGTTGTGTTTGCCTGTAGGGAGACTGTAATCTACACGTGTCAGTAGAACACAGGTTGTGTTTGCCTGTGGGGGAGACAGTAATCTACACGTGTCAGTAGAACACTGGTTGTGTTTGCCTGTAGGGAGACTGTAATCTACACGTGTCAGTAGAACACAGGTTGTGTTTGCCTGGGGGGGAGACTGTAATCTACACGTGTCAATAGAACACTGGTTGTGTTTGCCTGTAGGGAGACTGTAATCTACACGTGTCAGTAGAACACAGGTTGTGTTTGCCTGGGGGGGAGACTGTAATCTACACGTGTCAGTAGAACACAGGTTGTGTTTGCCTGTGGGGGAGACTGTAATCTACACGTGTCAATAGAACACTGGTTGTGTTTGCCTGTAGGGAGACTGTAATCTACACGTGTCAGTAGAACACTGGTTGTGTTTGCCTGTAGGGAGACTGTAATCTACACGTGTCAGTAGAACACAGGTTGTGTTTGCCTGGGGTGGAGACTGTAATCTACACGTGTCAGTAGAACACCGGTTGTGTTTGCCTGTAGGGAGACTGTAATCTACACGTGTCAGTAGAACACAGGTTGTGTTTGCCTGTGGGGGAGACTGTAATCTACACGTGTCAATAGAACACTGGTTGTGTTTGCCTGTAGGGAGACTGTAATCTACACGTGTCAGTAGAACACAGGTTGTGTTTGCCTGGGGGGGAGACTGTAATCTACACGTGTCAGTAGAACACAGGTTGTGTTTGCCTGTAGGGAGACTGTAATCTACACGTGTCAGTAGAACACAGGTTGTGTTTGCCTGTAGGGAGACTGTAATCTACACGTGTCAGTAGAACACTGGTTGTGTTTGCCTGTGGGGGACTGTAATCTACACGTGTCAGTAGAACACAGGCTGTGTTTGCCTGTGGGGAGACTGTAATCTACACATGTCAGTAGAACACAGGCTGTGTTTGCCTGTGGGGAGACTGTAATCTACACGTGTCAATAGAACACAGGCTGTGTTTGCCTGTGGGGGAGACTGTAATCTACACGTGTCAGTAGAACACTGGTTGTGTTTGCCTGTGGGGAGACTGTAATCTACACTTGTCAGTAGAACACAGGTTGTGTTTGCCTGTGGTGGAGACTGTAATCTACACATGTCAGTAGAACACAGGTTGTGTTTACCTGTGGGGAGACTGTAATCTACACGTGTCAATAGAACACAGGTTGTGTTTGCCTGTGGGGGAAACTGTAATCTACACGTGTCAGTAGAACACTGGTTGTGTTTGCCTGTAGGGAGACTGTAATCTACACGTGTCAGTAGAACACAGGTTGTGTTTGCCTGTAGGGAGACTGTAATCTACACGTGTCAGTAGAACACAGGTTGTGTTTGCCTGTAGGGAGACTGTAATCTACACGTGTCAGTAGAACACAGGTTGTGTTTGCCTGTGGGGAGACTGTAATCTACACGTGTCAGTAGAACACTGGTTGTGTTTGCCTGTGGGGGAGACTGTAATCTACACGTGTCAGTAGAACACAGGTTGTGTTTGCCTGCCTGTGGGGAGACTGTAATCTACACGTGTCAATAGAACACAGGTTGTGTTTGCCTGTGGGGGAGACTGTAATCTACACGTGTCAGTAGAACACTGGTTGTGTTTGCCTGTAGGGAGACTGTAATCTTCACGTGTCAGTAGAACACAGGCTGTGTTTGCCTGTGGGGGAGACTGTAATCTACACGTGTCAATAGAACACAGGTTGTGTTTGCCTGTGGGGGAGACTGTAATCTACACGTGTCAATAGAACACAGGTTGTGTTTGCCTGTGGGGAGACTGTAATCTACACGTGTCAGTAGAACACAGGTTGTGTTTGCCTGTGGGGAGACTGTAATCTACACGTGTCAGTAGAACACAGGTTGTGTTTGCCTGTAGGGAGACTGTAATCTACACGTGTCAATAGAACACAGTTTGTGTTTGCCTGTAGGGAGACTGTAATCTACACGTGTCAATAGAACACAGGCTGTGTTTGCCTGTGGGGGAGACTGTAATCTACACGTGTCAGTAGAACACAGGTTGTGTTTGCCTGTCGGGGAGACTGTAATCTACACGTGTCAATAGAACACAGGTTGTGTTTGCCTGTGGGGAGACTGTAATCTACACGTGTCAATAGAACCTAGGTTGTGTTTGCCTGTGGGGAGATTGTAATCTACACGTGTCAATATCATTGATTACAGCTGGTGCTGCAGTTGACTCATACACTTTTCATTCCTATTAACCTGATCATTAGAGTATCGGGTCATCGTGATACAGGGATTTGAAACAGTCTGGCTAAATAAGAAAGTACTTTAACACCTGAATTTGTCATACCGTCTCCATGGCCTAGTGGTATAGCGTTGCCCGGAAAGCAGAAGGTCGGGGTTTGATCACCATGTCCCCGGCCGCGGCCGCGTCATACCAAAAGACGTTAAAAGGTGATACTTGTTGTTACCCTGCCTGGTTCTTGGTTTTTAGGGGCTGAAACGAGGACTGGTCAGTTCAGAGTCAGTATACTGTGTCGGAGTGGGGTATTCATGTCAAACTGCGTCATGGTATCTCAGTGGGCTTTCACTATAAAATCAGCACTTGTCTAGACTAGTTCAAGCAGCCAGATTCACACATGTGGATGAACATCGCTGTATAAGTGCAACAATGTTGAACGAGATAATTTTAATTTCAATAATTTTGAAACTCTGTTTCACCACACCTCGATTTGTCAGATATTCCTTAAGCGGGAGGGGGTTAACAGGTCTGCTAACCTCAATTCCACAAAATCGACTTTTCAGCATTTTCACAGTTCAAGTCAAGAAATAACATGTCTACACATCATACATTGACGCTGAATGTGAATAGCAGCATTTCTATGCACTTCATAAACAATGAAAAGTGACACTGCCTGGCAAAAGTTCTAATTTTCAGTGATAAATACTGAAAATATTTGGACCAATATCTTTGCCGCCATGGATAATACTGGCCATTCCTGTGAGGCTGCATTTTGCTTGTTACTCTATTTTACCAAATACATTATTTGCTACCCTGCATTAAGGGAACAAGGACTGGTTGATTCGGAGTCGGTATACTGTGTCTGAGTGGGGTATCTGTTTTAAACTGTGACATGGAATCACATGCACGTGTGTGTGTGTGGCTGCTTGTACTAGTCCGGACTGATGCCGATTTATAGTGCTAGCTCACTGAGATTCCATGCCGCAGTTGAACATGAATACCCCACTCAGACACAGTATACTGACTCCGAGCCGACCAGTCCTTCTTTTAGCCCCTTAATGCCAAGCGCCAGACAGGGTAACAACAAGTACCATCTTTTAACGTCTTTTGGTATGACGCAGTCGGGGATTGAACCCCGGACCTTCCGGTCTCCTGGCGGATGTTCTCCCATTAGACCACGGAGGTGGTAGTCCGGACTAGAACAACAGCTCTATGAGTGGAAAAAATCTTGAATGCTAAGTTAAACCCCATTTCACCTCACCTGAAAACATTAAGTATGTTACATTTGGTTACCTTGAAAACACATTCATATTACGAATATAATTAATACAAATGTACTGAAAATATTTTGATTATGGTAATTAATTTAACAATTACGAATATGGAAGTAATGACTATATTGAATGAAATTTTATATTTCAGTGACCCAAGCCCTGACGTATCCTAAATACGAATATCGTCTCATAACACACCTGGTCTATGCAAGAAAACACAACTGCTACTTTGCATTAGCGAAAGATTTTAGTTTAAAGGTGAGACAAATTTTCTATCATTGATGCAATATTACGCAATCACTGTCATTATTCTTCAGGCAAGACCAACATATTCTATTTTTATTTAGAAATTTGGTGTTTTTTTAAGACTCGTCTAGAGTAAATAAAATAAAATATTTAAAATATTTAAATAAATAAAATATTTACTATGTTTACATTTTCTGTCGTTTTGTTCAGTTCCAATTTGTAGAAAAAATTGAAGCACTGAGAACTGGTTCAGATATATGGCCATCAAATGCTACTTGTCAATGACCCTTCATTGGACTTTTACTTGTCCTTAGCACAATTTAGTAGCCTCGGGCTAGTGGACAAGCATGAATTTCGAAGGCAGGAGCTGACCCACAAATGTCTGAAAGGAGAAAACTATGGTTGTTTTTATTTGTTTTTCCGCCTGCCTCTTGGCATATTGTGTTGAAGAATCCATGAAACAGAAAATCAGGTTTGCCTGGCCTTAAAGCAAGAATATGTTGTATTTTTACTGTAAAATGTTCTTCATCCAGGTGATGAACCGTGACTTTGTGGAGACGTGTTCCGTGAGTGCGGACCTGAGTTCCGTGCTGTTCATGTTGTTTAACCCTGTCCGAGATGAGCTGATCACTGGAGGAGTCGGAGGAACAAAGGTACAGTCATGCCCCGCTTATACGGACTTCAGATATCCGGAAACCTCGGTTCCCGGACGATTTTCATTCAAAACGAAATAATTACTACATAAATTTACCTGTATATACGGAAATTCAGTTTCCGGAACCGGATGGTCATTTTCATACACAAAACACTGAAATGCACACAAATTTGTCTCACTTACCCGGACAATACACTTCCGCTGGTGGTAATCCTTCCGCTGGTGGTAATCCTTTGATTCGTGAGAAGTCAATTAACCAAGTGACACTGAGTTACGTTTGAGACGAGCTTGTTTGTTGTACATGTAATCCCATTCGATAAATATGGCGTCTGTGGAGGTCAGAGGTCAAAAGCTTGTGCTTGTATAGAGACCTTGATTACATATTACGAGAACACAGTCGATCTGGACAATTTGGAATTATTGTTTAAAATTCAAACCTCAAAATGTGGTAAAGTTCAAACTTCCATGACAGATTTTTTGAAACGTGTATGTCTTGAATAAAGATTGAGTGGATGTATCTGTTTGCTCTGTCATCTGTCATGAGTTGCATAATTGAAGGGAAGTAACTCTTCCAGTAAGAAGCTGGTTTCAGTTATACGGAAATTCGTTTATACGGACGAATTGTGAAATGACACAAGTGTCCGTATAAACGAGGCACGACTGTAACTGGAACAACATTGTATCATGAATACACATTTAGAAAGTGGTCAAATGTAGCAATTTCACCTATATCCTGACTTTTTGAGACCGCCTCTGTGGTCTGGTGGTAGAGCGTCCGCCTGGAGAGCGGAAGGTCCGTGGTTCAATCCCCGACCGCGTCATACCAAAAAACGTTAAAAGATGGTACTTGTTGTTACCCTGTCTGGCGCTCGGCATTGAGGGGCTAAAACAAGGACTGGTCGGCTCGGAGTCAGTATACTGTGTCTGAGTGAGGTATTCATGTTAAACTGCGGCATGGTATCTCAGTGAGCTAGCACTATAAATCGGCATCAGTCCAGACTAGTACATCTCAAGTGCATAGATCGATGCCCATGATGAGTGAGTATGGTTTTATGCCGTTTTTATCCCCCACCGAGCCAGAATGGCCGAAGGGGGATTATGTTGGGCGCAGACCCTCCGTCCGTCTGTCCGTCCAACAGAGGGTACTAAGCTTGTGAAATCAACTCCTCCTACAGTTTCCAGAGAATATCCTTGACTCACTACACACAAGATGTCGACATGCTGATGATACGCATATCGCAGTCCCGTTTCATTTCAACTAATTTTGACAGAGTTACTGCCCGTTTTATGGAGCTTCATGAAATCTACTCCTCCTCCAGTTTCCAGAGAATATCACAATATCTAACTATAACTATAACTATAGTTAGTTTCCTCGTATAAGGCTTTTGTGGGTGAGCTACATCCTTATGGCATTAGCATTCAGACTGGATTACTCCCAACAAAATGTTCTGCACAATTTGTTTCAAATGCAGTGCCATCTACTGTTGTTATTTCATAAAATACAAGGGGGCGGTCGGGTAGCCTAGTGGTTAAAGCGTTCGCTCGTCATGCCGAAGACCCGGGTTCGATTCCCGACATGGGTACAATATGTGAAGCCCATTTCTGGTGTCCCCCGCCGTGATATTGCTGGAATATTGCTAAAAGCGGCGTAAAGCCATACTCACTCACTCACTCATAAAATACAAAGAAAATATAAACTTGTTAAAAAAATTCATGCGAGAGAGTTGTGCTCTCAGAGCACTCTTGTTAGTTACGGGGGATGTTGTGCTCTCAGGGGACTCTTGTTAGTTATAAACCTATCGTGGGGGAACACCAATTGGCTTCACACATCGTACTCATGTGAAGAGTTGAACTTTGGCCTTCGGCGTAACAAGCAAACGCTTTAACCACTAGGCTACCCCACCGCCCCTACACATTTTATAGAAAATTATAAACAAATGATTTAATTTGTTGTGGCTACATGTGATGTTGTTTTGTTCTACTACAGGTGTGGCATTTCCATCAAGTGGCAGCCAAGGCATTTAGGGAGCTGAAACCACTGGCTAACTTTAGACTGACCCTCAGGTACTGATATCTGTCTCTGTATTAAGAACCCATGAAGATCTTAGTTAGAATAGGTCTTCAGCAACCCTTGCTTGCCATAAAAGGCGGCTATGCTTGTAGTAAGAGGCGACTAACGGGATCGGGTGGTCAGGCTCGCTGACTTGGCTGATGCATGTCATCGTATCCCAATTGCATAAATTGATGCGTATGATGTCAATCATTGGATTGTCTGGTCCAGACTCGATTATTTACAGACCGCCGTCATATTACTGGAATATTGCTGAGTGCAGCGTTAAGCAACAGACAAACAAACAAACTAAACTGATCTGATCGGGTGGTCAGGCTCGGTGACTTGGTTGATTGCACGTCATCGTATCCCTAATGCGTGAATCGATTTTCGTGATGTCAATCAGTGGATTGTCAGGGCCAGACTCGATTATTTACAGACCGCCATCATATACCTGGAATATTGCTGATTGCGGCATTAAACAACAGACAAACAAACAAACTAAATTGATCGGGTGGTCAGGCTCGGTGACTTGGCTGATTGTGTGTCATTGTCACATTTGCGTCTCAACAATGTGGATCGATGTTCATGACGTCAATAACTGGATTGTCCGGTCCGGACTCAATTATTTACAGACCATCATATAGCCGGAATATTGCTGAATGCAGCGTTAAACAACAAACATCACAGTCGAATCATTGTTTAATAATTGTCAAATCATTTCCAAAAAAAGAATATCTGAATTAATTATATTTATTTCAAACAGCCATTTTATCATATGATTTTAGTTTCTCAAAGAAAGTTGAAAAGAGTTTGAAATAAACATACTTTGTTTTGTTTTTGCTATTGATGAATGTACTCCCAAGTATCTGCAAAACAACAGGAAATTATGCTCTTATATAAAATAACAGAATCATCTTCCTGAGCCGAACTAGGCTGGAATTTCTGGGCCCGATCGTAGCACCACCAAGTGGCTATGACGATTTATGTTCTTTCTGTCTCCTCCTATTGACCAATCATATTCCACCTCTCATTTCACTTGCATTTGCTTCAAACAAAATGGCAGCGCCCAGTCAAGACGGTCTGATCGATTATCAAGATATTTATTGTAATAAAACGGGTCTTGCATCAAATTACCTGAGCACCTTGATTGAAAAGATTTGGAAAACATATGTACACATGCTTTGCAAATCCTGCAACTGCAGGGCAGTTTATGAACCGGATGTCCATTTCGTTTGATTGGAATGGAATGATTGCAAGGGGTGAAACTGGACATTTATAATCAGTTACCGTATTCGACGTAATAAGCACCCAGGGCGCTCTCAAAATTAGAAATAGGGGGCTCTTATTAGAATATTATTTTGGTGAAAAAACAGTTGAAAGATAAATTTCATGGTTTATGCTGACAGCCTGAAATTATTATGTATGACAGATATATTTTTCTAGAATTTAATTGCCCATAATTAAGGGTGCATATAACACACGAGTGCGCATTGTACGCGAATAAATAAGTCTTGTGTACATTGATCAATCGGAAGGGGTGCTAATTGGGATTGTTCACAAGCCAATATATTAGAAAATTCCGCCATGGGCTCCCTTGCCTCGGGAAGATGTTACAGAATATGACATATGATATGGAGATTGCATGAAATTGAGATGTAAAGTATTCTTCTAAATAACACGTTGGCCTGTTGCAGGTATGAGCTGCCTAACCTGGGAGGGAGCTGGGTGAAGCGGGTGGACCTGGACTACAACCTTGACCACCTGTACTGCTGCTCGGACACAGATCTACACGCGTATGACATGCAGGGGAAGCTACTCTTCAAGTTCTCCCAGTAAGTATATATTTGTCGTCAAAGGCGTAGGGGTAGCCTCGTGGAGAATGTGTTCACTCATTCTGCTGAAGGCTGGGGTTCGATTCTCCCATGGGCACACCCTGTGAAGCCTGTTCTTGGTGGTCCCCTTGGCTGGAAGATTGCCGAGATGGTCATACGTCTTACTCAATCATTCTCTTGCTCTTTCAATCATAGAATATGGGAAATATATAAACTGACATTCCATAGGCTTTATTTGTATCTCACCGAGCCTGAAAGGCCATGTGAGCTTTTGTCCTCTCAAATCATACATTCTGCCATCATCTTCATCCTTGAGCTTTTTCACATCGTCAGCCTCTTATAAATGGAATCCATTTTTAAAAAGCTATTTTTGGCTATTATATATATCGTATGTCTGTAATTTTTGATCAAATGTAATGAATTTTGGAACATATGTATTTAGAAGAGAGGTTCAACATATTAATACCGAGTTACTGCAGTATTTAAAATTTTGACCTTTATTTGACCTCTGCACTTTTTTACTGATGTCAACCAACTAATGTAAGGCCTGTCTTTGGACAATGTAATGACAATAGAACCCTGTTTACTTAAAGTCCTGAGGATAAAATGAAACCATATGATACTTAAGAACACACCATGCCATTTAGAAAGTGGTCAAATGTAACAAATGTTATATTTGGGACATCACTTTCTTAGTAAAGTACAGATTTTAGTACATTTTGGGGTTGAGTTGGAATCCTAGATGGGACTCAACCCCCAAAAGTGCTAGAATCTGTACTTTTCTAAGAAAGTGTTTTCACAAAACATTTGTTACATATGATATTCGAGAAGGTTTTCTTCTTTTATAGACGAGTATCAAATGTCTTGAGGGCAATGTTTCATTTCTGATCCAACCTATTGTCTTGCAATTATAACTATTGTATGTAAATTTAATTTGTAGTGGATTCAGATTTTTTTTCACTTTTATTTTTTCGGGTCATCTAAAGGTTGGTTGGAGCCAGCTGATTACAAATCCTGGTAGTAGATGATGTTGTGTTGCATAAGGTGGTTGTGATGTCAGTGTTTTCTGTGTTTACAGAGCTCATGCCATGACGATCACAGGATGTCAGTACTCTGTAGCTTGTAAAGTGTTGGTGACTGCATCTGTGGATTCAGAGGGTAAGCATCAACAGGTCTAACACTTGACTTTCAGTCTTTCAACAGCATGCACACTAGGGCTGCAATGATTACACTATGAGGCGAATATGATTCATATCACGAATATAGGGTAACGAATACGAATATTAATTCACAATTACAATAACAAGTCAGCAGTGTATGTATTATTTATTATATTCAGTGAAACAATAATAACATAATTTATTTGACATGGTTTGTTAATTATTAATAAATTATTCATTTATTTACTGCGCTTATCCAGGTACTAGAATGTGCTCAAATGTGACAATGACCAGTGAAAACAATACTATCAAATTAAATATTATTAGAGTGTTGGCATTGAAAGAAATCTATGCATATAATATGTTGTTATGGATATTTTTAGGTACAGGGTATGTAAATATACATGATACCATATTCATAAATATTCGATTCTAGTGGCCACAAATTCAAGTCAATTCATGAATGGTTACGGTTCGATTCACCGAATACGCGAGTGAAACGTAACAGCCCTAATGCACACTGAAGCTTTTGGTTCATACCATTGTCACAAGGACGTCATGTAGAAGAATCAGACTGTTTGACCATTGACATTTTAAGTAAGCACTTGATGAACAGGGAATTTTTTGCGACAGTTTTATTATTGCGAGTTTTGCGAACGAGACTCAATCGCAAAAATTAAAAACGCAAAATTAAGTATAAATAATACATACATACATACATACATACATACATACTTTATTCATTGCAACACGTCATCAAATGATGAAATCATCAACCACAAGTTACTCAATAAGTTAAAAACACAAATGAATGCAGAATGGTCACACAATACATCACAAATGACAGTGTAAACAGACCAATTAGTGTCACTGTTACCTCACAGTAATCCTGCCTTCTTCCAACCTCGCTTGATTGCGTCAGTGTTCAAACTCACAGTCATGACACTGAGTTGAGTCAATTATCGTATTTGATAATTGGTCGCAATCCCTTCCGGTCAACTTTCCGGCCAACTCAGATTAACTAGCTTCGGAGAGAAGCTGTCTAATGTTTGGTAATCGAGGGGTCATCTCAACACGGCAACTCGCAAAAATATCTCGTCGCAGTATTGTCTTTGGTGTGGTATTCGCAATATTTTAACGGCACAGAAATAAAGCTGTTTACAGTATGTCCCTAGCACTGAGGTTGTTCATGCTGATTTGCCACTCCAAATATGTTTTCACAATATGCACGTTTCACTGGAAGAAAAGCATGAATTAATATGTATGTTCTTGAACTTTTGAGTTCATTACAAAATCCAGGGACACACCTGCACAGTACTGACATTTTTTTAATCCATTTTTGTTCGTTTACTGAATGTTCATTGCACGATCGTATCTAGCCTTGCTCCAAGGCTGTACTGAAAGAAAAGTCCATGGATGTGTCGTAATTCTATCCTCCTGATAGGCAAGTCTAGATATGTGGACAGTCTAAGGACTCCAGTCTCTTATAGGGACGACTTGTTCTTAGTATTTACATAATCTAGAACTAATGATTTGAACAAATAATTATTGCCTCAGAGACTTCTGCAAGTCTAAATATTATCCAGTGTAGCTTTCTGTCCATGATTAGCCAAGTCAACTGAATTGTAAACCTTATTTTAAAATTGCTATATTTCCCATTTAATACACTTCATGGTTGAAGTAACCAAGGTTTCCTGTCATCTTTCAACCTGCTGGAACCTGTATTTCAGTGAAGGTATGGAGTTTGAGAGGTGGTCTGGTGCACACTTTCCGTGGTCACTCGCGAGCGGTCACTCACCTCCTGATTCACCCCGACACCTCCACAATAGCCATCACGTCCTCCCTGGACGGCACGGTCAGAATGTGGTCACTCGACACAATGGACGCTCTCTATAGGTGGGCTGTCACTAAATCTCACGGCTGAAAATAAGGCATTTTGTTGAAAAAGCATTCAGTCGGTTATTGGTATTCAGGTCAGAGTTACCGTATTCGACGTAATAAGCGCCCCGCTCTAATAAGCGCCCACGGCGATATTTGTTAATATACTGGCTTGTGAACAATCCTAATTACCACCCCTTCCAACTGATAAATGTACACAAGGCTATTTATTTGTGCATAATATGATTGTTATATGCACCCTTAATTATGGGCAATTAAATTCTGGAAAAATTTATCTGTCGTTTATAAACATTTCAGCATAAACCACGAAATTTACGCTCTTTGAACTCTATTGTTTTTCACCAAAATAATATTCTAATAAGAGTCCCCTATTTCTAATTTTGAGAGTGCCCTGGGCGCTTATTATGTCGAAGACGGTAAATTATTTTTTTCACTTTTGACAATATTTTTGTACTTTAATTTTGGGGATATAGTGAATAATATTCACATAGTTTCGAAATAATTGTGTTCTGAATAATATTTTTGGTGTTGTTCCTGATGTACTTATGCATGCCACTTATGCATGCTTGAGCACAACGGTTATGTTATGCATGTTCACCATTTCAAAGACTTCACAAATTTTGTATGGACACCTGTGACCTTCTTCAGCATATTTTGGTTTTTGCATAGACAATCATTCAGGGGGATGAAATCTAAACATGTCGTCCACTTTGTATTTGTTATCATGTTGTTGTGCTAAATTCTTATCAAGGTGTCGGTGTTGTTGTAGCTTGGTTGTTTCTTCTGATGGAGTTTTGTGGATGGGGCTGACTGATGACAACCTCCTCTACATCAGCACAGCTCGCAACATCAGCATCTGGTCTCTCAACTACTTCTTCCAGTTCTGGAGTCTGGCCAGAAATGAATTGTCCAACTTGAGTTTGGTGGGCTGCAAGGGGAAGACGACACGGATAGTAGCTCTGGGGGAAGATAGCAGGTAAGGTGTAGTCAGTAAGTCCTGAGACGCTGTCTGGTGGGGTGGGAGTCTGGTGGGGTGGGAGGGAAAGACATCACGGAGAGGGGCCCTGGAAGAGGATTGAGACGCTGTCTGGTGGGGTGGGAGTCTGGTGGGGTGGGAGGGAAAGACATCACGGAGAGGGGCCCTGGAACAGGATTGAGAGGCAGTCTGGTGGGGTGGGATTCTGTTGGGGTGGGAGGGAAAGACATCACGGAGAGAGGCCCTGGAAGAGGATTGAGAGGCAGTCAGGTGGGGTGGGAGTCTGGTGGGGTGGGAGGGAAAGACATCACAGAGAGGGGCCCTGGAAGAGGATTGAGATGCTGTCTGGTGGGGTGGGAGTCTGTTGGGGTGGGAGGGAAAGACATCACGGAGAGGGGCCCTGGAAGAGGATTGAGACGCTGTCTGGTGGGGTGGGAGTCTGGTGGGGTGGGAGGGAAAGACATCACGGAGAGGGGCCCTGGAACAGGATTGAGACGCAGTCTGGCGGGGTGGGAGTCTGTTGGGATGGGAGGGAAAGACATCACGGAGAGGGGCCCTGGAAGAGGATTGAGACGCTGTCTGGTGGGGTGGGAGTCTGGTGGGGTGGGAGTCTGGTTGGGTGGGAGGGAAAGACATCACGGAGAGGGGCCCTGGAAGAGGATTGAGACGCTGTCTGGTGGGGTGGGAGGGAAAGACATCACGGAGAGGGGCCCTGGAAGAGGATTGAGACGCTGTCTGGTGGGGTGGGAGTCTGGTGGGGTTGGAGGGAAAGACATCATGGAGAGGGGCCCTGGAAGAGGATTGAGACGCTGTCTGGTTGGGGGGGAGTCTGTTGGGGTGGGAGAGAAAGACATCACGGAGAGGGGCCCTGGAAGAGGATTGAGACGCTGTCTGGTGGGGTGGGAGTCTGGTGGGGTGGGAGGGAAAGACATCACGGAGAGGGGCCCTGGAAGAGGATTGAGACGCTGTCTGGTGGGGTGGGAGTCTGGTGGGGTGGGAGGGAAAGACATCACGGAGAGGGGCCCTGGAAGAGGATTGAGACGCTGTCTGGTGGGGTGGGAGTCTGTTGGGGTGGGAGGGAAAGACATCACGGAGAGGGGCCCTGGAAGAGGATTGAGACGCTGTCTGGTTGGGGGGGGGTCTGTTGGGGTGGGAGGGAAAGACATCACGGAGAGGGGCCCTGGAAGAGGATTGAGACGCTGTCTGGTGGGGTGGGAGTCTGGTGGGGTGGGAGGGAAAGACATCACGGAGAGGGGCCCTGGAAGAGGATTGAGACGCTGTCTGGTTGGGGGGGAGTCTGTTGGGGTGGGAGGGAAAGACATCACGGAGAGGGGCCCTGGAACAGGATTGAGACGCAGTCTGGTGGGGTGGGAGTCTGGTTGTGTGGGAGGGAAAGACATCCCGGAGAGAAGCCCTTGACAGGATTGAGAGGCAGTCTGGTGGGCTGGGAGGGAAAGACATCACGGAGAGAAGCCCTGGAACAGGATTGAGAGGCAGTCTGGTGGGGTGGGAGTCTGGTTGTGTGGGAGGGAAAGACTTCACGGAGAGAAGCCCTGGAACAGGATTGAGACGCAGTCTGGTAGGGTGAGAGTCTGGTTGTGTGGGAGGGAAAGACTTCACGGAGAGAAGCCCTGGAACAGGATTGAGAGGCAGTCTGGTGGGGTGGGAGGGAAAGACATCACGGAGAGAAGCCCTGGAACAGGATTGAGAGGCAGTCTGGTGGGGTGGGAGGGAAAGACATCACGGAGAGAAGCCCTGGAACAGGATTGAGAGGCAGTCTGGTGGGGTGGGAGTCTGTTGGGGTGGGAGGAAAAGACATCATGGAGAGAGGCCCTGGAACAGGATTGAGAGGCAGTCTGGTGGGGTGGGAGGGAAAGACATCACGGAGAGAAGCCCTGGAACAGGATTGAGAGGCAGTCTGGTGGGGTGGGAGTCTGGTGGGGTGGGAGGGAAAGATATCACGGAGGGAGGCCCTGGAAGAGGATTGAGAGGCAGTCTGGTGGGGTGGGAATCTGGTGGGGTGGGAGGGAAAGATATCACGGAGAGAGGCCCTGGAACAGGATTGAGAGGCAGTCTGGTGGGGTGGGAGTCTGATGGGGTGGGAGGGAAAGACATCACGGAGAGAGGCCCTGGAACAGGATTGAGAGGCAGTCTGGTGGGGTGGGATTCTGATGGGGTGGGAGGGAAAGACATCACGGATGGTGAGCCTGGAATAGGATTGAGAGGCAGTCTGGAGGGGTGGGAGGGAAAGACATCACAGAGAGGGGCCATGGAACAGGATTGAGAGGCAGTCTGGTAGGGTGGGAGTCTGTTGGGGTGGGAGGGAAAGACATCATGGCGAGAGGCCCTGGAACAGGATTGAGAGGCAGTCTGGTGGGGTGGGAGTCTGATGGGGTGGGAGGGAAAGACATCATGGAGAGAGGCCCTGGAACAGGATTGAGAGGCAGTCTGGTGGGGTGGGAGTCTGTTTGGGTGGGAGGGAAAGACATCATGGAGAGAGGCCCTGGAAGAGGATTGAGAGGCAGTCTGGTGGGGTGGGAGTCTGATGGGGTGGGAGGGAAAGACATCACGGAGAGAGGCCCTGGAACAGGATTGAGAGGCAGTCTGGTGGGGTGGGATTCTGATGGGGTGGGAGGGAAAGACATCACGGATGGTGAGCCTGGAATAGGATTGAGAGGCAGTCTGGAGGGGTGGGAGGGAAAGACATCACAGAGAGGGGCCATGGAACAGGATTGAGAGGCAGTCTGGTAGGGTGGGAGTCTGTTGGGGTGGGAGGGAAAGACATCATGGCGAGAGGCCCTGGAACAGGATTGAGAGGCAGTCTGGTGGGGTGGGAGTCTGATGGGGTGGGAGGGAAAGACATCACGGATGGTGACCCTGGAACAAGTTTGAGAGGCAGTCTGGTGGTATGGGATTCTGATGGGGTGGGAGGGAAAGACATCACGGATGGTGAGCCTGGAACATAATTGAGACACAGTCTGGTGGGGTGGGAAGCTGGTTGTGTTGGAGGGAAAGACTTCATGGAGAGAGGCCCTGGAACATAATTGAGACACAGTCTGGTGGGGTGGGAAGCTGGTTGTGTTGGAGGGAAAGACTTCATGGAGAGAGGCCCTGGAACATAATTGAGACACAGTCTGGTGGGGTGGGAGTCTGGTTGTGTTGGAGGGAAAGACTTCATGGAGAGAGGCCCTGGAACATAATTGAGACACAGTCTGGTGGGGTGGGAAGCTGGTTGTGTTGGAGGGAAAGACTTCATGGAGAGAGGCCCTGGAACATAATTGAGACACAGTCTGGTGGGGTGGGAAGCTGGTTGTGTTGGAGGGAAAGACTTCATGGAGAGAGGCCCTGGAACATAATTGAGACACAGTCTGGTGGGGTGGGAGTCTGGTTGTGTTGGAGGGAAAGACATCACAGAGAGAGGCCCTGGAACATAATTGAGACACAGTCTGGTGGGGTGGGAAGCTGGTTGTGTTGGAGGGAAAGACTTCATGGAGAGAGGCCCTGGAACATAATTGAGACACAGTCTGGTGGGGTGGGAAGCTGGTTGTGTTGGAGGGAAAGACTTCATGGAGAGAGGCCCTGGAACATAATTGAGACACAGTCTGGTGGGGTGGGAAGCTGGTTGTGTTGGAGGGAAAGACTTCATGGAGAGAGGCCCTGGAACATAATTGAGACACAGTCTGGTGGGGTGGGAGTCTGGTTGTGTTGGAGGGAAAGACTTCATGGAGAGAGGCCCTGGAACATAATTGAGACACAGTCTGGTGGGGTGGGAGTCTGGTTGTGTTGGAGGGAAAGACATCACAGAGAGAGGCCCTGGAACATAATTGAGACACAGTCTGGTGGGGTGGGAGTCTGGTTGTGTTGGAGGGAAAGACTTCATGGAGAGAGGCCCTGGAACATAATTGAGACACAGTCTGGTGGGGTGGGAGTCTGGTTGTGTTGGAGGGAAAGACTTCATGGAGAGAGGCCCTGGAACATAATTGAGACACAGTCTGGTGGGGTGGGAGTCTGGTTGTGTTGGAGGGAAAGACATCATGGAGAGAGGCCCTGGAACATAATTGAGACACAGTCTGGTGGGGTGGGAGTCTGGTTGTGTTGGAGGGAAAGACATCACGGAGAGAGGCCCTGGAACAAGTTTGAGAGGCAGTCTGGTGGGGTGGGAGTCTGATGGGGTGGGAGGGAAAGACATCACGGATGGTGAGTCTGGAACAGGATTGAGAGGCAGTCTGGTGGGGTGGGAGTCTGATGGGGTGGGAGGGAAAGACATCACAGATGGTGACCCTGGAACAAGTTTGAGAGGCAGTCTGGTGGTATGGGATTCTGATGGGGTGGGAGGGAAAAACATCATGGAGAGTGGCCCTTGGAGAGAAAAGCAGATCAAATGTTAGACAAGGTTCTCGCTGTCGATTGATACCAGCATTCCCAAGATTTTGTCCACGGAGCCTTGGACAATGAGAACCTTGTCTAGTTAGATGTAGTCAGTCCTGACAGCAGGTGAAACCAACCATTGATGAAATGTCTGTTGTCTCATGACAGGGTTCCAGATCAGCTCATTTTCTAGGATATGGACTGATAATCATCCACGACTGTTCGAGACAACTGACTTTTACATGATTTCATCAATTATGGACAGGTCATTCTTCCACATCTTCACCGTCTTTGAAAAGGGCAGGTCACTGTAGATGTTTAATCTGTGTGTTCCAGTTTGAGGCTGTTCGCCCGCAGCAATCAGAAGAACATGTCGACGGTGCTGCCCCCTCCCAGCATCTCCCCACTACAGAAGGTGCTCAGCGTGTGCTACAGTCGTGAGTTCAGCGTCGTCTTCATGCTGGTCAACCCGCAGGAGATATGGGTCTACACAACAAGGTCAGTTTCTTTCTTTCCTTTCTGGAGACACTGGTGACCCAGTTGACTTATGTGTCATAATTCACTTGGGCATGCCAGAGACCTATAATTCTTACAAATCCTCTACCTCTATTACATCATTGCCAAACTCCTGTATTTTGGCTGCAATTACACCAGAACTAAATCTTCAGATTTTCAACAGAGGTCCTGTTCACTGTCAACTATACACAACTAGTTGTCACCGCAGTAGCACCAAGCAGCTCACAGCTCTTCTGTGTGCAAAGGCAGGAAAACTTCACTTCTGTCGTGTGTCTGCTGGAGTGAACATCAACTTTCTCAGTCTTGTTTTTCTCTAGCACAAAAGTGGTTTTGTCACACTATATCTATCTAATTCAGTTCATCTTGTGGATCGGGGGCACGAGTGGCCCAGTCGTCTGAGGCGCCGCGATTCTCTGTGCAGAGTTGTGTCCCTTGGGTGCGCCAGAAACCTATGATTGTTGGTTCGAATCCTGGTTCGCCCCGATTATGTTTCTAGGTTTGTCAGCACCATACTCGTGCTCATTGGTTTCACGGAAGTGGTAAACGTCTGAGACCTGCATCACTTCGGGCTTTCCTCCCACATTAAGCTGACACGCCGCGATATAACTGGAATAATGTTAAAAGCGGCATTAAACCCAACTCACTCACTCACTCACTCATCTTGTGGATCACGTTGTTATTCAGCTAATTAAGGAGTCATCTTCAGTAAGTTTGGTTGATTGGTTGGTACTCACATGAATATAAACTTGGTGCTGTGTGAGCCTGTCATGGCGACCTCGGCCTCTTCCTTACATGCAAGTCGTGTGGCCATTTTATGATCAAGGGAGACCCTTCTCCTTCCTTCTGGAAGTGTCAGGACGTCCTTTGTTCTGACGATACTAAATGTGAGCAGTGCCCCCCCCCACACCTTCAAGTCAGCTTTCAACAAGATGTCAGACTCTTTTAGGGAAGCCAAGAGGAAAGAATCAGCAGAGAAAACTGTGGACACCATTACATCTCTTTCCATTGTCCCTACCCATTGTCCCTACATTTCCATTGTACCCGCTGTAGGTCCCAAGAGATGGGTACAAAATGTCCGATTGGGAATTTTTGTACCGTAGCCCTGGCAAAATGTATTTAGATACATGTATAAAACGATTTGGTTATGCATACCCAGAAGTCACAAAGAATGCGTACACAGTCAGGAAGAACTGCAAACATTTGCAACTTGTAGCATAACCATAGATTTCCAGATAATTTTGGTTATTAAACAATATATCACGTGACTAACCACAGGTCGGGTAGTCCTGTGGGTTCACGGGTCCTACTCAGTACCCACCTAACCCAAGTACCAGAGTTACCTGTCCCAGGTCTAGTTAGCACCATGCTCACAGAAGGGGTAGACCTCAAAATGCATCCGAGTCCTCATGTCACCTTGACAACAAATGTGGGAATACCTGAAGAGGTTCCATACCTGGAAGTCGGAGCGAGCCCTTCATGTCCATCCATCTTCTCATTTCATATCCTATCTACCTGGCTTTATCTATATACTATGTCATATACTATATACTATATCTACTGCCTTTCAACATAATGCTGACTCGGGGTCAAGTTGGAGGGCATCTTTTGTCATACGCCGAAAGTTGGAGTGAGTGTGAGTGAGTTGGGTTTAACGCCGCTTTTAACAGTATTCAAGTCATATCACAGCGTGTCAGCTTAATGTGGGAGGAAATCCCGAAGTGATGCAGGCCTCAGACGTTTACCACTTCGGTGAAACCCACGAGCACGGGTATGGTGCTGGCAAACCTAGAAACATAATCGGGGCGAACTGGGATTCGAACCCACAATCATAGATTTCTGGCTTGCCCAAGGGACGCAACTCTGCACAGCGAATCGGGGCGCCTTAGACAACTGGGCCTCCCGTGCCCCCCTGAAAGTTGGAAGCAGATCACGTCCGACCACTGGATTCTCAACATTGTTTGATGGGGATACAAGCTACACTTCCGTCAACTTCTACTTGTATCCCGGCCAACAGGCCGACGATTCCTTATGGAAGGGACCAAAATCTAGGCAGCCCACCTGGCCATGGGAACACTCCTAGAAAAGAAGCCCATCTGGACAGCAAGGGTTTTTTCTCTCCAGTTTCTTAGTTCTGAAGAACTCCCTGGACTTTAGGAATATAGATCTCAAGGTTCTCAGAAATCTTATCTAGTCCCTCCTTTCAGTTTCCAGATAGAATCAGTAATGAAGTTAAGTTCAAGCCTGAGATTTGGAGATTGGCTCATCTTCTTGCTCAGACACCTATCTCAATGTCCCCATTCATCAAGCATCGCAAAAATATTTACACTTTGCAGTCAAGGGGTCTTCTTCCACTTGGGGTCCCAATAGCACATTGACTAGTCACCAGCGTCACGTCTCCCATCATCAGTTTTGCCCACTTATAGCTAGTTCAGTACATTCATGCAATGATGTAATAGAGGTAGAAGATTCACAAGAATTATAGGAGCAATGGTATCATTGTTAGTTATTCTAAGAATACTACCCCTATAACATCGAAAGTACTCCCTACCACTTCCCCATTCATGCCTCTTGTTGGTAAATGTTTGGAAAGAAGTGAGGTTTTCCAGCCTTTTCACACAGAAGAGCTTTGAGCTGCTTGGTGCTACTGCAGTGATAACTAGTTGCATAGTTGACAGTGAAGAAGATTTCTGTTGATAATCTGAAGATTTAATTATGGTGTGATTGCAGCCAAAATACAGACATTCAGCAATGATGTAATGGAGGTAGTATTCATTAACTATGATTGTGGGTTCGAATCCTGGTTTGCCCCAATTATGTTTCAAGGTTTGTCAGCACCATACCAGTGGTCATGGATTCACAAAAGTGGTAAACATCTAAGACCTGCATCACTTCAGTCTTTGTTACCACATTAAGCTGACACGCCGTGATATAACTCGTCACCATAACTGTATGGTTGTGATGGCAAAGACGTTATTGTGCATTCACTTTTGAACATGCATGGTGACAGCAGTTGGAGTCATCTTCCCGAGGCAAGAGAGTTAACTGACTATAAAAGTCCAGTTTCCACCCTTGCCGAACTAGGCTGGTATTATGGGGTTACATTTTAGCTGGACTAACGAGTCTATGCAAAGTCCAATCAAATTCACGCAACGAAATCGAAATCCGGTTTGTAAACTGTCGCATAGATTTCGGTCGATTGCAGGAATTGCAAAGTATGTGCACTGCAAACTCGGTGTCAGCTGATATTTTCCAAACCTTTTCATGTTTTTAATGAAGATGCTCGTGTGATCTGATGCACCTCGCGATGTGAGACTCGTTTTATCACAATATAGATCTTGATTACCGATCAGATCGTCTTGCTGGGTGCCGCGATTTTGTTTGAAACAAATGCAAATGATGGAATCTGATTGGTCCATAGGAGAGGCTTAGAAGGGACATAACTCGTAATAACCACTGGTGGCGCTAAGATCGAGCCCAGGAATTCAAGCTTAGTTCGGCAAGGGTGGAAACTGGACTTTTAAAGTCAGTTTCTTGCCTCGGGAAGATGAGTTGGAGGTTACCCGAGATGCACTTTGAATGGCATCGCAGCAACATGAAATGTCCATTATGTTTGTTATCTAAACGGGGATTAGGTGGTTACAATGGCTGCTCAGTGTGGTTACTGTTTGGGAAAGGGGCCTAGTGGGGAGACAACTCTTCTGGATAATAAGAATTGGTTTGTCACTGCACCCAGATGGTTAGGATATATATGTTCCATCTATCAGCTGTCCGTTTGATTGTCCCGAGATTTTGGTTTGTTTAACATTTCTGGATTTCTAAGGTGTTACTGACAATGTCATAAAACTGGCTTCATTCTCACATGCTGTGATATAAATCTGCATTACAGAACTGACCCGGCTTGTCGGATCGCTGTGTGGAACATCCATGAGATCCAGTATGTGTACATCATGAACAGGTCCAGGAGTGAACAGGACGGTGGTCAGGGTGTCAGGTAGGTCCAGTACATCATGAACAGGTCCAGGGTTTCAGGTAGGTCCAGTACATCAGGAACAGGTCCAGGGATGAACAGGACAGTGGTCAGGGTGTCAGGTAGGTCCAGTACATTATGAACAGGTCCAGGGATGAACAGGACAGTGGTCAGGGTGTCAGGTAGGTCCAGTACATTATGAACAGGTCTAGGGATGAACAGGACAGTGATCAGGGTGTCAGGTAGGTCCAGTACATCAGGAACAGGTCCAGGGATGAACAGGAGGGTGGTCAGGGTGTCAGGTAGGTCCAGTACATCAGGAACAGGTCCAGGGATGAACAGGACAGTGATCAGGGTGTCAGGTAGGTCCAGTACATCAGGAACAGGTCCAGGGATGAACAGGAGGGTGGTCAGGGTGTCAGGTAGGTCCAGTACATCAGGAACAGGTCCAGGGATGAACAGGACAGTGATCAGGGTGTCAGGTAGGTCCAGTACATCAGGAACAGGTCCAGGGATGAACAGGAGGGTGGTCAGGGTGTCAGGTAGGTCCAGTACATCAGGAACAGGTCCAGGGATGAACAGGACAGTGATCAGGGTGTCAGGTAGGTCCAGTACATCAGGAACAGGTCCAGGGATGAACAGGAGGGTGGTCAGGGTGTCAGGTAGGTCCAGTACATCAGGAACAGGTCCAGGGATGAACAGGACAGTGATCAGGGTGTCAGGTAGGTCCAGTACATCAGGAACAGGTCCAGGGATGAACAGGAGGGTGGTCAGGGTGTCAGGTAGGTCCAGTACATCAGGAACAGGTCCAGGGATGAACAGGACAGTGATCAGGGTGTCAGGTAGGTCCAGTACATCAGGAACAGGTCCAGGGATGAACAGGAGGGTGGTCAGGGTGTCAGGTAGGTCCAATACATCAGGAACAGGTCCAGGGATGAACAGGACAGTGATCAGGGTGTCAGGTAGGTCCAGTACATCAGGAACAGGTCCAGGGATGAACAGGAGGGTGGTCAGGGTGTCAGGTAGGTCCAGTACATCAGGAACAGGTCCAGGGATGAACAGGACAGTGATCAGGGTGTCAGGTAGGTCCAGTACATCAGGAACAGGTCCAGGGATGAACAGGAGGGTGGTCAGGGTGTCAGGTAGGTCCAGTACATCAGGAACAGGTCCAGGGATGAACAGGACAGTGATCAGGGTGTCAGGTAGGTCCAGTACATCAGGAACAGGTCCAGGGATGAACAGGAGGGTGGTCAGGGTGTCAGGTAGGTCCAGTACATCAGGAACAGGTCCAGGGATGAACAGGACAGTGATCAGGGTGTCAGGTAGGTCCAGTACATCAGGAACAGGTCCAGGGATGAACAGGACAGTGGTCAGGGTGTCAGGTAGGTCCAATACATCAGGAACAGGTCCAGGGATGAACAGGACAGTGGTCAGGGTGTCAGGTAGGTCCAATACATCAGGAACAGGTCCAGGGATGAACAGGAGGGTGGTCAGGGTGTCAGGTAGGTCCAATACATCAGGAACAGGTCCAGGGATGAACAGGACGGTGATCAGGGTGTCAGGTAGGTCCAGTACATCAGGAACAGGTCCAGGGATGAACAGGAGGGTGGTCAGGGTGTCAGGTAGGTCCAGTACATCAGGAACAGGTCCAGGGATGAACAGGACAGTGGTCAGGGTGTCAGGTAGGTCCAGTACATCAGGAACAGGTCCAGGGATGAACAGGACAGTGGTCAGGGTGTCAGGTAGGTCCAATACATCAGGAACAGGTCCAGGGATGAACAGGAGGGTGGTCAGGGTGTCAGGTAGGTCCAATACATCAGGAACAGGTCCAGGGATGAACAGGACGGTGGTCAGGGTGTCAGGTAGGTCCAGTACATCAGGAACTGGTCCAGGGATGAACAGGACGGTGGTCAGGGTGTCAGGTAGGTCCAATACATCAGGAACAGGTCCAGGGATGAACAGGACGGTGGTCAGGGTGTCAGGTAGGTCCAGTACATCAGGAACAGGTCCAGGAATTCACATGACAGCAGGAAGCTACGATTATACTGTAACAGTTTCATCCATGCTACATGCATTAGATGCAGTATGCAGAGGATATGCAGAATATTCCCGTGAGAGTCTTGTCTTCCTTCACCTTCATCTTTACAGCCTGTGTATTAAAACAGAACCTCTAAAGTCTTATAGTGTTGGAAACATTGTCGTTATAACCATGATAAAACTAAAAGTCCATACCAGCAATATCTATAAACACATTTTAAATGTTGAATGGTGATATGGCATCAACAATATATTGATGACAATTTCAGACCCAGCAGTAGCTCCTCGATTCTCCATGGGGGCCAGTCAAGACACCGAGCCACGGAGAGCGGGGTGGGGAATGAGGCGATCACCAACTGCCGCTGTCTGTGTGACCTCAATGCCTCAGCCATGATGTGGACGGACGAGGGCTTTTGCTGTCCTGTCAGACACTCCTACCTCCTGCTGGGAATGGAGGTGGGATAGCTTGTGTACTTAAGTGTGTGAGTGAGTGAGTTGGGTTTAATGCCACTTGAACAGTACTTCGGTTGTATCATGGCACGTCAGCTTCATGATTAAGGAAGGCCTGAAGTGATGCGGGTCTTAGATGTTTACCACTTTGGTGAAACATACGACATGGTTTTCATGGTAATCAACCAAGAAACATACTGTGGGCCAACCAGGATTAGAACTCATAATCTACCAGGACAACCCTGGACTGCTGGGCCACTTGTGCTTTTGTTGAAATTTTTATATAATTTGTATTTCAATTTCATACTATTTCCTGTCATATATATGTGTTGCTTATAAGTCGACCAAGGGCAGTCGGGTAGCCTAGTGGTTAAAGCGTTCCCTCGTCACGCCGAAGACCCAGGTTCGATTCCCGACATGGGTACAATGTGTGAAGCCCATTTCTGGTGTCCCCCGCCGGGATATTGCTGGAATATTGCTAAAAGTGGCGTAAAACCATACTCACTCACTCACTATAAGTCGACCAAGAGAATAGATATGAACACACAATGCCATTTAGAAAGTGATCAAATGTGACAAATGTTATATTTGGGGTAACACTTTCTTAGTAAAGTACAGATTCTCGTACTTTTGGGGGGTTGAGTCTCGTCCGGGATTCGAACCCACACTGCAAGAGCGAGGCACATTATTGCCAGACTTAAAGTTTTTGTAGAAGCCCCGGTGGCTGAGTGGGTTAGATCGCTGCTTTGTGTGCTGGCGATTAGGTGCTTCACTCTGGCAGTGTGGGTTCGAATCCCGGACGGGGATTGTCATCCCAATTGCAACATTTGTTACATGAGAGAAAAGATGGTCACCAGAAACATAAAAGATGATTTTAGGTTTTTATGCAAAAATTTGTTATTGAGGATGACAGCGATTGCATTTCAACTGACGTTATAAAGTTTAGTTAAGCAGTATTTACTAAATAATAAATGTGATGTGGTATGATGAATTCAGGATGGCCGGATCCTGTTCATGGATCCTGTGGTCAAAGGACAAAAGTACATGGAGTTCAAAGCTTCAAAAGATGCTGTAAGTAGACAAGAACAACTCCTTGTACCTCTGAAGTGAAGGAGTCAAATCCACTGTTTTTTGTTACATGGCTCGATTTGGCTATATAAGGCTAAAAAACAAACTAGTCTTGGTTCTCAGGCCCCGCTGCATCATCAGAAAGTCTGCCACACATTTCGTTGTTTTTTTCCATTTTAAAAAAATAAAATAAAATCCTAATTCTTAAAAACAATGCAATCCAATATAGAACACGGTTACTTCCCTTTACATGCGCACTGCTCTACTGCACATCTTATGTTATGGTACCGTATTTGACGTAATAAGCGCCCAGGCCGTTCTCAAAATTAGAAATAGGGGCTCTTGTTAAAATATTATTTTGGTGAAAAAAACCAACGAGTTGAAAGATAAATTTTATGTTCATGTACGACAGATATATTTTTCAAGAATTTAATTGCCCATAATTAAGGTTGCATATAACACACAAGTGATGTATCATACGTGAATAAATAAGTCTTGTGAACATTGATCAATCGGAAGGGGTGCTAATTAGGATTGTTCACTAGCCAATATATTCGCAAATATCGCCGTGGGCGCTTATTACGTCGAATACAGTAATGGCGGCAATAGGAGTGTGTATGCTTGTTTATATAGGGAGGCCCTTTCCCAGGTTGGTTACATACTAGTTTGAACAAGCAAAATAAAAAAAATAAAGCACCGCCCTCCCGCACTATAATTTCAGAAGTCATTCCTGAGAACCGATTCTTTTATTGTTTTAAGCCTTAAACATGCACTAGTGCAACCTCTTATTGAAAAATAAAACCTATTATCTATGTCTACGTGACCAAGTGCATGTAGAAAAATTTCAAATTTGTGACCCTTACTTGGCCACACAACATCGACCTTCGAACACATTCAATACCTCTAAAGGTTATCTACCATACTATGTCACTAGTCCCAGTTACGTGTAATTTGTCGTGCTTTCTTGTTGTAATAACATCATCAAACTGTGTGTACTTCAAGATTATGTGCACATGTGTTAAAGACATCTTGTTTCTATCTTCAATGATCAACAAAGACAAATCGTCAAATAAATCTTCTGTATTTCTTCAACTCATCAATCAAATATACATTTCACATGTCCGCCATTTTTCCATCTAACACAGGGGCGGATACAGCTTTTTTGAGGAGGGGGGGTGCACAACTAAGATTTATTTATTGTCTTTGGTGGTAATTTATACAGAAATAAAGATTTTTTTCGAAATAAAAAGTGGGGGTGCGCACCCCCGCACCCCCCCTCTGTATCCGCCCATGTAACACATGTGACCAAGCTCCTTCCCAGCGCGTGACACCTTCGTTACACTCTCGGTAACATCGCTGCCACCAGTGTGGGCGCGGCCATTACAAGAATCTTGAAATTTGCCCTCTAACCCCAAATGTTGTAACGTTGATACTTTTGTTTATGTCTTTGGGAATGCCATGATATTTTCAATTTGAAAAGGTTTACGACTGACCATGTTTTCCAGATGAATTTACTTGTTCGAGATTGCAGACTAACGGAAAATCAACCAACTTCTCCCTTACTATATCAATAACACGATAGTTTTAATGAAACAGTAATTCAAATTGACAAACGAAGAAAGTAATTTAGCAGCGATAAGTGTATTCGGCGTCACGACAGTCGTCACTTGTTTGTAAACATAACGGTCATTCGGTTGCAATTGCGAGTTCAACTCCAAGCTTGGTTGTGGCCACCTATTCACAGTGGGGAGTTTTGACTGGTGGCAGAGATAGTATAGAGAGCTCCGGGAACGTTCTATCGCTGTGAGGAGCTTGACATGTGACAATTAAAGGGAAGTAACTCTTCCAATATAAAAAGAATAAATGAAGTGCAAGCTAACATAAAACCACTGACACTAAAGTTTAGATTCTAACAACATGTACCTTTTACGTTTTACAGCAATTTGATTAATTCGATACTGGCAGCAGACTGGCCTATTTTTCAACTTTGGTAAATTTATGGGACCTGTTTATTTTTTGGTGCAACTTGGTTTTCATGTCAACATGCACTTGGTGCAAGTTAAATCTAGTTCCTTAAATCAAGCTCTGGTTTAGTTTGACTTCATGACAGGCCAGGCACATGAAACATGGCTTGATTGTGTCCATGAGCAAGTGACTTTCTTCTGAATAAGCCTATATTCACCCAGCAGTGAAGGGTACCGGGGTAGAATAGGTCTTCAGAAACCCATGCTTGCCGTAAAAGGCGACTATGCTTGTCGTAAAAGGCGACTAACGGGATCGGGTGGTCAGGCTCGCTGACTTGGTTAATACATGTCATTGATCCCAATTGCGTGGATCGATGCTCATGACGTCAATCACTGGATTGCCTGGTCCAGACTTGATTATTTTACAGACCGCTGTCATATAGCTGAAAAAATGTGATTAAAATTACTTTTAGTTAATCAACTCATAAAGCGACATGCTTGTGTATGTAGCATGTGTTTCTGCTTGTACTAGTTTGAACTAATGCCGGTTTTATCGTGCAAGTAGAATAGGTCTTCAGCAACCCATGCTTGCCGTAAAAGGTGACTGTGCTTGTCGTAAAAAGTGACTAACTGGATCGGGTGGCCAGGCTCGCTGACTTGGTTAGTACATGTCATTGATCCCAATTGCATGGATCGATGCTCATGACGTCAATCACTGGATTGTCTGGTCCAGACTTGATTATTTTACAGACCGCCGTCATATAGCTGGAATATTGCTGAGTGCAGCGTTAAACAAACAAACAAACAAACAAAATGGTTGGATGAGATGGAAATAGGAATGCTAAACCATCCAGTGGATGAAAGGCAGCTTGGGTTGTATACTCCCCTGGGAGCTGAGAATGTCATTTGAGTGCAAACGTATCCATTGAACATACTATGGTAATTGTGTAGCACCATGAGCATGCTTTATGATATGATGCAACACAGTATTAATATGCATTTATCATAATCCATGTCAAGTAATATTGTGATGTCACCAGATTGAGGACATGAGGCACGACCCCGGCCACGACTCCCTGATAACGTTGTGCCTCCTGAAGGAGTTGATGCAGATACAGATTTGGAGCCTCCCCGACCTGGCTCTGGTGCATGAGGTCTACTGTGCTCCAGACATCGCACACTACGCACGAATAGTGAGACCATCTACATTACTCATACACTCGTCTCAAAAGTCCTATCAGAAGAAAAAATATTCCAGCAGAAAAAAGTGCCAGTGTTCTCAAAAATGCATTATTTACTGAACATGACTGAAAGTTAGTATCAATTTTGATGAGATATATTACATTTAGATTAGACAATACTGATAACACAACTTTTGGGTTGATTATTGTTCATTTTGCATTGAATTAATTAAGTTTAGGGAGCATTCATTGGATTTCTTTTGGGTGCGTAGGAAGGTTTTGTAAACAAAAGGTTTGTTCAGAAATATACCCATCATTGATATTTTGTTCAGAAGTATGCCCAAAATAAATAGTTTGTTTGTTGTAGTGAAAAAAATGAATAGTTTGTTTTGTGGAAAATACCCAAGCGTCAATTTTTTGTGTTAATAGTGAATAGATTGTTTTATGGTGCTCAGTAAATATATAGTTTGTTGGATACAGCTGGGAAAAAATAGATTGTTCTAAATAAATCCCTCCCTCACCCCCCTACAAATCAAATGGATGCTCCCTGAAATATTTTTTCCCATACTTCTATCAAACTGGTTCAATAATTATCATAGTGAGGGAAAGAGTAAGAGCAGGTAACTCCGTATTCGGAAACTGTGGTTCACGCAAAGCTGTTGTCATTCTGTATTCTGTGTTTTGTAGTAAGAGACAAAGTAGCAGGCTAAGTGCATGATGTAGAGAATACACAGGTTCCTGTAATACCGTATATCGCTGTGGCTGTTTTTCATACCTAGAATTACGGGGGTCAAGGGGGGTCGTTTTATACACTGGGTTGAAGAGTTTTGATGTTTTTTTCCCCGACACAAAGAGATTAGTGTGAACACGTATCACCGGAAATACCATCACCAGTAGATTCCGAGAAACGTGTGCACAGCTGAATGCTGCTTCCGGCTTAGTTTACAAGACACTACACATAGTATTCTTAATCTCTGCATGTAAAACAATGCCTAGTGTTTCAATATCCCGTGTTATCCAAACACTAATTATAGAGACAACAAGAAGTACGTCTGACTTGACACTTTACTCTCGGAGGCCATGATCTTAAAAAGCCCGGATGTACAGGGATCAGTTATTGTACTGGATTGTGATATGATAGGGAGCAGTCATTACTCGATATTGCAACACCTAGCAGAACAGGAAATACAATTTTATCAGTCAATCATCATATCTAAAGATGTTTTATCTCAAATTTCAAATTTGTATTGACCAAGTTTAATTATGATCTGTTTGTTTCGCAGAAGGGATATGATTTTTTTCTGCGGAAGACAAACAAACACGTTTTTATTGCAAATGTAGGGATTGTGTATGTGCTTGTGACGTGCTTCATTCCGATTCGCTTTATAGACGGGGTGTATAAATTAGCATCGATTTTAAGGGCTTGTACAGGGGGGTCGCCTTATACATGGGGTTGCTTTATAGACATCTTCCCGAGGCAAGAGAGTTAATTGATTTAAAAGTCCAGTTTCCACCCTTGCCGAACAAGGCTGATATTATGGAGTTACATTTTGGCTGGACTAACGAGTCTATGCATAGGTTTTTTAATCAAGGTGCTCACGTGATTTGATGCACTTTGCGATGTAAGACCCGTTTTATCACAATATAGATCTTCGATTATCGATCAGATCGTCCTGACTGGGCGCCACCATTTTGTGTGAAGCAAACGCAAGTGACATGAGAGGTAAAATATGATTGGTTCATAGGAGAGGCTTAGAAGGGACATTATTTCTTAATAGCCACTGGTGGCGCTACGATCGAACCCAGTTATTCCAGCCTAGTTTGGCTTTGGCAAGGGTGGAAACTGGACTTTTAAAGTCAGTTAACTCTCTTGCCTTGGGAAGATGCTTTTTAGATGGCGATATACAGTATTCGAAATGACCATAAAGTTTATGTAAAATGTCTGAACTGTGGAGAATGCTGGTATTTGTCCTCGTCTCTCAGGGATTTTTTAACAGTTCGTTGTATCCGTTTGTTCGCTCTATCCGTGTTCGTTATATCCATGTTCTACTGTATTTGTCCTCATCTCTCTGTCTTCAGAACATGACCTTCTTGACTGGACACAAAAGTGGTTGTGTCAATGACTACACGTTGACGCCAGCTGAGGATGCGGGGATGTACAAAGCTAAAGGTGATAGTGTGGTTACATTCTCAAAGTGATGCGGGCCCTGGGGTAGACTAGTGGTTAAAGCGTTAGCTCGTCACGCCGAAGACCCGGGTTCGAATCCCGACATGGGTACAATGTGTGAAGCCCATTTCTGGTGTCCCCCGCCGTGATATTGCTGGAATATTGCTAAAAGCGGCGTAAAACCAAACTCACTCACTCACTCACTCAAAGTGACGCGGGCCCTGGGGTAGACTAGCGTCATGCCGAGGACCGGGTTCGATTCCCACATGGGTACAATGTGTGAAATAGAGATTACGACACAAGTGTCTGTCAGATACCATTTATCTTACGAGTTTTGGTTTTTAAAAATATTTTTTATTCAATTCAGTATATGACATTACATGGTTATACATGGAGTAGCACGTCTTGTGGCATACTTGTTAGGTATAGGTTACCTATACAGCAGACAGCAGGTCAGCAAGTTTAAGTTCGCTACAGGTGTCCATCAAAGTTTACAAATGGGGAAAACGTGCAAATATTTGCCATATTTATTAACTAAGTATTATTATCTTACGAGTTGTTTCAAAAGGTATCTAACAGGCATGATTGGAGTGATCTGATTCTTACACCCCCTAAAATTGAACCATTTTATCATCAAATGCATATTCTGTCTATTCTCATGATGACAATGGCGCATTGATACATAACACAAATATCATTTGTGACGTCTTCCGGCCAACTGCTTACTACCCATACCTAGTGTGACCTTCCACACTAAAAAAGTTTTTGCCATATCTGGATTATCAAGGCGATGATGACAATACAAACTAGACAAGACCAAGGAACACTCTAAAGCCACAAAGTTTTGACACAGACGTAGGTGAATTTGACCGAAGCACAAGTGAATTGCAATCATGAAAGAAGTCTGTCATAATTTGACCTTAAGCCATCACCATGGAATAGCCAATCACGGACCTGGAAATTGATCTCACACATAATTATGTTTGATACAACTTATCTCAAATGGGTTTCTCACCCACGGGTATCAAAGAAACCATTTTCTGGTGTTTCCAGCCATGATATTGCAGGAAAATTGTTACAAGTGGCATAAAACCATACTCACTCACCCTCAAAGTCAAAGTTTTGTCAAAGACGAAAAACTCAATTATGAGTTTTTCGTCTTTCAAAAATTTTGACCCATACAGTCACATGCAGTTCTTACCCGAAAAATAAATATTTTCAATCTTTTATTGTCATTGAGGGTTTACATTTTAGACCTTTTTTTGGTATGACATGTATTTAATTGTGTCACAATGTTTTTTTCAGCTGTTCCTGAGTTTTCGGAGGCTGTAGACATTTACAAACGTCCCGAGCACAATGAAGCTATCATAGCTCTGGATGCCTGCCAGACCATGAAAATATTCTGTTCCTGCAGGTACAGACCAAGTCTGACATTTTGTCACTGAAAGGAAAATAGTTTAAGATTTATTTTGTTAAATTGTTTCTTCTGAAATGAAAATAGGCTTTTATTGTTAAATAGTCTTTCAATATATAATTATAAGGAGCCCAGAGAATCTCTTCATTTTCATGTTCACAGTATTATGGATTTGGGATTTTGGGGATAATTTGTTTTAGGGTCGGTATCAGAGATTAGTTCCGACACTTTATCTGGTCGCATAATTCCCCTTTTGTCCAACATACAGGCTGGGTTATTTACAGACTGGTGTGATATAACTGGAATATTCCTCTAGTTAAGAGTCTTTTAATAAACTTTATACCGGTATTGGTAAATGATTCTTAGGTACATTTGAAGATATATTTCTGTCTCCCTTAAAGCATATTTGTTTGTTTGTTTGCTGTTACATCCTTCATAGGCAGATCAAGGGGGACCGGAAAACCCCCTTTTACAAGAACCAAATGTATGTTGTAGGCAGTAAAATTGTCTGAGATAGGATTTTGATATTTTGGACCCCTCCCTTTTAAGAATGCTGGATCCGCTCTTGTCCCTAACTCAGCAATATTACATTTGTATGAAGACAGCCTGGAACTAGTCAATTCAGGACCAGGTAAGCCAGTGCTTGTTATTGTGAGAATCATCAATGCGGTGCAATGGTGCACAATCATCCAATTCACTGACCTCCTCATCATTAAGTTACCATGTGCTGTGCGACAAGCAGTTCGATAAGCAGTTCGTGCGACAAGCAGTTCGTGCGACAAGCAGTTCGATAAGCAGTTCGTGCTACAAGCAGTTCGTGCGACAAGCAGTTCGATAAGCAGTTTGTGCGACAAGCAGTTTGTGCGACAAGCAGTTTGTGCGACAAGCAGTTTGTGCGACAAGCAGTTCGTGCGACAAGTAGTTAGTGCGACAAGCAGTTCGTGCGACAAGCAGTTCGTGCGACAAGCAGTTCGTGCGACAAGCAGTTCGATAAGCAGTTCGTGCGACAAGCAGTTCGTTCGACAAGCAGTTCGTGCGACAAGCAGTTCGTGCGACAAGCAGTTCGTGCGACAAGCAGTTCGATAAGCAGTTCGTGCGACAAGCAGTTTGTGCGACAAGCAGTTTGTGCGACAAGCAGTTCGTGCGACAAGCAGTTCGTGCGACAATGCGACAAGCAGTTTGTGCGACAAGCAATTCGACAAGCAGTTCGTGGGGACTTGTTCTGACCTGGAATCACCAAGGGGACCTTTTTATATAACGTTTGGCAAGGGGCTATGTATATACTAGGGGACATTTTCAACTTTTTGTTTTTTGTTGCCAGTGATGAAGGTGCTATCAAGATCTGGGATGAGTTCCGAGTGCTTCTGACAGAGATTACACTGGACAGTACGCTCAGTGCGGCCTGCTTCCTCAATGACTCTGGGGATATGGTTGTGGGGTTCAAGAAACACATGTTTTTTATCGACCACACTAAAGGTATGTTGGCAATCATTGGATAGAGACGGTGATGTGATGTGATGTGATGTGATGTGATGTGATGTGATGTGATGTGATGTGATGTGATGTGATGTGATGTGATGTGAAGTGAGGTGAGGTGAGGTGAGGTGAGGTGAGGTGAAATGGTTTTTTTTAAATTGGATAGAGACGGTGATGTGATGTGATGTGAGGTGAGGTGAGGTGAGGTGAGGTGAGGTGAGGTGAAATGGGTTTTTTAAAATTTTACATTCAGGATTATTGCACTTTTATAGCGATGCGTGTGTATGCGTGTGTGTGGGGGTCTGGGTGTCTGTGTGTGTGTCTGTGTGTGTCTGCGTGCTTGTGCTTGTACTAGTCCGAAGTAATGCCAGTTTTATATTGCTACCCCACTGAGATGCCATGCCGCAATTTGACATGGATACCCCACTCAGATACAGTATCCTGACCCCGAGGCCAACCAATCCTTGTTTTAGCCCCTTAACGCTCAGGCAATGTAACAACACATGTACCATCTATTAATGTCCGACCTTCCTCTTTCCAAAAGACGCTTGGAGGCGGTCTAGAGACTATGATATAAGTGTGTAAGGTTAACCAATGTTTTTAAACTATTGTTTCGGGAAAATATCTTTCTGTTTCAGTTTGTCCATTTCTGACCCCTCCCGAAACTGAACCAGAAACGTTTGATCAAGGTGGGTTGCCGTTTTACATAACCAAGGAGTAAAGAAAAATATTACCGTTTTCAACATAATAAATACCTAATAACCCAAGGCGATATTTGCTAATATATTGGCTAGTAAACAATCCCAAATGGCACCCCTACCGATTGATCAATGTACACAAGACATTTATTATTTAATCGTGTATAATATGCACTCGTGTGTTATATGCACCCTTACTTACAGGCAATTAAATTCTGGAAAAAAATATATGTCGTGTATAATACGCACAGACTTTTCTTTTGTATCATTTCAGGCTGTCAGCATAAACCACAAATTTACGATCTTTCAACCCTTTCACAAAAAAAATTTCTAATATGAGCCCCCTATTTCTAATTTTGAGAGCGCCCTGGGCGGTTATTACATCGAATACGGTATAAAGTATCATATAGTGGGCTTTATAACCCACATGGTGAAGATACAGGTGGTAAGATACTTAATCTGTACGTCACACGTGTGTCGTACAAGGTTGACCTTGTTTTGATTGGATAACCGTGACCTCTGTCACACCGGGACTACTGTTTTCATTCATAAAAAATCGCGAGACGTCATTCATTTTGCGATTACAAGGCAGAACTGAAGAAATTCATGAGAACAAGAGATATTTACAAACACTTTATTAAACCAAACAAGATAGTCACACGCATCAAATTCGGTTTGCATTCTATATACGTTATGCATTGAGCTCCTACAGACATATAATCGAGCTAGATCTATAAATCGATTTACAATGTATGACTGCCGATCGAGCGCGTACCTTGAGCGTTATGCACCCGACCATTTTCTCAACTTTCAATTTGATTTAACGTAAAAGGATAAGCGTGGTGAAATGAAGTCTGTTTAAACTATCTGGACAGATATCTAGACTTACTTGTGATGATCGGGTTGTGCCATCGGTGTCCCCTTTGAAGAGTATTTTATGGCGCTGTTTCGGGAGGTGTTGTTCATGAATGAACGAACACGACAGCACGACCAGATCACTTAAAGTTCACAGTTCCGATACAAATCATTCAAAAACTCCGTGGAAGTGTGCTTGACTTCTGATTTTGTGGCCCCAAACATCCCAAATGTGAACAGTAACATTCCCTATCTCTAGTGTAAAACGCTGTGAGTGGATCGCGGTTGTCTTTTCTTATTCCGGTGGCGACCTTGCCCTTCAATCGTTCGAAGCTGTCACTGACATGCAAGCAGATTTGAGTTTGTTGATTTTCACGTCTTCAGTATAGGGTGGTACAGTTAACATGAATGTTTATGGCGAACAGTCTGATTTCCCTATTCCAAAATGGTACGGACATGATATAAATTCAGCTGATAGATCAAGGAAACCGAACCATTTTGATTGCACAGACGGGACCCCGGCAGTGTGATGCGTGTGACTGTTGGTCGGATATTCAACTGTTCAAAGCGCGGCGCTAATGTGACATTTCAAATTTTCTTATCGGTGTCCTGCTTACTAACAACATGGCGCTTGAATTACCATAAGTTGAAGACTTTCTTCCAAAAGGATCTTGAGCATCAGTGCTGGTTTGTTTGCAAACAGAGCAGCAGGCGCATGTTGTTAATGCGTATGCATAAACATGTTAACAATGCCCATATTTGGTCATATATCAATATTCATGCGCAACCAGATTTTGCAACCGGTTTCAGTTTGGTCTGTCAACGAACGAAAGTTGTTATGTATTTACACTTAAAAATATATTTAACGTGGGTAATACATAAAATACCACACTCATTCTCGTTAGATACCATTTTTACAAAACTCGTGAACTTTCTATGGTATCTGACCGAGCTTTTACTCAGTCAGATACCATAGAAAGTCCACTTGTTTCGTAAAAATGGTATCTAACGAGAATGAGTGTAGTATTCTCTATATACATATTTTCTGACAATCCACTACCAGTGACTAGAGGTGACTACAGAAATGACTACCGGTATTTGACAATTAAGTAACTGTTGATCATAACTATTGACTCCTGTTAGTGTCAAAACAAGGGCAAGCCAAAAGGTCCTACCTCTCGGTTAGCCACGTATATAGATACTATCTGACAAGGGTGTTTTAATCATGTTTTTCTACATTTCTAATACCACATTAAAGGAATTGAAAATACAAATGAAAATAGTACATTATATTTAGACATGTCAAAAACAAGTTATCAAGTAACCAAAAATGAGATCAAGGATTTTGTGAGCACTTTCTTGAATGGTTGTTGTAGAGAAAAGAAGATAATATTCTTACACTGTTCTTGTCTGGCTGTTCGTTACAGAGTCGTTTGTGTATGAGGATCCTGCAGTGATGTATGAGGGGGCGATGGGGAATCCTGATCCCATCACACTGTCTAACTACTTGGTGAGTCGCAGAATTACAAGGCAGGACCCGTGAAGATCCGGAGTAGAATAGGTCTTCAGCAACCCATGCTTGCCGTAAAAGGCGACTATGCTTGTCGAAAGAGGCAACTAATGGAATTGGGTGGTCAGGCTCGCTGACTTGGCATTTTTGAAATTGGGGGGTCCAAAATATCAAAATCCTCTCTCAGCTAATTTTACTTCCTAAAACATACTACATTTGGTTTTCAAAAGGGGTGACTCCGCCTCTAGATCTGCCTATGTATTACATTTCTTTCTTTAGTTAACCAATCTTATATTCAGTATCAATTGAGTTTTGAGAAATATATTCAGTTTGTTTCAGTTGATGTCTTTTGAAAAATTGATTCATCCGGATTGACATTAATTATTAAAGTGTGAAGCAGTGTGCTATAGCAGGGCAAGACTTTCATCGATGTAACTATCTGATCATGATGTTTGCTATAGGTGCCTTATGAACTGGAGTTTTCTAAAGACTTCCTGGAAGGAAAGCTGCAACTTGACCCCATGAAGGCGAAGAAAGATGAGGTATGTTGTTGATATATGTTCAATATTATTTATAATATACCCAGGGGTGATTCTAAGGCAGAGTAGATTCACTTTGTCCATGGGTACGGTGAGATTCCCGGGTTAGGAAAGGTCCCAGCAATGTTTGGCATGCGAGTCAACTGAATGGATCCTGTGGTCAACGTCTTTCTCAAGCTCCTCACAGCGATGGCCCGTTCGTGGAGCTCTCTATACTATCACTGCCACCAGTCAAAATTCCCACTGTGATAGGTGGCCCCAACCATGCTTGGAGTTGAACTTGCAACCGAATAACCGGTATGTTTACAAACAAGTGACGACTGTCGTGATGCCGAATACACTTATCGCTGATAAATTACTTTCTTTGTTTGTCAATTTGAATTTCTATTTCATTAAAAGTATCATCTTTAATTGATATAGTAAGAATGAAAGGGAGAAGTTGGTTGATTTTCCGTTAGTCTGCAATCTCGAACCAATCTGATTATTAAAACAACAAAGTAAATTCATCTGGAAAACATGGTCAGTCTTAAACCTTTTCAAAATGAAATATGATGGCATTCCCAAAGACATAAACAAAAGTATCAACGTTGCTACATTTGGGGTTTGAGGGCAAATTTCAAGATTCTTGTAATGGCCGCACCCACACTGGTGGCAGCGATGTTACCGAGAGTGTAACGAAGGTATCACGCGCTGGGAAGGAGCTTGTGTCTGAGGCAAGGGAGATAACTGACTGTAAAAGTCGAGTTTCCACCCTAGCCGAACTGGACTGGAATTTCTGGGTTCGATTGTAGCACCACCTGGGCTATTACGAGTTACGTCCCTTCTATGTCACTCCTATTGACCAATCAGATTCCATCTGACATATCACTTGCACTTGCTTCAAACAAAAGGGCGGCGCTGATTGAAGACGATCTGATCGCAAATCATCATCTATATTGAAATAAAACGGGTCTTACTTCGCAAAGTGCATCAAATCTTGTGAGCACCTCAATTAAAAACATGAAACAATTTGGAAAATGTCTGTTGATGCTTGGTTGTCGGTACACATGCTTTGCAAATCCTGGCAGTTTACAAACCGGGTGTTGATTTTGTTACGCCATGTTGATTGGACTATGCATAGACTCGTCAGTCCAGCCAAAATATAACTCCATAATTCCAGCCTAGTTCAGCATGGGTGGAAACAGAAGTTTTTTGTATTGGAGAAAACACGCTTACAAGGCATGCCCTGGGGAGAGGGAAAAACCAAGGGGTCGAAGCCCCCGCGGTTTTTCCCGACCCCCAGGGCATGCTCTGTCTACCAAAACCGAGGGAAAGTGTTTTTCCATACTTATAAACCGAAAAAAGAAACTTAAAACAACATTTATCAACATTTTTATGTTTCGAACATACTTTCCATGAACCTTAGGAAACGCGCGTAAAATATCTGTTGCTGGGGTACGGATCTTGAAAAGGACATTCTAAAAACCAGTGTGGCTTATCAACACCTCTGTAGCCTCGTGGTACACTCACTGGGCTACAGATATGAAGGTTGCGAGTTCGATCCTCGGGAATATAAATTAAACGTATGTCATTTGATTTTACATTTCATTACATGTTACAGTCTGAACGGAAGTCACATTAATAAAATACCCAGGACATTAAATAAAATTCCTGGGATATTATAGCAAATATGACTTGAATATCCTATAAAATCCCTGGGATATTATATAAAATCCCAGGGACATTACAACGTCCCTGTTTATGAGATTTAACCCGACTGGAAAGTAAAACCTCACAATAGGTTTTAATGCCTATAGAAAGAAGTCTCTTACTTAATAGCGATCCCAATGAATAGGTTTATAAAGTCAGTTAACTCCCTTGCCTCTGGAAGATGGGTGGTCCGGCTCAGTGACTTGGTTGATAGCGTGTTGATGGCAAAGATCATTGCTCACAACGTTGATCGTTGCTATTATATGCTCATGGTAATGTCTTTGCTCTGGGAATGTTGTTTAAAAAATCAGTGTCTGTGTGTGTTATGCACACATCTTTTACACAGCTGTATTTTTTTTAGAGAAAATAGGGTAATCAGTCTGACTAAAAATCTATCAGTCTTTGATATATGTGAGAATACTGACTGAGAAACAGCAAAAAAAGGTTAAAATGGTTTTCTTGATTTGAGTTGCATGAATATTTGACTACCTTGAAAGTATTTTTGGTATGTTCCAGGAATCGGAAGAGGAGTCTGAATTCTCCATGGCACCAACCGAAATCTATTTCTCTCCGCCGGACACACCTAAACCCCTCTCTACCCTCGACCTCACACTGGGGTCAGAGGTCAGCAAGTATGACCTTGTCAAGCACATGGAGAAGACCCTTCAGATTCTCATAGAAAGAGGTGACATATCTTTCATGAATGTTGAATTATTGCCATGTTCATCTTAATGCTGTTTCATGTTTATTAATAAATGATCCAAAATAAATAAATAGGGACTGACCGTTTAAAGATTTTGGGATTGGCTGGGATTTTTGTTTGCAACAGAATGTTTTTTTTGTCAGTCAGCTCTTCAAGATCTGTCTTTTTTTCCTCTGAAAGTAGGAATCATGTTCTCTCTTTACTCAAAACACATAATGTTTTAGAACGTCCATGGGCAGTGGAACCTTGCAAAGAATGATTTTTTTTCAAAAGATTTCAAAAATTGCACCAGAATATCAGATGGTTGACCTACTTTAAAAAGTCTGAATGGTTGTCCAGTTCTTGCAATTCTTGCATCATCATCATCATCATCATCATCATCAGTCATCATCATCAGTCATCACCATCATCAGTCATCACCATTATCTTGGTCTATACATCAGTCACAGGAATTTGGAATGGGCTTGCCATTTCAATAGCATCATAAGGTTAATTCACAAGATTGGTACTTGGGTAGCCATATTTTTAATATGCTGAACAGTTGAGAGAAATGTTGAACACGTGACTATTTCAGCAACTACCCCTGTGTATAGACGAGAGAGGACTCCAAGACAGAGACGACAGAGCACTGCCAGAGATTCTGCTGGTACACATATATACTGAACCACAAAAGAAACATCACCATGCATAGATATATGAGAAGCCTTATTTGTCCAAACACTGTAAACATACTCTGAGACATATTAAAAAGATGAAACTTGGCAAAACTGATCATCAAGGTTGAAATTAAAGTGTCAAATGTTCTTAAAGTGAAACACAGCACTAGCCTCTAAAAAAATGGCATCACAAGTCAGTATTTCGTGGGTCCGCCGAGTGCATTGATGACTGATGTGCAACGTCGATACATGGAATGGACGAGGTGGTTGATGAATGCCATAGGCACCTTGGGCATGTGCAATTCAATTTGCAAGGAACTCACATGCATCAGGTTACCATGGCCGTTGCCATGATGCCATTAGGCGATCAGTTTTATTGTCATCTGCTTTGTTTTTTATCATCAAATTTCATTTTTCCGGACAAGGTAATGTTAAATTTTATTAACTTTGCCAAAAATTACCCAGATATTTAAATGACAACTTTTCATGCAATGTTACTTGGGGTGATGTTTCTGTTGCAGTTCAGTATAGTTAGCTTCCCTTTTCTCCGCACTAATGTAGTGATAGTGTCTTCGTAATTAAAAAAATTATAATTTCCTGGAGAACAACAAAACTACCGTTAGTTACATTCACCACAGTCGCCCAATCGTCAATTCACTGCCCAAAGTTGCGTCACTTAGACGTGCCAGAATTCTGTTAGAATCCTTGTTTGCCCTGATCATGTTTCTAGAATTTGTCAACATCATACAAGTATCTGTGGGTGGGTGAGTGGATACCTTCCACATCGTGGCTTCAAACAATCTTTCAGCTACTGTAGTGCAGTCAACAGCACCATTGAGAGATTTTTTGTCATCTTTATTTTCAGGAAGCGCCACAGAATTAAAGATTTTATATGTCATCTTGTATGTTAGTTTAGCTATAGCTTAAAACTGCATAAGAAGAAGATTTCCCTTTCTTAATCTTAGTCTTTTTTAAACTTTGTAGAGTAGTCCTTTTTCCTTTTTTTAACATTTCTTGTTCAGTGAAAAAATTCTTTGCTCGAGGTACATTTACTCTTTCTTAGAATACAAGCTGTAAACTGTTAAATATCTACACTGTTCTCGAGACATTAGTAGAAATTATTTGTTTAGATATTTGAAGTCATGATTCTCAAAGAAATTCATAAAGTAAATTGAAAACAGATTCTTGTAGTACAGGTTGGTTGATGTTGGGAAATGTTGTTTTTTAACACGTGCCACAGGGCACAGCTGTTTTAGTGTGCCCTTTGGAACTTAAATGTGCCAAAATATAAAAGACTTATATCCTTATTTGAACTCAAGCTTGAAAAATAAAAAATATTTTAAGCAGTTTCAATATAAACAAATTCAATACAGAAAGTTTGCCCCCATTATTTTCATTATTTGCTAAATGTCACTTTCAATCCCCAGACGGTGTCATACCAAAAGATGTTAAAAATGCTACTTGTTGTTACCCTGCCTGACGTCAGCTTGAGGAGATAAAACAAATTCATTGTAGAAAGTTTGCCCCCATTATTTTCATTGAGATTCATAATACCACATTCAATTTCTGAATTTCCAGGTATGTTCACATGTCCATCATTGTCCACCAGTATGTCCACCTTACCTGTGAAAAATGCATTTATCATGTCATAAACATCATCACAACAAACAATTGCCAAATGTCAGTTTCAATCCCCTGACTACTTGTTGTTACCCTGCCTGAAGTTGGCATGAGGAGATAAAACAAATTCATCATAGAAAGTTTGCCCCCATTATTTTCATTATTTGCCAAATGTCACTTTCAATCCCCTGACTGCGTCATACCAAAAGATGTTAAAAATGCTACTTGTTGTTACCCTGCCTGAAGTCAGCATGAGGAGATAAAACAAGGACTGGTCAGTTCAGACCGTATACTGTGTCTGAGTGGGGCATCTATGATATGGTATCTTAGTGGGCTGGCACTATAAATTGTTTGTTTGTTTGTTTGTTTGCTGTTTAATGCCGCACTCGGCAATATTCCAGCTATATGACGGCGGTCTGTAAAATAATCGAGTCTGGACCAGACAATCCAGTGATTGACATCATGAGCATCGATCCACGCAATTGGGATCGATGACATGTATCAACCAAGTCAGCGAGCCTGACCACCCGATCCCGTTAGTCACCTTTTACGACAAGCACAGTCACCTTTTACGGCAAGCATGGGTTGCTGAAGACCTATTCTACTGGCACGATAAAACCGGCATTAGTTCAAACTAGTACAAGCAGAAACACACGCTACATACACAAGCATGTCGCTTTATGAGTTGATTAACTAAAAGTAGTTTAATCACATTTTTTCATCTCACCTCACCTCATCTCAACTCTGAGGGGGCGGTTGGGTAGCCTAGTGGTTAAAGTGTTTGCTCAACACGCCGAAGACCCGGGTTCGATTCCCCAAATGGGTACAATGTGTGAAGCCCATTTCTGTCCCCCACAATGATATTGCTGGAATATTGCTAAATGCAGCATCAAACCATACTCACTCACACACCTCTGAGGGGAGCAAGGACAGTGAAATAGTCGCTGTGTTAGAATCCTTCAATGTAACAGAGTCATACAATGTTTCCCATACTGCATTTCAGAAGATGAGGAAGAATAGTTTTTTTCATGTGTATATTCTCATCTGTCATTTTACGTTTTTAGTTCATTCAGAATGTAATTTCAGGCAAAAAGAGGAAACATCGGAGAAGCAAAATAACCATGGCTGTCAGTGATGAAGAGACAGACAAGGAGGATGAAACAAGGGGGATAACTCCATTTGAGTTTCCTGCATTTGGCAGCTCCCCTGGCCCCTCCCCCTCCCCCTCCACGCCCCCCACGCCCGCCACACCCCTGTCTGCAAGTTCTGCTGAAGACTCAGAGGTGAGAGTGCCTTGTTTTGAGAATTTTGAAATTCTTCAACACTATAATCTCTAATAATCCTAGATTTGAATAATGATATGTCAAAGTCATGATAAACAAAGGGGTTTATCTGGACCTGCTCAGAGGCTGATATTTGACCCCCAATCTGAAGCTAATGTCATTATAGATCCCCATACTGGAATTAAATAATTACCCAATTCATTTGTAGAGATGACTGTATTTCACTGATATAAAGGGGGAAAGGGGATGGAAGAGGCTTTACAGTGTGACACTAGTGCATTGAACATGTTAAGGCAATGTTAAGGTATCGCCTAATTCATGAAAAGAAGAACAATGACAAATCCATGAGTTTATGGTGGCTTTTGTTAGTACCAGTTTGAAATATTGGTTGTTGCCTTTATGAGAGTAACACTATGTAAGTTTACCATGCCAGTAACATGCCCTCTGTTTACTATGTAAGTGACCTGTGCCAGTAACATGCCCTCTGTTTACTATGTAAGTGACCTGTGCCAGTAACATGCCCTCTGTTTACTATGTAAGTGACCTGTGCCAGTACCATTCCTCCTGTTTACTATGTAAGTGACCTGGCCAGTAACATGCCCCCTGTTTACTATGTAAGAGACCTGTGCCAGTAACATTCCCCCTGTTTACTATGTAATTGACCTGTGCCAGTAACATGCCCCCTGTTTACTATGTAAGAGACCTGTGCCAGTAACATGCCCCCTGTTTACTATGTAAGAGACCTGTGCCAGTAACATTCCTCCTGTTTACTATGTAAGTGACCTGGCCAGTAACATGCCCTCTGTTTACTATGTAAGTGACCTGCGCCAGTAACATGCCCTCTGTTTACTATGTAAGTGACCTGTGCCAGTAACATGACCTCTGTTTAATATGTAAGTGACCTGGGCTAGTAACATGCCCTCTGTTTACTATGTAAGTGACCTGTGCCAGTAACATGCCCTCTGTTTACTATGTAAGTGACCTGGCCAGTAACATGCCCCCTGTTTACTATGTAAGTGACCTGTGCCAGTAACATGCCCTCTGTTTACTATGTAAGTGACCTGTGCCAGTAACATTCCCCCTGTTTACTATGTAAGTGACCTGTGCCAGTAACATTCCTCCTGTTTACTATGTAAGTGAACTGTGCCAGTAACATGCCCCCTGTTTACTATGTAAGTGACCTGTGCCAGTAACATTCCTCCTGTTTACTATGTAAGTGACCTGTGCCAGTAACATGCCCTCTGTTAACTATGTAAGTGACCTGCGCTAGTAACATGCCCTCTGTTTACTATGTAAGTGACCTGTGCCAGTAACATGCCCCCTGTTTAATATGTAAGTGACCTGCGCTAGTAACATGCCCTCTGTTTACTATGTAAGTAACCTGTGCCAGTAACATGCCCCCTGTTTACTATGTAAGTGACCTGTGCCAGTAACATTCCCCCTGTTTACTATGTTAGTGATCTGTGCCAGTAACATGCCCTCTGTTTACTATGTAAGTGACCTGTGCCAGTAACATTCCCTTTGTTTACTATGTAAGTAACCTGTGCCAGTAGCATGCCCTCTGTTTACTATGTAAGTGACCTGTGCCAGTAACATTCCTCCTGTTTACTATGTAAGTGACCTGTGCCAGTAACATTCCTCCTGTTTACTATGTAAGTGACCTGTGCCAGTAACATGCCCTCTGTTTACTATGTAAGTGACCTGTGCCAGTAACATGCCCCCTATTTACTATGTAAGTGACCTGGCCAGTAACATTCCTCCTGTTTACTATGTAAGTGACCTGGCCAGTAACATGCCCTCTGTTTACTATGTAAGTGACCTGTGCCAGTAACATTCCCCCTGTTTACTATATAAGTGACCTGTGCCAGGAACATGCCCTCTGTTTACTATGTAAGTGACCTGTGCCAGTAACATTCCCCCTGTTTACTAAGTAATTGACCTGTGCCAGTAACATTCCTCCAGTTTACTATGTAAGTGACCTGTGCCAGTAACATTCCCTTTGTTTACTATGTAAGTGACCTGTGCCAGTAACATTCTTCCTGTTTACTATGTAAGTGACCTGTGCCAGTAACATGCCCTCTGTTTACTATGTAAGTGACCTGGCCAGTACCATTCCTCCTGTTTACTATGTAAGTGACCTGTGCAAGTAACATTCCTCCTGTTTACTATGTAAGTGACCTGTGCCAGTAACATTCCTCCTGTTTACTATGTAAGTGACCTGGCCAGTAACATGCCCTCTGTTTACTATGTAAGTGACCTGTGCCAGTAACATGCCCTCTGTTTACTATGTAAGTGACCTGTGACTGTAACATGCCCTCTGTTTACTATGTAAGTGACCTGTGCCAGTAACATTCCTCCTGTTTACTATGTAAGTGACCTGTGCCAGTAACATGCCCTTTGTTTACTATAAGTGACCTGTGCCAGTAACATTCCCTCTCTTTACTATGTAAGTGACCTGCGCTAGTAACATGCCCTCTGTTTACTATGTAAGTGACCTATGCCAGTAACATTCCCCCTGTTTACTATGTAAGTGACCTGTGCCAGTAACATTCCTCCTGTTTACTATGTAAGTGACCTATGCCAGTAACATTCCCCCTGTTTACTATGTAGGTGACCTATGCTAGTAACATTCTCTCTGTTTACTATGTAAGTGACCTGTGCCAGTAGCATGCCCTCTGTTTACTATGTAAGTGACCTGTGCCAGTAACATTCTCCCTGTTTACTATGTAGGTGACCTATGCTAGTAACATTCTCTCTGTTTACTATGTAAGTGACCTGTGCCAGTAACATGCCCTCTGTTTACTTTGTAATTGACCTGTGCCAGTAACATGCCCTTGGTTTACTCAGGATGAAGGCAATGTCCAAGACACGTCCGGACAACGTGCTCGCTCTGCTGTGACACAGGAACAAAAGTTACAAGGTGAGTTCATCAACTTATACCAGCATCGTGACGTTGATATAACCTCATCTACATACTTTTAGAATATAAGAAAACATTCATGAATAAACGTATACCTATGAGAGTTTTTGAATAAAGAATGACAGTCAAGGGGATCAACTTCTACATTTGGGGGTTGTCTCTGGACTGTTTAGATTCAAAAGTGAAAAATAAACAAAGCACTCAATCATCCTATGTTAATTTTCAACACTGCATGTCATTAGTGCAATCGTAATTGAGGGATGTTTTATGAAATTATTGAATGATTATTTTTGTTTGTTAATGATTAAAATAATATTATATGTGCATGTGTCCCCACGATTAGTGGCAGATTACTAAAACCACATTATACACTACTGCCTAAAAGTTCATTCCCCTAACACGCGTTGAGAACGCGTGTAACACGCATGTGACACGGGTGCTCAACGGGTTGCACACGCGATTCACACCCGTTGCACACCCGTGTCCAACGGGTGTGAATCGCGTGTGCAACCCGTTGCACACGCGTGTAACACGGGACCGGGTTCCAGTTGAAGTTGACAAATTTATCAAATGAATAGTGAAATAAAACAAAACAGTGAGATGTGAAATTTGAGTTAATGAGCGGCCATTGAGCTGTGTTCACCAGACCGTAAATACAAGGTCGGCCCATCTTAATTAGTGTTCGGTTGCTAGACTTTTATGGCATGAACCATTCCACTAGGGTCCAGTCTAGCCATTGTGGCTAGCCGACAGTAGAACAGTAGTGAATTTAGATGCGAGTTTATTGCTAAGAAACCCCCGTGTTGACACGATTGTCGCGGCTTGGTAAATGTTCGCCATTAATAAAATAATTGTTTGTGGATTGCGAACATATTCATTTGCCCACACGAGTCATTCCATTTGATTGCAAATATAACGTTTTTCGTTCGCCAAATTTATGCTTTAGACAGTTCAATTATGACATAGCCGTCACCACTACTAATGTCTTATTATTTCACGTAGGAATATGTCCCATTTCCCCACACCCAACTTTCTGTGTTGTATTTTGAAAAATAAATAAAAGAAGGTTTTGTGTGGGAAACTTTTATACTAATTATAAGAGGATGTTGTAAATGAATATGAACAGCCATGCTGTCTGACAGTTGATAAAATTTGAGATCTTCACAATCACCGGGTGTGACCATGTAGACAGAATCTCGTTAGGGTTTGTCATTTTTACATTTGCCCAATTACCATAGTGAGTATTGCTGGGGATACCAAACGTAACAGTTTATTATTAGAGGTTGTGAGTACCTATACCACGTAGATAGGATATCTTTAGGATTTTAATCCTTCTTTGAGAGGCATTTAGAAGTTGGAGTACTACGTTAGGATAAGATTTATGGGTGACTTTAATCCTTTCTTTCTCTGTGGGTAATCCTTTCACGTTCATTTGAGGAAGTCACTCAACCAGGTCATGACAGGTCGTGAGTTTACTTACTAACTACTGTGAGCGTTTTTGGCATGACATCTTTTCTTGTATAAACATAGAAACGATGCTCACTCACTCACTGTTAATCTTCTGCAGTTTGCTGGCAAAGTGGGGATAAACCTCAGTGTCAAAGACGATCAAACTTAGTTCGAATCCTTGTTTATATGTGACATCTCCCAAATGGGGACATTTTCATAAACTTGGCAAGTGATGATGAATTTTAATATTAATATTATTATAGTTTATGAAATTGTTAATAAAACTTTAATAAAATTGTGCTTCACTCTCACGAAAAATATATTGCCTGTGAGTAAATTTATTTGTCACGTTACATCGGCATTTTTCAGTGATATTGGGACTACATGAAACATGGCTGGTTTTACATTTCTGATACAGGTGCTTGACTGACTGAGTAGTTCATGATCAATAAGATATGTTTAAATCAGTCAAGTTTGCAACAATAGATGAATAAGTTGATACATTTGGACCGCAGTTACCGATTAACAACTTAAGACATAGAGACAGGGAGGAGATATATAACCAAACCTATGATCCTGTTGAGACAGTTGACAGTTAGAACGTTGGATTAAACGACAGTAACTAATTTGAACATTCCCCAGTTATATCATAAAATACATCATAACCCATAACAGTCCGAGAGACAGCTTCCAGACATATACTAGTATTGAAGGGACAATCGCTTTTGACAGTTTAAAAATAAACTCACCTTAAGGTGCTTGGCAAATCAAAACTGACCTCCCTGAATATGTTTTTTAGGTTTGACAGCAACTATGCTTGTGGATTTCAGAGATAGACATGATTGGTTAGCTAGATGTTATTACAATAAGCGAAAATGTCTTAAAAGTCCACAGTTGGTTTAATAGTACAAAAAGTGTGTTATAGATCTATCAACGTTTTCTTTTATTGAACATAATATTTGCACTATATTGCTGTAAGCTGTAAATAATCTAGCCTCCCCATGTACGTAACTTACATATATTTATGTATGGCCAGAACAGCAAATAGAGTTCTGGTAGATAGGTACCTCGGAGATATAACGTGCGCTTTCCGACTTAAGCCTATCTCGCACACGGGGAAGCACTTGTACTATTAGGGTAAAAAAGGGTAATGATTAAATAAAGAAGTGCAATCTATTTTCTATATATATTTGTAGATATGAAGCATTCTAGTTAATTGTGGATGCACCGGGCAGACAGAATTGTGTTTATTTCCAGGCCATCCTGATCGTCGTTTACTACTATAAGGTGTATGGTTGGAGGCAAGATCAAAGGCGCCGCACAGCATTTATTAGTTAACAGACGGGGTCGTCCGTTTCGCTTTGAACAACCACCCCACCTGTCTGTAGGAGTTATATAATCGGTGCGCAAATAATTGTGTCAAGTCCACTGCCGGGCTGATGCGGTGTCAGTGTCAGCGATGAACATGAATGCTCAAATTATAGACTTGTAGCACTCACAAGTTGCTTAGCCAAATTATTTGAAAAGTGTATATTCAATTCTCTGATAACAGGAAATATAACCTTAGGAAAAGATTCAACATACAAACAATCAAATGTAGAACACAGTCCTATGCTTATTATCATTTTTTCTGGATATGATCAACCTGCGGAACCCTCTATCCGATGAAGTAACTAATGCTCGCTCATTAAAAGAAATCAAATCCTTAATTAATCGTTCTGATGCAATTATTAATAATTTTGACTTCAAATATTTTCATAGATCATGCCAAATTGTCCACTGTCGCCTTAGGCTCGGCTGCAGTGACTTAAACGCTGATAAGTTTAGACGACATGTATCAGACATACCAGACTGCACTTGTGGATATCACCTTGAAGATGCAATTCACTTTTTCTATAACTGTTAAAAAATACGATAATATCAGAAACACTGTGTATTTCTACACACATGGGTATGGTCTAAAAATTATATTACATGGCAGTAGTTAAGCAGTTCTACAAACATGACTCTTCTTAAATCAGTTCATGACATCATTGTCAAAAGCAAAAGGTTTGAGTAGCTTAAGTTTATGCATGTAGTAAAGGAAAACTGCATTACCTTATTTCAAAGACACCACTTGCTTGCTTTCATTTGTGCATTTTGTATGTTTATGTTCATCACTCTCTTATATATATCCAGCGGTTGTTAAGTTGTTACCTGGAGAGGTATTACATAAGCATGTTTTGCTTTTTTACCGATACAGATTTCTTTTGAAATAAAAATACGTTTAAGCCAACACAGCTAACGGTAAAACACATGATTGTAAACTATTCAAAAAGGGGCACTAATCTCTGGCTTCTTCTCGGGTGTCGGACTCAAACTCATTTATTCTTAGAATAACATGACATACAATTATCTACAATTTTTATTATGTACAATTTAATAAAAATAGGATACGTGGATACTAATACAATTTACCAATTGTATTGTACACATTGTTAAGGAATTTAGATAGGCCTTTAAGATTTCTTACACTGTTAGTGGTCATAATTTTCTTAAATGTTTGGAAACTTAAGATATTGCTTATTTAAGAGTTCATATCGCCGTTGGTGAAAAGCTTCACATCGGATGTAATGCAATTCATCTCCCACGGCGATAGAATCACAGAGTGGACACTGGTTGTCTTCCCTGGGAATGTTCAGCCATCGACCAGTTTCAACTGGTACTCCTTGGTTAGAAAGTTCTGACTTTTAGTATTGGGAGAAATATTGATTTTGAGAGCAGTAGATATTTCGCAAATGAAGGTTGATTCTTCAGGTAGCATGACCTTTGGATTTCCGCTTGGGCTTACTAGCTGCCGTGAGTCAATTTGCTCGTTAACGCAACCGAGCGTGACAAGAGACTGGGCTACCAGTCTGCAAGGACAGCTAAATAAACTTACGCATTTTTGAAAACTGATTGGTTACCCGTGATCTATGAAGATTTCAACAAAGGGCGCATGGTAATTAATTTCTTCAGCCTAAACAAACAGACAAATAACGGCGAAAGCTCATCGGATGTCGTCATTTGGAAATACCCCTGATTGTTACAGTTTGATAATAAAAAAGTATCCCTGAGTGAAAGCATTTGCGGATTTCGGATTGCGTGGATGATACAATTACTACTCCCTTGTTGTCATCCACATTTTCTGGTATAACCCTACACTTGTGTATTTGTCGTAATTCACTTGCTGCTCAGTTAATGAATTTATAACATGTATACTTAGTTGTAGCACAACTCAGATTACCCGATAAAGGTTCAAATTTGGTCTTTCTTGTAAGTGGGGTAATTATTTAATCTAAATCCAGGTTTGAAGTGAGGTGGAATGTGAGTCATGCACGTCGCAGCCCAGCAAGTGATGTATGATCAGTTGCTTTACTTTTTTTGTAAATCAACTGATCATTCCCAGACATCAAAGGATCAACAGGAAATACGTTGATTGATTAATTACTGTTATCTTGCACAGTGGATACGTCAAAAGTAAGTGTTTACATGTGAAGGTAGGGTTACTAAACCTAGGGAATACTCATATCATGGCGTGAAGTACAGATGTAAAAACAACATACAGTCAAGTCTCGTTAATCCGACACTCGTTAATCCGACGCTCGGCTTTATCCGACACAAATGATGGGAACCGATTGATTCAGCGCTATTTAGTCCCGTTAATCCGACATTCTCGCACTCCGACTCCGACACACCTAATTTGCAACGAATTACTGAAATCACTCATTAATCAGTCTCGTTAATCCGACACAGTGGTCAGCGTACTCCGTGGTCATCTGCCCGCGAGTACACAACCCCGTGTTTTGACACGCACCGGCTGCAGAGATTAACTTTAACAATTAACACTAGATGCCAGGATCATAAAGAATTTCAAGCTTTATTATAAGAAACAAATGAAATTACACCTCGACAATGTTGATGCTGAAGGACCGATAATACACTGACTAGTTGTTCATTGTTATCTAACTCAATGTATGTTTTTAAGAACCGTGGACATTATAAAAATAGTTGTCACGTGGGCTTTCTCAGCTAACTTGGCACCTATGTGAAACAATTGAAACAAAATAAGTGATCAGTTAAGAAACAAACACGGGTTATACTATTCGATACATTTAAATAACGTTTAAAAACGATATATTTAAATATTTTAATATATTTCATATATATTCCAAATATTGTTTCCAAATATTGTTTCCAAATAGTTATTATTAAAGTATTTGATTCTCACATAGACATTTTACATCGAATAAGTATTTTTGTACAGCTGCAGACGCAACGGATATTGTTCCTGTATGTTGATATTCCCGGATACATTATAACTTTGGTAGGTTGTTATAATGATATTTGCATTTTGTTTTCATTCATTCGCTGCAGCTTTGAACAGAATCATTCTTGTTCCTTTCCGTTTGGTTGGGAAGTTTTTCGATGCGCGATAGACGGTGTTTTCACAAGTATTTTCTTTTGTAAGCGTGTATATGTTACAGTCAATGTGTAAAATATGATTCACTCAGGCAATTTATTAAATATCTAAATATTTCAGTCATTTTACAAATTGACTGAATAATCCATTCATTTATTTAACCGACTGACTAAAAATGATAAAGACGACCAAGAGAGCTTAAACACATCACAATATATTAATTATGCTAAGAAAAGAAGCCAAACAATACAGAACTGTACTTGGTGATGGTATTAAACATATTTGGAATTCGTTATCATATTAATAAAGATGGACATATTTTTCAGTTAATTTGTGAAATAAACTGAATATTTAGGCGTTTTAATACATTTCCTTAGTGAAATCTGTTTACATTTTGAATGTAAACATATACACACGGTAAAATAAGCAATGTTCAGTGAAATATTTACTCTGTGTTGCAAGTCAAAATAGTGTACACGAAGATTGCACAATTACTAAGCAAGTGACTTATCAAAACTGCATCACCATTACCGATGCTCCCCACAAATATACCTACATTTCAAAAACTGTATTTCATTTTTGTTGATCAGTGTGACCATACGTCCTTCTACTTTCAATTAAAATGCGCTTACGAATGGCGAGCACAGGTCGCGAACAAGTCTAGATTTCTGCTATATCATCCGGGTACTCACTGGGAAAATACAGTAATGCACAGGTAACAACTACTCCCGCGGAATTGCTTTAGATCAGTGTCCTTTGTACGTTGAAATACTATATATTGTGAAAGACAAAATGATGTATCAAGGATCAAGTAGAAGATACATTGACCGTTGCGCTGGGAGTTTATTCAACAGACCGTGAAAATAACACTGCTGTATCTTATTATTTATTTTAGATGATGCAGGCAAAGCTCACTTCTCCTGGCGGCCATTATCAAACGGCCAGCTAAAACACAACCCCGCGCTTACGTCTACAGGTCTCTTCCTGTAGTACGGTAATTAGTATTCTCTCCCTCAAGTGTATCCTCAATGATATAACCCACCCTCATTAATTACATGCTGCTCTTTTCCAGCCTCACGGCTATGGAGCTGTGATAAAGAGTCCAAGTCATCATAAAGTAATCAGGGTCCAATAAAAACAATGCGCCGCCAAACCTCATACATATTATCACTGAAAGTCGTACTACAGACGGTTAATGTCAAATCACAATAAAAGCATTTCAATTGCAATAACATGTTCCAGGACCATGTATTCTCTTAATTAACACCATCGGATTTAGAAGCAATGGTCGTATAAAACAAAACAGATCTATTTAATCGCAACAGTATTCATGTTATTCCCACAAAATCACATAAAGAAAGGAGACATTAGGAAATACATGTGTATTATCATTTTTCGTCAGGATAACAAAATTTTCTCTCCTTGTTACCACCTCCAGGTTCAGCTTAAGACGGGTCCTCCTTTGGTCAAAAGTTTGTTCCCCCTCTAATGAGTGTGTCACGCGTTGCACACGAGTGGCGGACGGGGTGCACACCCGTGTGCAACGCGTTGCACACGGGTCTCACACGCGTGACCAACCCGATGCACACTGGTTGCGTAACGCGTTGCCCATGCGTGTAAGGGGAATGAACTTCTAGGCAGTAGTGTACCTCATACATGGAAACTTGTACCATTAAGCTGCTTTTTTAATGTGACAAGAAAAATATCTTTGCTGTTTGCATGTACTGTTTTTCATAACCTCTGTGGTATTATTGTAGCTCTTATAAAGGCAAGAGTTGATGAAATTATGCCACCTCCACCTCGAAATGACCCCTGGTCGAAAATGGTTAAAGTATTCGGTAATGCATAGACACATGATAGACATTAGTAGAAGGAATAGACCATTCCATTTTGTTGGAACAATTCAGTAGGAGCATTCTAAGTCATAGTTTATATGTGTAGAGAAAGTAGACACTCCACTCTGTAGAAACAGACGGCAGTAATTGTTTGTAGAAACTAATCATATCACTCGTCAAAGTGAGTGAGTGAGTGAGTTTGGTTTAACGCCGCTTTTAACAGTATTCCAGTTATATCACAGCGTGTCAGTTTAATGTTGGAGGAAAGCCTGAAGTGATGCAGGTCTCAGACGTTTATCACTTCGGTGAAACCCGTGAGCACGGGTATGGTGCTGACAAACCTAGAAACATAATTGGGGAGAATCGGGATTCAAACCCACAATCATAGGTTTCTGGTGTGCCCAAGGGACGCAACTCTGCACAACGAATCGCGACGCCTTAGACGACTGGGCCACCCACGCCCCCCACTCGTCAAAGAGGGGCGTAACCATGGTTGGTACGCCGACACTCTTTGCAAGTTTGATTCAAGTTTTCAAAGCCGGAGTGGCCCAGTCATCTAAGGCGCCACGATTCACTGTGCTATAAATAGAACAGGAACTGGTGGAGTTACCGCCTGTAATGGCAGAAGTAGCATAGCGCCACCTGTAAGCTTGGTGGAATACAAGGGTGTGGTCGTAATAGAGGACGTGCCCACTATTACATTTAAGATTCATTTAAAAGAACTGTTTTGTTCTTGTTTTTTTGTAAAGTTTTTGACATTATGATAAATATATGTATGTAGCAAGAGGTTGTAGAGCTATATGTCAGTGACATCATCATTTCTTACTATTCGTTGTTGTGTATCGTGATACCAGTGGTATTACCAGGCCGTATTGTGATACGTATCTTATCGCATGAGTCCTTTGCAAGTTACAGTTAAAGAAGATGGACAGAGATCTGATTGAACAAAGTAGTTTTTGTTTTAATGCGTAGAAAGTAGATATCTTTCAGTTTCTAGAAAAACAGATGTTAAGGTGTTTGCTTATATTACCGTATTCGACGTAATGAGCGCCCGGCTTGAATAAGCGCTCACGGCAATATTTGACGAAAAGATTTCATTATACTTTTTTTATTTGCCAAGAATTTTGAACCAGCTTATGTTTGTTTCCATATAATTTGTTTCCTTTTTGCCGATATAGCTGAGCCTAAAACGACTAGAACTGACAAGATTAAAATAGGTTAGATTCGGCAGTCAGTGGTTGTAACAATTATGTGTTGTGTTTTAGTTTCATTGCATGTTCCTTGTGAAAAATCAGTAATTTTAATTAAAAATGGAGGTTAGAATAATAGTATTTTCAGTAAAACATTATGTGGAAGGTAATTGAGTAATATTCTTTATGTCATATGACACATCAACACAAGGAACTGTCAATGTGCCAGTCATTCGTATCTTGGTCAGTGCATGTGCTGTCTTTGATATTTTCGGTAGACAATAGCTGCAGCTATTGCACTAGCATATATTGTGCAGTTTGTGCAGTTTGTTTGTGAATGTGTTGTATGTTTTAACATATTTTGTCCATAATACATTTTAGCTCACCTGACTAAAAGTCAAGCGAGTTGTCCAGCATCCATTGCTGCCCTCATCAATGTCTGTAAACATCATCTCCCTAGAAGCCAATGATGGCAGCTGAATTTGTTGAAGAGGTTTGATTTTCAAGATGGACGCCATGGCGGCCATATTGAAAAATCTATCTATCATCTTCCAAATGTAATGAAACTTTTGAAATGTGTAGTTAGAAGTGGAACAGACATGCGTTCCTGTTTTTGTGATATTTAAAGTGTTTACCTTTGCTATTTGACTTTTGCACTTTAACTATGCTTTCGGTTCTCTAAAGATGCACTCGAGACTATGTACTGATATCTAAATTTATTCAAAAGGCTGGTGTCCAATTTTCAATACCTGCTGTGGCTCAACATGCATTTTAACATGTTTTGCATTATTTTAAATTCAAAAGTTGATTTGACTTTTGTACTTCGGCCACACTCTTAAATTTTCTCAAAATGCATTTTTGTCACAATAAACGTCTCCCTTGAAATTTGCTAGACAGGAAGCTGAACATTTGGCATGTATGTTTTTTCTTCTGATGATATTGTATCTCATTCAAATGTATAGAAAAGATGTTCAGTGGATCCAGGGTATTTATCATCACAGAATGGAGACATACCGGTAATACCCTGGCTAACAGGCTGGCTTGTACATCTGTTGTGGTAGCATGATTTATTTATATTTGAATATCAATGCTGAAAGCGTCTTTGTATAGTGGCAGACACTTTTGACTTTTGTAACTGTTGACTAAATATCCAGGTGAGGTACAGTGCCTTGGCATTTTTTGCTTTTGATAATCTCAGATTTAATCACATCTTTTTGAATGTTCTATTTTCCTCACAACTAGTAACAAGAAAATTAACTAAGCATTACTTAAACAAAACGCAGTTGTTATGTATATATTTGTTATTGACAAAGTTTATGTAGATTGACGTGCAAAACAAATGGAAAAAGTAACTCTCCTGATAACGTTAACTCAAATTTAATGATGTAATATTGGTAGAGACGCATGAAGATTACCGTATTCAACGTAATAAGCGCCCCCGCTCTAATAAGCGCCCACGGCGATGTTTGCTAATGTATTGACTAGTGAACAAAACCCAATTAGCACCCCTTCCGATTGATCAATGTACACAAGAATTATTTATTCGCGTATTATACGCACTCGTGTGTTATATGCACCCTTAATTATGGGCAAATAAATTCTGGAAAAATATATCTGTCGTATATAAACATTTCAGGCTGTCAGCATAAACCACAAAATTTATCTTTTAACTATGTTTTTTTCACCAAAATAATATTCTAATAAGAGCCCCCTATTTCTAATTTTGAGAGCGCCCTGGGTGCTTATTACGTCGAATACGGTATATGATAATAATCCTTGGCATGGATGTCCCCTGCTGTAGTGTCCAAGACAGTGCTGAAGAAGGAGGTGAAGCAAGAAGTGGACGCTCTCAAGTTTTCTCCCAAGTCCAAGATCAACCTGGGGGACATGAAGGTGGACATCAAGAGCCTTCTGAAGGAGAAACGTCACGTCCTGAAGGTCAAGGAGGCTGACCACTCCCATGTCAAGTCCGAGCAGACCGAATCTGTCCGGGTAAGTCAGATTGTGGGCTCTACTGTATTTTCTTGAGTATAGTGCACACCCAAGTATAGTGCGCACCTAAGTATAGTGCGCACCCAAGTATAGTGTGCACCCAAGTATAATGCGCAACCCCAACAAGCAGATTCTTTATTTTGGAGAAAAATTTTTTTTTTAATATTAAGAGGAAAAATATTACACCGTTACACGTACCCCTTCAGCGAATTCAGGTAAACCAATGGATGATACGAAACTTGGCCAGGACAAATTTGAAATTTGGAATAAAAACATAAGTCCAGATATACAATGAACACTTTTTATAACCACACAGTGTATTTACAAGATTACATTGTGTACTCCTGTACGGATTTGTTGACATGGTATTTCTGGTGTTACGTGCTCACTGTATTGTCTTTGCTTTGGGGGAAAAAAATATCAAAACTCATTATGTCATATATAATGTGCGACCCCTTCTACACAGCTGTGGTTTTTTTGGGAAAAAAGTGTGCACTATACTCAAGAAAATATGGTAGTTCTCATTGCAAGGGTAGATTTAGCTTGATATTTTGTTCACCATCTTGTTTTGGTTAATGCTTCATTTTGCATTATTGCAGCTATATGACCATGGCCTGTAAATAATTGATTCTCGACAAGTGATTGTTATCAGGAGCAATGTCCCACACTGTTTGGGTACAGTGACACACAATTAACAGTTTGACAAGCCTCATTTCCTGATCCATTTAGTTGCCTCGTATCTAGGGATGCAACGATACAGCAAGGTCACGATACGAAACATATCACGATACAAAGGTAATGATACAATACGTATAGCGATATGCATCTTTACGTCAAAGCGTGTGGAAATGTTTTGAATGTAAGTATTTCAGAGCAGGTTCTGATGGAAAAGTAGACACGCGTCTTAGGCGTCGGATTCGCTGTGCAGAGTTGCGTCCCTTTGACACGACAGAAACCTGTGATCGTGGGTTGGAATCCCGGTTCGCCCCGATTATGTTTCTAGGTTTGTCAACACCATACCCATGCTCATGGGTTTCACCGATGTGGTAAACGTCAGAGACCTGCATCACTTTGGGCTTTCCTCCAACATTAAGCTGACACGTCTTGATATAACTGGAATACTGTTAAAAGCGGCATAAAAAACAACTCACTCACTCACTCTTATTAGTAGTGAACTTAATTACAACACATTTTTCAATTATTGACTGACAAAAACGCAGTAATGAACAGTAATGTATTTTAGAAAGTGTATCGTCTTGTATCGCTACAGAAAAAAATGTATCGTGTATCGTATCGGCGCATTAAAACTCACGATGCACTGGTGCACAGATGTATCGTTTTACTCTTACCCTGAGCATTAATTGCTGACCTATTCTACCCCAGAATTCCAGTGGGGGCTGGTAGTATTGGATAGTGAGACTTTGTAGTCCCATTAGATACTGTTATTATTACAACTTCCTTTTAGAATATTACATGTATGTCATCATTCGTCACCACTCGCACCTTTCCGTAACCTACAAGAAGACTCGTCCCCCTATCCATGAATGTTATGTGCGAAAATACGACAAACCAATCAGAATGCACGTATGATTTCAAGTTCTTCGTGAAAGAATCCCTCAGAAATAATTTTTGATTGTACGTATGTTTTGCATCTAAAAATATACCCAAGACACAGTTAAATGTGTTCCATCATACTGTATAATTCCGCGCGTCCCGATGTGCTTTAAACTGCATCTGAAATATATGTAATACATGGGGAAATATATGTGAACCATTTTGCAAGGAATTGACAATTGTTTTAGGTATGCCCGTTTGCGCTAAGACGAAACCCGTTCGCAAAAATGGTCATGAATGGGGCAAGAGTCGCTATTCGGCTTGTCCCGGAATAACACGAGTTGGTCACGAATGGTATGTCATATATACTCACTGACAAAAGAAACATAAATACCTAACATGTTGGTTATTCATATTCAAGAGATATTAGATTGGTTTGACCCACAAACAAACATACTGGTATGTTGGGTGAATGGATGCTCATGAATGCATCACATGTGACATCATAGACCCATGACTCGCGAGGCACCACCTGTTTCGTGCAGGATTAGCGTGTAAAGTTTGGATATCACGTGCAGCATATTGTGATGAGAATAAAAACACTAAGTAACACTTGACAGCTTGTTAGTTTTGTCATTTAATGTCATTGGAAACATCTCTTCTTAATGTACATACTGCTATGTATGTGTCTATGGTTCGCGTTTCTTTTGGTGGTCGAATAGGTCTTCAGCAATCCATGCTCACCGTAAAAGGCGACTATGCTTGTCGTAAGAGGCGGCTAACGGGATCGGGTGGTCAGGCTCGATGACTTGGTTGATGCATGTCATCATATCCCAATTGCGTGGATTCGCTGTGCAGAGTTGCGTCCCTTGGGCACGCCAGAAACCTATGATTGTGGGTTCGAATCCCGGTTTGCCCCGATTATGTTTCTAGGTTTGTCAGCACCATACCCGGGCTTGTGGGTTTCACTCAAGTGGTAAACATCTGAGACCTGCATGACTTCAAGCTCTCTTTCCACATTAAGCTGACATGTCGCGATATAACTGGAATACTGTTAAAAGTGGCTTTAAACCCAACTCACTCACTCACTCACTCGCTCACTCACTCACTCACTCACTCACTCACTCACTCACTCACTCACTCACTCATTTTATCCTTTAGGAGAAGCCTAAACGTCAAATTCAGAAGAAGAAAGCAGCTATTACGAGAAAGATGCCCAAAAGAGGTCAGAAAGGAGTCGACAGTGTACCGGGTAAACTGGAACAAACAGAGGTGAAGGACATCCAAGAGAAGGTAATCCATTTCCTGTCAGTGACAACTACTGACAAGAATTGGCAATTTGATTGTTGATGTTTATTGGCCGGATGATGTGCGCTTGCTCTTCTTAAACACATTTGGAGAGTAGCGATTGAGCTAGCTGTCATTCGATTGTTGCATTTTGCATGATTGAACTTTGAGGTTTGGCTTCCAACATATGGATTTTTATTTGAAAAGTAGGTTATGTCATTTTCATCAGTATCTTGTCAGGGTAATTTTTTTTTTAAATCAATGTCTGCAATGTATGAACCTCTTAGAAGGAAGAACAACCAGCACAACTAGGAACCCAAGCGGTTGAACATGCAGCAACAGCAGCAGCAGCAGCAGCAGCAGCAGCAAAGGCATCTCCAGGAGAAGAGACAGTGATGACGTATAGAGAAGAGAAGAAACCCGGGGTGTTGGAATCTGACCCAAGACCTGACAGCGTACCCCATGTAGAGATCAGTGTGCCCGATCTACCCTTGGTGCCAGGTCTACCCTCGGTGCCAGGTCTACCCTCGGTGCCAGATCTCCCCATGGTGCCAGATCTCCCCTCAGAGGCCGGTCTTCTGGAGAAAAGTCAATCTAGAGAGAGACTGAAGTCTGGCAAAGTGAGGAAAAATCTGTCCTTTCTTGGTGAAGCCAATCTCCCACTTGGTGACGGATCAAGGGAGGCCACTCTCCCACTTGGTGACAGATCAAGGGAGGCCACTCTGGATGGTTTGAGTGACGGTGAAGATAGATCTGTTGAATCAGGACAGGTAACAAATGAAATGACCTCGACCCTGTCAGCTGTCTCAAGTTCCTGTCACTCTCTAGCACCTACGTATCACTCTTAGAGAATCTGTACTCTTTTGCCCATTGTCTGTCTGCAAAATATTTGGAAATATTCTTTTTGTCCTATGTGTTTATTTCTGCTGTTTTGCATGTCTGTATTTTTTTGTCTTAACCGATTGATATTTATTATCAGTTTTTGTTATTTCCGTCTAATGATTCTGTTTTCTTCCTACAAAATGTTCGGAGAAGTTGATGAAGTTCAACAATAAGTGTAACCACAATTTAATTCCAGTTGCCATGTCACCCAGTTCCTTAGCAACAACCTAATAATCTCTTCCCGTTCTCTCAGACACAGGACTTAAAAAATTGCAATTTGTAATTTGGCTTGCTTTTTATACAATTAAACATAAACTTTATTTCTTTATTTTGCTGCCTATAAGTATGCAAGTAAGGCAAGTTGCTCATGCACGAGAATGAATGAATGTGTGTGTGTGTGTGTGGGTGTGTGGCGTGTGTGTATGCATGGGATATGATAGTTCTTTTCCTTTTGGTATCAATAAAAAAAATTCAACAACATCTGTATAGATTGCCCTATACAACACTGAATGAGTCATTCATTAGAGCACGGTCTGATTGTTACATAGTAACTGGATAAGAAAAATTGTTTGAAAATGTAGAAACAAGCACATTTTACATAAGATCTAACTCAAGTATTTCGGAATTGAATGGTATGATTGACATGGCATCTTGTGGTTGACTGCTTGAAGAATTAGGCTTTGTGTTTAATATTCAATTTATTCTTCCTGATCTTAAATATTATCAAAACTGACTTGTAAAGATCCGGGTAAGTATAGGTCTTCAGCAACCCATGCTTGCCATCAGAGGCGACTAACGTGATAGGGTGGTCAGGCTCGCTGACTTGATTGATGCATGTCATCGTATCCATTATAATATCAATCACTGGATTGTCTGGACCATACTTGATTATGTACAGACCACTGTGCAGCTTTAAACAACAAACAAACAAACAAACAAACAAACTATTATCAAAACTATGTTTTTCCCTTACTAATGGGCATTCTGCACAAGAATATAGTCGTAAGAGGCAACCAAATAGATTGGGTGTTTAGACTCAGTGACTTTGGGGGGGTCAGGGGTGGCCCAGTCATCTAAAGCGCAGCGATTCGCTGTGCAGAGTTGCGTCCCTTGGGCATGCCAGAAACCTATGATTGTGGGTTGGAATCCGGGTTTGCCCTGATTATGTTTCTAGGTTTGTCAGCACCATACCCGTGCTTGTGGATTTCACTGAAGTGGTAAACGTCTGAGACCTGCATCACTTCGGGCTTTCCTCCCACATTAAGCTGACATGCCGCGATATAACTGAAATACTGTTAAAAGCGGCGTTAAACCCAACTCACTCACTCAGTGACTTGGTTGATTGCATGTCATTGTATCAATACTCATTTGGAATGGTAAGATGTAAGTGAATACTTATTGGCTAATTGTCAGAACCCCTGGAGCATATATGAGGTACAGTAATAAGGAAATATTGTCAAGCCCTGTGTCTGATATCTAACAATGTGTCAAATGCAGAGATGCCATCCATTACAATTTGGTGGAATTATTCCGATATTTTGAACCTAATTCAGGCAATACAGTTAAGGGACATATATTACAAATTTTGTCCCCAAAACATCACCTGTAATTTAAACTAGGGATACACCTCACTCATACAACCAATTATTAAATAATTACCGTATTCGATGTAATAAGCGCCCAGGGCGCTCTCAAAATTAGAAATAGGGGGCTCTTATTAGAATATTATTTTGGTGAGAAAAAAAAAGAGTTGAAAGATAAATTTCATGGTTTATGCTGACAACCTGAAATGTTTATGTATGACAGAAATATTTTTCTAGAATTTAATTGCCCATAATTAAAGGTGCATATGACACATGAGTGCGTATTGTACGCGGATAAATAAGTCTTGTGAACATTGATCAATCGGAAGGGGTGCTAATTAGGATTGTTCACAATAGCCAATATATTAGCAAATGTTGCCGTGGGCGCTTATTACGTCGAATACGGTAATCCAAAAAAATCAGTTTTTGAGGAGTTTGGGTAATAGAATATAATGGCAAGCCATATGGTCATATATGTCAATTAATAATGATTACTGATAAAAATTACTCATTTAACATGCCATTTTCCCCCAATGTTCCTAAATTCCTCAGATTTTGGTTGGCATCTCTTCATGTGGTTTCTTAATTGTCTGTCATGATTTCTTACTTTCTGACTATATTTTTTATCTATGGATTGACCTCATGTATATAGATGATGCGTGTGTGTTGCTTTGTCTTAGCGTGTATAGAGAAATAAGCAGTTATATGCATTTTTAAGAACTTTTAATGTTAGGAAACAAACCTTGCTTCAGTTGAATTACTTGAGGCATTTTAAATGAACTATACTATAAGTCGTACGAAAATACGCTAATGTCCGATTGGGATTTTAAATTTTCTGGACCCCTGAACTATACACATATAAACATGGCACCAAATATGTATTGGCACTTAAATTTAAAAAACACAAATGATTTATCATTTTTTGTCATATTAACAATATTTTTCAATAATCTTGTTTTGTCTTAAATCAGAAGTATCAAAATCTAATGGTGAGAAAATTTAGTAAATAGTCAGGTCCCAAAGAAACTGATACAAAATAGCAAGAAACAGTTGAAATATTTTCCAACATTTTGAATTTCAGCTGAGTCAAGGCTTTTCTCATGGAAGAGGTGAGTGTACCAGAGTTTAACATTGTACTTGCTTGACGAACACGGCTTCATCTGTTGTTGTCAGAATCTGTAGAGTGATGTAGGAGGATATGTTGTAGATAGTACGATATAATTAAGATCAGATTTATTATTCCAATACGATATCCTTTTTTGAGATGCCATGTATGGCGTTTAGAAATGACACTGTGTACAAAATATCTACAATAGAATGGCACAGCCTTTATAATGATCATTCAGAACTGACCATTTAAGTCCATTTTCCAGATACAGAAATCAGATATGCTGTTCTGAAGGCTGACTTTAAAAGCCTGGATGATGATTGGCTGATAAGAAAGTTGTCCTAATGCAGCCTCATATGGAGGGTTTGTCAGATATTTGAGCAAAGACGTCTTGTTTTGGAGTTAAAGATCTGACTTCAATGAGATGTATAAGTGACCGATAGATACACCAGGTAGAATCAGTCAAGGTGCCATGAGAGTCGCAAGGCTAGTATGATGAAGACAAAATGGCAAACTTACACAAAGGGGCACGGATATTGGTGAATTTATTTTTATTAATTCCCAATGAGTATTGCCATTTTTGCTTCATGCTGAAGGCTTTTTCAAGACATATTCCATTGTTTTCATTGCTTCAAATTGACCTGTTTTAATCTTTCATGTCAACATATTGTCGCATATAACTGAAGATGACATCATCCATTGTTTGTGATATTACAGACGGATCAAGTGATGTCGTTCCTGATAACAAGACCATTAAGAGAAAAGATGTATAATACTTAGAATATCTATGAATTAAAGAAAGTATGGTCTATAAACAAAATCCTAATTATTGACAAAATAATGGGGTTTGTCTGGCAAGGTCGCTAAGTTTCAATTCCGAGATGACTTCAAGAACATGGGTCCAGATCTAGAAATTTTTGGCTGGATGGATTTAGGGAAATTACTGTTGCCTGATATTTTCACTCATTCCTTACATGCGACCCGTGAAGATCCGGGGTAGAATAGGTCTTCAGCAGCCCATGCTTGCCATAAAAGGTGACTTGCATTTGCTTCAAACAAAACGGCGGCGCCCAGTCAAGATGATTTGATCGATAATCAAGATCTATATTGTAAAACGGGTCTTACATTGTGAAGTGCATCATATCACGTGAGCACCTTGATTAAGAACGTGAAAAGATTTGGAAAATATCTGTTGATAATGAGTTGGCAGTACACATGCTTTGCAAATCCTGCAATTGACCAAAATCAGACAGTTTACGAACCAGATTTCGATTTCATTGCATGATTTTGATTGGACTATCCATAGACTCTTTAGTCCAGCCAAAATGTAACTCCATAATACCAGCCTAGTTCGGCAAGGGTGGAAACTGGACTTTTATCGTCAGCCAACTCTCTTGCCTCGGGAAGATGGCAATAGATTGACTTCAAATTAGTTAAGGGATCTCCATACACAGTAGGTAGATTTGGACAAATAACACAAAAAACATACCCACAGACATCATTGATTGTACTTATCTGTTCACTTTAGTTCTTGTATTTTAAGATCAGTTCTGTTTTGTCTGTGCGATGATTTTGCTTTGATTTTTCTTTTTTTTGAAAGTTTCAGCATTCAACATTCTGAGAATACCGTCAGTCAGTGAAGAGACTGAGTCGACCTTGAGTAGAAATCTGTCTCAACAGTTTGTTCCCCGCCCCCCTGATTCCACCCACCTCTCTGACAACTATAGCTACTGTGCTCCCCCTGCGACCCCTATAACCCCAGATACGTCCCTTGGGGAGGGGTCATTCTCACCCCGCCCTCAGCCGATATTGGCGCCAGAGCCTCTTAATGTTGTCCTCCCACAAGTCGGCCATGATGAAGATGACATTGACATTAGATCATACAGTAAATTCATTTCCCTTCCTTTATGTTTGGCGTGTCACTTACCCGGCTTTATTTAAAATAATCATTTTCATTACTATTGTTCAATGTTAAACCTCTTAACAAATTCCCTACTTAAATTCATTTAATTTAACAATTTAAGAAATTTCCCTTTACCTTATTAGTTTAAACCCCTTTGCTAATACACACTGCAACAACTTAATTCAATCTAAGAGTTTTTTTCTTTTTATCATTGACAGAAATTAAGGGATGATTCCCTGTTTTTATTTATATCATCCCCAGGGAGTCTGTATAAGCCTTATATAGCCTCTCTGGTGAGTGTATGTCCCTACTGAAGAGGTTTAACATGTTATGTATGCACTGTGTATTCCAACCCTAACCCTGGTATTTCTGTGGTGAAATAATTCCTTTTTCAGATTTCAAGGATTTTTTCCAGCACATTGTGTACACTATAACCCCATGCATTTTGAGATGCATTCAAATTGCACTTCTAAAAACCAGCCAACATCAACATAAAGTTCACCAAATCTTTCATTTGTATTTCCATTTTTAAAAAAAACAATAAAAATCCTTAAATATTCCAAAGTCCAACTGTTCTCAAATACGGTATTCCAGTATTTTACTCACCAAGGAATACATTAATGTAGGGAGGCCCTTTCCCGGGTTACACAACTGCCTTTTTTTGGTACACAACTTTTTATTTGGTTACATACTATTTTAAACACCCCCCCCCCCAAAAAAAAACAAACAAACAAAAAAACACCCAAAAAACCACTGCCTGTCCGCCCGAATATATTTTCAAAAGTCAATGCCTGAGAACCAATTCTTTTATATATCTTGTAGGCCTAGTACCCAAGAATGGCACCTTTTCAGCCTTGTAAGAATTTTTTTATGGCCAACTGACCAATTATGAATCATTTGCATTAAAAAACAGTCATCATCCATGATGCTGGATATTTTTTAAATCAGTAATTTTCTATCATAAAAGAAATGCATGCCTGACCCCCCCCCAAAAAAAATGAGGCACAGGGAGAGGGAGATTTACATTGTTCCAGTGAAGCAGGCTTGTGTCGGCTAAATTCTGATGAGGCTGGTTTTTGTGTATTTTGAATGTATCCCATTTTTTTATGTGTTTTATCTGTATATTGTGTTTATATCCCACATCGCACAACAAATACAAAGGTCATCTCAGAAATGTCTTGGAATAATGGTTGTGAATGAAATATGTCAAATATTAATTTTAAACTTTGGTAAAGGAACACAAGATTTGTTTTGCTGTCATTCAGGAATGTTTAAAGAAAGTTAAAGAAACATGAAATTCTGAATGTTTGTGAAAAGAATGTCTGTGAAACAAGAATTAATTAACTAGTCAATGAACAGTTTGATTATATCTGATGCCGCCTCTGTGGTCTAGTAGTGGTAGAGCGTCCGCCAGGAGAGCGGAAGGTCTGGGGCTCGCTCCCCGGCCGCGTCATACCAAAATACGTTAAAAGATGGTACTTGTTGTTACCCTGTCTGGCGCTCGGCATTAAGGGGCTAAAACAAGGACTGGTCGGCTCGGAGTCAGTATACTGTGTCTGAGTGGGGCATTCATGTTAAACTGCGGCATGGTATCTCAGTGTGCTAGCATTATAAATCGGCATTAGTCCGGACTAGTACAAGCAGCCACACACACACGTGCATGCAGGTCGCTATATAAGTGCAATAATCTTGGACGCGACGTTAAACCCCATTTCACCTCACCCACCTCGTACTTTAATGTCACTACATGGCTGAAGTAATGCCGATGCGACGATAAATTGTAACTCACCTTATTCTTTAATATTATATTTTTATAATAACATGAGGCCAGACAAGGTCATGACCTTGTAATCCAAATCAGCATTCTCACATTTAGCAGAAAACATGATCAGTGTTCTCATTGCACAAAGCGACATTTGAGCTACGACGATCGTAACTCCCATACTTTAACATAGGCTTAAGACAGTCGTAGCGCTAAGATCTCTTTGTGCACGTGGACCCTGGCCTTTATGAAGAAAGTGGTGTTAATATTTTGTTAATAAAATCCAAACGTGACCGTTCATGGTGTAACATGCACATGTATCACTAGGTAACTTGTATTTACAGGACATTTGAATTGAGAGGCAAAGCTAAATTAACATGTGGTGCAAAGGTGGTATTTATGTGGTGGAAAATTATACACCGTATTCAATCTAATAAACACCCAGGGCACTCTCAAAATCAGAAATAGGGGGCCCTTATCAGAATATTATTTTGGTGAAAAATCAGAGTTGAAAGATAAATTTTGTGGTTTATGCTGACAGCCTGAAAGGTTAATATATATGACAGATATGTCTTTTCAGAATTTATTTGCCCATAATTAAGGGTGCAAATAACACACGAGTGCGTATTATACGCAAATAAATCAGTTTTGTGAACATTGATCAATCAGAATGGGTGCTAATTGGGATTGTTCACTAGCCAATATATCAGCAAATATCGCCTTAGGCGCTTATTACAGCGGGCTGCTTATTACGTCGAATACGGTAATATATTACTTACATCTGTATATTTGTTTTCTGTATAATTCATAAAAGAACATTTGTACACACTCCGATCAGCATGGTAGCCTGTTTGGGTCTACCTCATGACAAAGTTGTATATATTTTCGTAATGCACATAGATCGCTCATACTCCACTGCACTTGGTGATGGGAATATAAAAAAGTACATGAATGTAGTGTCATTACAAAAAATGCTAGATTATACATACTTCAAGACAAAAGTAACTGTGACCATGTTTCATATTGTGGGGGGAGGGGCGTCCCAGTTATCACAAGCATTGCAGTCCGCTGTGCAGAGTTGTGTCCCTTTAAAGCATGCCAGAAATTTATGATTGTGGTTTCAAATCCTGGTTCGACCTGATTATGTTTCTAGGTTTGTCAGCACCATACCGAGGTCGCGGGTTTTACCAAAGCGGTACACTTCCAAGACATGCATCACTTTCGACTTTCTCCATACTTCAAGATGACATGCCATAATATAACTGAAATGTTTTTCAGAGCGACATTTAATCAAATTCACCCATTCTCTATTGTGATTTTTGTTAAGCACAGAACTCAAATCTTCTCTCTTATATTTGAAGATTTAAAGTGTTCTGGTGTCAGGCTGAGGATGGACCTATTAGGCTTTCTGAAGTGGTTGAAATAAAGTAAAAGTTATACAAATTCCAAATTCTAAATGCCGCCTTGCAAACTTTGAGGTCTTAAGGCAAGTGTGTTAAATAGTTGATTATTTTCATGAAGTTTAAAACAGAAGTGAGTGAGTGAGGTTTGACGCCCCTTTTAGCAATATTCCAGCAATATCACGGCTGGGGACACCACAAATGGGCTTCACACATTGTACCCATGTGGGGAATGGAACCCACGTCTTCGGCGTGATGAGCTCTAACCATTTGGCTACGCCACTTCCCCTTTAAAACAGAAAGAAATGTTGGATGTGTGTCTCTTTAGTAGGCCTCAACAAGACGATGTTTAGGACACAGTTTGAAATTAATCAATTCGTAAAGTTATGTAATCGTTTTCATTAATATAATTATTTTCAGTTGTCCATACTTTTTATGATCACAGTTACTTTTGATTTTGAATATATTTCATTGTCTGTATGAACATTCAAGAATCTAAATTAAGCATCTCCAATATTTACTATTTTATATTTTCAATTCCTCCTTTGAAATAAAAATCATGGTTATTGTAATGAAGCAGTTAATAATATAAACCAGGTGTTAAAAATCGTCAATACTTCAAAGTTTTTGGATCACTACACTCTTCCATCACCTGTGAATACACACGTCCCCTTCACGGTGGAGTAATGGAGTGTCACTTAATATAATCATTTGGTTGGTTGGTTTGTTGTTTAACACCGTACTCGGCAATATTCCAGCTATATGACGGCGGTCTGTAAATAATCGAGTCTGGACCAGACAATCCAGTGATTGACATCAGGAACATCGATCCATGCAATTGGGATCAATGACATGCATCAACCAATCAGCAAGCCTGACCACCTGATCCCGTTAGTCGCCTCTTACAACAAGCATAGTCGCCTTTTACGGCAAGGATGGGTTGCTGAAAACCTATTCTGACCCGGATCTTCACGGGTCTAATGAAATGAGGCTGTGTATAACAATAGACACTTTATACGATATTCTATTCTATTTTTAGGGTCCATGGTATAACTCATAGAAGTCAAACAAGCCCTTCTCCATGCATGAATTTGTCTAAAGCCAACCAGTGCCTGATATTTTGCAATGTGAAGGGTGGAGGCCACAAGCCTATTGCATGAGATAAACTGTTACCGTTTGTGCGATGTAATCCGAGCCCTCATCAGTCTAAGCACTGTAACCGAAGACTCGTCCCCCTATCGATGAATGTTATGTGCAAAAATACGACAAACCAATCAGAATGCGCGTATAATTTCAAGTTCTTCGTCAAAGAATCCCTCAGAAATAATTTCTATTTTTACATATGTCTTGCATCTTAAACTATACCCAAGACACAGTTAAATGTGTTCAATCATACTGTATAATTTCGCATGTCCTGATGTGCTTTTAATTGCATCTGAAATATAAATGATATATGGGGAAATATATGTGAACCATTACGCAACGAGTTGACGATTGTTTTAGTTATGCCCGTTTGCGCTAAGACGGAATCGGGTTGAAAAAATGGCTACGAGAGGGGCACGAGTCCCTATTCGGCCTGTCCCGAATAACACGAGTTGGTCACGAATGCTCAAAACAGCTGTATGTTTTCATGGTTGATGGAGGAACGTAGAGTATCCAAGCACATGAAGTATTGACGTAGGTATAAACTATATTCCTCCAAGGAATGAAGTGTTTGTGATAAGTATTAAGATATCCTTATGTGTTAAGATGCAAGTCATTATATCGCATATTTCTGTTATGTGGCCATGTTGTTGTGCAGTGGGAGAGTCCGACTCGGGGATGGACGGTGAGTTCATCTCGGTGTCACAGCGGGGAATGTACCTGACGGAGACGGAGGTCTCGGAGGTGGAGGAGGAGAGGGATGTCACGGCCAGGATGCTGAGTGACCCAGGGAAGATCAGTCTGAAGCGAAGACCTGCATCCTCCTTTATTGACCGTCAGGATTATGTGCAAGGTAATACATTTAACATCTCACAACTGCTTACCACTTTATCATGGTACAGTATGGGTATGTACCGTGGTACTCCTGCACAAGTACCATGGTATGTTTGCAAAAGTAACGCAGTATCGTTGTCGAATTGCAAAGGTATGTTGTTGGAATAGGTGTGGTATGTTTTAGGGCTGGGACGGGCAACTCAGGTACTCGGGTCGGGTGGGTACTGAGAAGGATGCGGCCACCCACAGGACTACCCAGACCTGTTATTAGTCACGTGATATATTGTTTAATGACAAAAATGATCTAATGAGTGAGTGAGTGAGTCTGATTTTACGCTGCTTTTAGCAATATTCCAGCAATATCACGGCGGGGGGACACCAGAAATGGGCTTCACACATTGTACACATGTCGGGAATCGAACCCGCGTCTTCGGCGGAACGAGCGAACCCTTTAACCACTAGGCTACCCGACCGCCCAAAAATGATCTAGAACTCCATGGTTACACTACATGTCACTAATTCCTTCTGACCTATATAGGTTTGAATAGAGATAAAACTTCAGTTAACTTCAGTGTATGCATGACCAGATCGTTTTATACGTGTATCTGATATGTTTTAATTGTCCAGGGATACGGTCAAACTATTCCCAATCGGACATTTTGTACCCAACCTAAAGACCTACAGCAGGCATCGGGGAAGGTTTGGTAATAGGGGGTCAGGTACCCGGGTTGTAAATTTTGACTCGTCCCAGGCTAAGTATGTTTGTATGGAAATAAAGGGGTACCACTGTGGTATTGCAAAAACTTGCAAAGAGTCATAGAAAAAAGTGAATACTTGTGAGCAAAGTGTTCGAAATAAGCATCCTATAAATAGGCAACCCTATCCTATATAATTAATAATTTAGGGGTGGGCACGGGTGGCCCAGTCGTCTAAGGCGCCGGGATTCGCTGTGCAGAGTTGCGTTCATTGAGCACACCAGAAACCTATGATTGTGGGTTCGAATCCCGGTTCGCCCCGATTATGTTTCTAGGTTTGTCAGCACCATACCCGTGCTCGTGGGTTTCACCGAAGTGGTAAACGTCTGAGACCTGCATCACTTCGAGCTTTCCTCCCACGCCGTGATGTAACTGGAATACTGTTAAAAGCGGCGTTAAATCCAACTCACTCACTCACTCACTCACTAATAATTTGGGATGTACCCCAAGATACTAAATGTAACTTGAAATGAAGTTCAACAGCACCCCGCCACCAAGGTGCTTCCCCACACATATATATATACACAAAACCATCGCACATCATGTGACTGTTGGGGCTGTCGGGTAGCCTGGTGGTTAAAGCGTTCGCTCGTCACGCCGAAGACCCGGGTTCTATTCCTGACATTGGTACAATGTGTGAAGCCCATTTCTGGTGTTCCCCGCCATGATATTGCTTGAATATTGCTAAAAGCAGCGTAAAACCATACTCGCTCACTCACTCATGTGACTGTTCCGTGTTTTCAGACTCACGCTTGAGCAAGGCCCGGCCTCACACAGCTGCTAACGACCACTTCACAACAGAGGTAGGTGTCGATGTTTTATCCATAACTCATTGAGGCTCTGAAATAAACAGTATTAATATTATTATATCTCGCAGAAATCGAGCACTGGGATTTAAATGGACTCGAGTACCTGACCAGGGGAGGTAACTCATATCTTCACTTCTCTGACACATGTGTTGCTAACATGGAAGAGAACTGGTCGAGTGTCTGACACATTTGACTATTGTCAGTTTGTGCTGAGAGATAAAGACACAATATCGATTGTGTTGCATGTTACTGTTGAGATCGGGTACTCGAGTCTGGGTAAGATTTTGTGAAATGGGTTCTTCTCTCCGTCAGACCTTTAATTCATGTATGGGAGCATCTTTATTTCTTCTCCTCCCTCTAAGCCATTATGAAATCATGATGTAGAAATGTCTTTAACATTCATTTATTTATTTTTTTAATCCCTATTGTTACATTATATTTTATGAAATCCAGGGTTGACTGCATTTTGATAAAGTTGTTAATTTAATGCTAATCTTTTATTCCTAATGCGTGGATCGATGTCAATCACTAGATTGTCTGGTCCAGACTCAATTACATACCGTACAGATCGCCGTCATATAGCTGGAATATTGCTGAACAACATGAAACAATATGAAACAATATGAAACAACATGAAACAAACTAAAATAGCATGTCACTCAGTGATCAGAAAAACTGGCCATTCATTCATTTGCTCTTTTTACAACAAGTGCAAATATGTATCTACACAGGGATGTGTTCAGATCTGCTCAGACCCTGTCAAGATCTGGGTTAGAATTGGTCTTATCAATCCATGCTTGTCTTAAGATGCGATCAGTAGTCAGGCTCACCAACTTGGTTGATGCTTGTCATCGTATCTTAATTCGTAGATCCATGCTCATGATGTTAATCACTGGATTGTCTGGGCCACACATGATTATTTACAGACCACAAAAGGGTACTACTGCTGTAAATATAAGTTTGCTGAAATTAACACACACAACATTGAGTAAAATAGACCCTGTTTCCACTTTATTTGCAAGCAGTAATGTTGTCGCTTTGAGGGGAAACTCATTGTCTGTGTGCTTAACGCACCACCCTGTCGCTGTATTTTTGGGTGCAAAGTGTGCATTCTACACAAAAATTTTGTACTGCTTCACAGAGACTGATGTCACTGGTGTTTAGAGGTTGTGATTAGTGGTGTTCAGATATGGATTTCACTGGTGCTTAGAGGTTGTGATCTGTGGTGTTCAGATATGGATTTCACTGGTGCTTAGAGGTTGTGATTACTGGTGTTCAGATATGGATTTCACTTGTGCTTAGAGGTTGTGATCGGTGGTGTTCAGATATGGATTTCACTGGTGCTTAGAGGTTGTGATCGTTGGTGTTCAGATATAGATTTCACTGGTGCTTAGAGGTTGGGATTACTGGTGTTCAGATATGGATTTCACTGGTGCTTAGAGGTTGTGATTGGTGGTGTTCAGATATGGATTTCACTGGTGCTTAGAGGTTGTGATCGGTGGTGTTCAGATATGGATTTCACTGGTGCTTTAAGGTTGGGATTATTGGTGTTCAGATATGGATTTCACTGGTGCTTAGAGGTTGTGATTGGTGGTGTTGAGATATGGATTTCACTGGTGCTTAGAGGTTGTGATGACTGGTGTTCAGATATGGATTTCACTGGTGTTTAGAGGTGGTGATTGTAGTGTTCAGATATGGATTTCACTGGTGCTTAGAGGTTGTGATGACTGGTGTTCAGATATGGATTTCACTGGTGCTAAGAGGTTGTGATCGGTGGTGTTCAGATATGGAATTCATCGGTGTTTAGAGGTAGTGATCGGTGGTGTTCAGATATGGATTTCACTGGTGCTAAGAGGTTGTGATCGGTGGTGTTCAGATATGGATTTCACTGGTGCTTAGAGGTTGTGATTACTGGTGTTCAGATATGGATTTCACTGGTGCTAAGAGGTTGTGATTGGTGGTGTTTAGATATGGATTTCACTGGTGCTTAGAGGTTGTGATTGGTGGTGTTCAGATATGGATTTCACTGGTGCTTAGAGGTTGGGATTACTGGTGTTCAGATATGGATTTCACTGGTGCTAAGAGGTTGTGATCGGTGGTGTTCAGATATGGATTTCACTGGTGCTTAGAGGTTGTGATTACTGGTGTTCAGATATGGATTTCACTGGTGCTAAAAGGTTGTGATCGGTTGTGTTCAGAAATGGATTTCACTGGTGCTTAGAGGATGTGATTGGTGGTGTTCAGATATGGATTTCACTGGTGCTTAGAGGTTGTGATTGGTGGTGTTCAGATATGGATTTCACTGGTGCTTAGAGGTTGTGATCGGTGGTGTTCAGATATGGATTTCACTGGTGTTTCGAGGATGGGATTGGTGGTGTTCAGATATGGATTTCACTGGTGTTTAGAGGTGGTGATTGTAGTGTTCAGATATTGAATTCACTGGTGTTTAGAAGTTGTGATTGGTGGTGTTCAGATATGGATTTCACTGGTGTTTAGAGGTGGTGATTGTAGTGTTCAGATATGGATTTCACTGGTATTTAGAAGTTGTGATTGGTGGTGTTCAGATATGGATTTCACTGGTGGTTGTGACCACTGGAGTGTTGTTTAGAGGGGTGAAGGGGGTTGGGGGAGGTCTGGGGGCGGCCATCAGATTTTGTATGGAGACTTAATATTGTATCAGCTACAGCTTCAAAACTTGATTTTAAAAAATGAAAACTATGATCCTAAATATGATCCTATATATTTCAAAACAAATTGTCTCAATGTATTTTTTGTTTCAGACATTCAATTCTTTTTCAACAGATTAAAGCATAATTATATTTTTCAATCATTTGTTGGACCTTTTTCTTTTTTAAAACCCAGGCCCCCACAAAAATATCATTATAGTCGGTCCCTTACCATCTTAGCTAAAAACAATTGATTTTTTTCCGCAAAAATTTGCACGAGGTGGATCTGTAATTGCTTTCCCTTGAGGATTCTCATTTATTTGTCCTTTATTTGTCAGCTGCAATCATCAGTGTTGGCTTTGAGAGTACCGGTACACTTTTTATAAGAACACTGCGACCCATGAAGATCCAGGATAGAATAGGTCTTCAGCAACCCATGTTTGCCTTAAAAGGCGAGTATGCTTGTCGCAAGAGGCGAATAACGGGATGGGATGGTCAGGCTCGCTGACTTGGCTGATGCATGTCATCGTATCCCAATTGCGTAAATTGATGCATATGATGTCAATGACTGGATTGTCTGGTCCAGATTCGATTATTTACAGACCGACGTCATATTACTGGAATAGTGCTGAGTGCAGCGTTAAGCAACAAAAAATACAACGACAGCAAAAAATAGATAAGAACAGTACACCTTTCAACTGTGCCATGCCATGCATTGTGTGGACCAATTAGTCACAGTGTTTCACAAATGAGCTTCGACCAGTAGAGATTTCTATCTGTCATGGGAATGTAACCTGTCTTGAAGTTTATGAGTGAGACAGCCCACTATAGTGAGATTGAGTTTGAGATTAACTTGGATCATCCACCCTAATCCTCTCAAGAGATTTAGCTTACCGAAGCAGTGTTAAAGATATCCGCTTGCAATATTGTCAGCTGCGTTTCAAGGACATTGACTGATTGACTGTCCTACAGATATTTTTCAAATTTGGCAATTTAGATAGAGAAGATTTAAAAGTTCACGAAATCATGAAAATGTCCATATTCATTTTGCTGTTTGTGACGTTAAACAACAACCAAACAAACAAACAAACAAATTTTGTCCTGAACAATTTTACTGAAATGTGTCAATTTCACACATGCCACTCATAACAACATCAAGCTTAAGATAAGAAATGGGCACCCAAACGTGGAGGAGAGTCTTCATTGAGTTTGATCCTCAAATTTCAGTTGTGAACTTTTATGAAATTGATCCCAGAACAGAAATAAATCAAACCCACAAAACCGAAAAATGAATTGAGAAATTTTTACCTCTAATCAAATACCAAGCACTCGTGACTTATACCCACTCAGCCAATAACAATAAACGGTCTAAGTATATAGAGCCATATATTACCCTGTGTCGCTTGTCTCTTTCAATATACTCAATGTAGCGTGCATGGCTACAAACCAGCGTCAGTGCTTAAAGCCATTCAAGTTTAGTCAGGTATATAAGCTGATAATAATCGGCCGAATGGCTGTTTTGTTTCCCATACTTCTTACCATATATCTGTGGAAGGATTTGGATGAATGGCTGGCGTTCCCTTGCTCAGATTTCTTATTGTTTGTTAACTTATTAATATGGTGTAAATATACCGCCATGTTAATGGTGGATTGTAATATGACTTCACTGTGTGTGTTCAGTGTCAGCGGCGGGATGTTAATTTCAATGTGTATGGTGTTGATTTCCATTGAAGTGAAATAGACTTAGATGAATGAGGTCTGAGGTTAATCAGTTTGGTGGATGTTATAAAAATTCTTTGATATGCTGTTCTCTACAGGAAGGAGTGGATATTGGCATTGTTTGTTTCATTTAGGGGTGGTGGGTCATTCATGTGTGTCATCGCTGGACTGGATTTCGACTTGCGGTCACGTATATTTCACTATGAAAGTAACGACCCTGTGATTGATAGAACTTTGCAATGATTTGTTTTTCACACTTTTTTTCAAACTGGATGGATTTTTTACACTTTTATCTGTGTCTAAAATATTCATGGACTTTGTGAGTGTGGAAATCCAATCTCTTCAGTTTTGTCTCAAGTGATTTCTCATATATGTCAAATGCATGTTTATGTCAGTTGCACAGTTAGAGTGGTGTATACTTCAATCGCGGTGTGAGGCAGTCAATAATTTATTACCTTGTTCAGGAAAGGTCAGTCTGACATCAATATTTCACAATTACAGGTTTGTTGCAGATTTTGTTGCATACTTTTTCTAAAGCAGAAAATATTGAACTTTGCCTGTGTTAGATTTTTCTCTTAAAAAGTATGAAGTTTCGGGTTTTTTTTCAATATATTTCAAACTCATTTTGAGTCAATACCTGAGGTTTATTTATTAATTAATTTGAATAGTAACAAAGGATACAATCTAATAAAGAGGGATTGAGGGATATATAAGTCAAGCTGATTTTTATCAACAGAGAACCTCAATACAGTTACATGTAAATTTCACTTTGCAATCACGTGAAATTGATGTCTTGCCAAACTGTGGATTTCGCTTTCGTTGACATTTGATTTCAATGGACATTGTTATGTGAGGCTTAAGAACCACAAGGAAGAAACTGTGAATTACGTTCACCAAGAAGGTGAAACTTTGGGAAAAAACACCTTGCCATATATTCAACTTTAGTGATATCAGGGTGAAAAAGGAAATATACATGATGCTTATCGAAAGCAAATTATCTATCCCGACGCAGTTGGAACTGATTGTGGATCTGCCGCACAGTGTCAACGTAAGTATTGTGTATATACAGTGTATATAGCATGCACATTGCCTGTGTATAGATGGTTTTATAACATGGTCCTGTGAATGCCGTGATAGCTTGCAGGAAAATGATTGACAGGTTTGTCAAATTGCATGAAATGTATCTGCTTGTTGATATTGACATGGTGAATGTGTCAGCTGTAGTATAGCATTAGAGTACTTTAAATGTCTAAATTTCATTGACATTATTTTGTTTACGAAAATGTGTTTATAAGAATTGATATTTTTGTTTATGTAGTTTTAGGTTGAGGAACTGTATGAAAATTAAGAACATTCCTGAACTAAATTTATTTTTATGTCGTTGCCCTTAGAATTTCAAGTCTACATAATATATATCATATATAGTCTACAAAAATACTTTTCATTTATTGACATTGTAATGATAATAATTTATTTGTTTTTTAAAAAAAATTTTTTTTTAAGAAAACAATTTTGTAGTGTTAAATGATTTTTAATTTTGCTGTAGTTTCAGTTGAAACCACAATGAAATTGTTCTTCATTAAATTCAAGTGTATTCATGGGACCTATGTTTTCACATTACTGCTTTGTCCCTTAATGGAGAATACCCTATTGTAACTATTAACCAGTTGTGTGCATGAGATAATTAGCACCCACCTTAATACAGCAAAGACATTAATGCATTTGCACACCTTAACCCATCCTCTGTTAACCAGGGTATTATGTCACATTTTGCTGTAATAAATACCCTGAACTGTTTCCTACGGTAGCTTCGTTTTTAGCCTGATTCAAATAATATGACTCTTACAACTGTTATTCGGGGGCGGTTAGTGGTTAGTGGTTAAAGAGTTCTCTCGTCACGCCGAAGACCCGGGTTCGATTCCCGACATGGGTTAAATGTGTGAAGCCCATTTCTGGTGTCCCCGGCCGTGATATTGCTGGAATATTGCTAAAAGTGGCGTAAAACCATACTCACTACAACTGCTTTTCAAACAAATTTCTCTCATGGGTGTTAAGTTAGTGATTTAGATGTAAGATGGCAATGTCACTTCCGAAAGGAAGTTTGGATGGCAACTGGGTCAAGGATATCTATCTTAAAAGAATGGAGATTTAGTACCCTTAACATCGAGGATGAACTTACCAGTGTGACCCCTACCCCTACCCCTACCCCAACCCCCACCCCTACCCCTACCCCCCAAACACCATGTACTAATCCTCATACGACTTCTGGCTATAACAATTTATCAAAGATCTCAGTATCATGAAATTATTATTTGATCATGTGGTTGTGTATAGATTCAAAACCATAAATGTGTATATATAATGATAAAATGATATTTGGTTTTGAAACATCTTCTCGAGGCAAGGGAGTTTCCACCCTTGCCTAACTACGATGGAATTATGGAGTTATATTTTGGCTGGACTAATGAGTCTATACATTGTCCAAACAAAATCAGGATTTGCAAAGCATGTTTACCACCAACTCGACGTCAACAGATATTTTCAAATCTTTTCATGTTTTTAATCAAGGTGCTCACATGATTTTATGCACTTTGCAAAGTAAGACCCTTTTCATCACAATATAGATTTTGATTATCGATCAGATCGTCTAGACAGGGCGCCGCCATTTTGTTTGAAGCAAATGCAAGTGATATGAGAGGTGGAATATGATTGGTCAAAAGTGGGACATAGAAGGGACATAACCCGTAATAGCCACCAGTCTGGCAAGGGTGGAAACTGGACTTTTCCTGTCAGTTAACTCCCTTGCCTCGGGAAGATGGTTTTGAAAATGAATGTAAACAGTTCATGTAATGAATTGTTTTTTGGGATGAACATTTTCCTCGCCTCAGTGCATGCGCAGTTTAGCAAAGTGTTTAAATAGCAGACCCCCCCCCACACCACGAAGTAGTATTTTGGTGTGATTCTCATGATGAGGGTATGCATAGATTCAAAACCTTAACTGTAAGAAGAGAAAATGTTATTATCCCCCACCCAACAAAGTTGGCGGGGGATATAGAAATGTGCTCCGTCTGTCCGTCCGTCCGTCTGTCACGTTCCGTTTCCAGAGCATAACTCCGTTCAATATTTTTTCATGAAACTTTGCAGGTCTGTCAAGTACATGCTGAAATGGTGCCTTTTGCTATTTAGAAATTTTAGAATTTTTTATTTTTTACGTTTCCATGGCAACAAGATGGACTTAGGTTCCAAACTCTTCTATTTTTTACAATTTCCATGACGAGTTCCACCTCGGTTAAAAAAGGTTAGGGTTTGTTTAGATTTAATTATGTCATAAATTCTGCAACAGGGGGATATAGCCACGTTAGTGGCAAACTCTTGTTTGGTTTGAAAGGGAATGCAAAATACATTTTGTGATGGTGTGTGCACAAGTTCTTAAGCCAGTCTGCTTAATTGTTGTCAAGTTTTCTAAATGGTTTTGGTCGAGTCACTAGTTAAAAACTGAATCATTTGGGGATATTTCTTTTTTCTTGTTAATTAAGATGTTTGTCTTACTGAGCAACCCATATTATGTTGATATTTTGATGAGTTGTGCAGCCGTGAAAATGTCAAAAAAAATTCAGATCAAGCATTTAATGCTAAACACATACGTATTGACACAAATTGTGATGTTACAGTTGTTTGTGTACATGCTCCGTTCCCTGTTTCGATTGAGAGCATAATGTATGTGTCATGTATACTACAACGAAAACTTTCTTGTATAGACTTATTCCTGGATGTCCATGCATTGCGTCACATTTATGATATACATTTGTGATCTCTTTTAAGCCAACAGGCATATCTGGACTTTCTTTTTTTTATGTCCATTTGATGGGCACAGGGTAGGGTAATAATTAGGGCCGGGACAGGTAATTCAGGTACCCGGGTCGGGTGGGTACTGAGTAGGACCCGGGTACCCACAGGTCTACCCGGACCCGTGGTTAGTCACGTGATATATAGTTTAATGACAAAAATGATCTAGAACTCTATGGTTACACTACAATTTACTAACATTTGCAATTCTTTCTGATTTTGTATGCACCTGCTCCTTCTGACTTTTATATGTTTGAATAAAGATAGAACTTTTTGTACCTATCTCTTGAGACCTACAGCGGGTACCCAGGTAGTAAATTTGGACTCGGCCCAGGCCTAGTAATGATAATACCATATTCATTTTAAAACATTTCCTTATCAGACAGAATAATCGAGGTTACAGTGTAGGAGAAAACATAAAACAGTATACTGACTCTGAGCCGACCAGTCCTTGTTTTAGCCCCTTAATGCCAAGCGCCAGACAGGATAGGATAACAACAAGTACCATCTTTTAACGTCTTTTGGTATGACGCGGCCGGGGATCGAACCCCAGACCTTCTGCTCTCCGGGCGGACGCTCTACCAATAGACCACGGAGGCGGTATGATAATATAATAAAGTATGTGTGTACCACAGTTGTGTCGACCTACCAAAAATTGTCAGAATCAACTGATCTCATGCCATCACTGGTTTGTCTGGTCTAGACTCAATTATTTACAGGCTGCCACATATAACTGGATTATTGCTGTGTGCAGTGTTTTGTTTCCGGAGCAGAACTAAGAAACTATGAGAGATATCTTAGCCAAACATGGCACACAGATAGGTCTAGTGGTGAACTGGTGCTTTGTGATAGTTTGGGATTTTTTATTTTTCAAGTTTCCATGGCAACGACTTTAATTTTAACAACGACTAAATGGCAGTAGTGCTCCTTTCCGGAGCAGATCTTGCAAAACGTACAATATTTCTTCACCAAACTTGGCACATAGATTGATCTAGTTGTAAACTGGTGACTTTTGATAGTTTGGGATTTAAAAAAAATAATTCTGAGTTTCCATAGCAAACGGTTTTCACTAGACTGAAAATGACACTAGTTCTTGTTTCATATTGGCGGGGAATGTGAGTATTTCATGCTTGTTTTGTGTTGCAATAAGGAATGTACAAGACACAAAGTTGGGCAAGATCAACCAGAGGTACGATGACACACTGATCACCCAATCTGCATGTTTGTCAACTTGTGTAAGCAAGGTTCCTATACTGAAACCTCACTGAGATTCATCAATCATAGGACTGGTAGCTTCGTGTAAATATTGAGCGGAGGGGTAGCCTTGTGATTAAAGCATTCTCTTGTAACATCAAAGACTTGGGTTCCGTTCCTACATGGGTACAATGTGTGAAGCCCATTTCTGTTGTCCCCCGACGTGAGATTGCTGGAATATTCCTAAAACTGGCATAAAACTATACTCACTTGTAAATAGATCTCCCCAGATTAATGTGTTGATATTCGGCAGATGTTCATGGCATACCACACTTCAATCAGGGAGCAACAATGCTGAGCCCCCTACAGCGGCCAATGTAATGGTTTTATATAATGAACAGGTATTTGGCTATTGACGAAATCAAGCAGTTGTTAATAACTCACGCAATATAATTTATCTAGAGAATCTGAATTTTGTTCTTGTCCTCCTAAGATAACATCAAAAATGTAGTTTGACAAAGATCAGGCGTTATGGCCCACAGCAGAGGGGAGATAGGATTTCCTCCTGGCTCTATAAAAGAAGAAGAATGGAGTTATTTAAAGACATAATATGTTCCATTGACATCTGTCCTATTACATGATAAATACTGTCAGTGAACCATCGCATTGAAGGTTTTGATGATGTGAGTATTGCTTTTAATATTTTATTGAGTTTAAAATCAGTGTAAACTGTTTTCTTAAATAGTAAAGGGGAAATGATACATCGGTGCATTGTGAGTTTTCATGCAACGATACACGATATTTTTCGGTCCTGAAATAAATCAGCATTTTTGTCGGTCAAATATTGCAAAATGTGTTGTAATTACTGTTTCTAGTTCAGTATAAAAGTAGCAGCTACAAACATGTGTCTTCAGCTAGCTTTTCCTTTTGAACCTGCTCTGAAATATTAATAATCAGAATTTTCCACTCGATTTGATGTAAATATGTGTATCACGATACGTATCGTATCGTGACCGATGTATCATGATATGCATCGTATCATGACCTTGCTGTATTGTTTCAACCCTATTAAATTGCCAATGCAACAGGACTAATGAAGCCTCAAAGTTATTACTGCATGTGCCAGAGCCTACATAAGAGACGGGGGGCACGGGTGGCCCAGTCGTCTAAGGCGCCGTGATTTGCTGTGCAGAGTTGCGTCCCTTGGTCACGCCAGAAACCTATGATTGTGGGTTCGAATCCTGGTTCGCCCCGATTATGTTTCTAGGTTTGTCAGCACCATACCCGTGCTCGTGGGTTTCACCGAAGTGGTAAACGTCTGAGACCTGCATCACTTCGGGCTTTCCTCCCACATTAAGCTGACACGCCGCGATATAACTGGAATACTGTTAAAAGCGGCGTTAAACCCGAACTCACTCACTCACTCACTCACTCACTCACTACATAAGAGACAAGGTTTACTGGCAGTTCAATAGGCAGTCCAAGCAAGTTTTTTTTAAGTGGCTGAAACACAACTTTTACGAGAGTCTTTAATGATTATCAATCAAACAGGGAATGATTACCATATTAAGCGCCCTCTGACCACTGTGAGACCAATCTGTAAGTCATCTTTATAAGCACCTCCTACTTACAACCGAACAATTGCATGACAATACATTATTTCTTGTGTATATTACATTAAAAAATGCTGTTTCAAACTGTTGGGTAAAGCAGGATAACTGAATTAGTTTGGCTTAAATGGAACTCCATTAAAAAATGCAGTTTCAAATTGTGCTGGTTGACTGGTGAGAAAAGCAGGAAAACTGAATAAGTCGGGCTTATATGGAACTCCATTAAAAAAATGCTGTTTCAAATTGTGCTGGTTGACTGGTGAGAAAAGCAGGAAAACTGAATAAATCTGGCTTATATGGAACTCCGTTAAGAAAATGCTGTTTCAAATTGTGCTGGTTGACTGGTGAGAAAAGCAGGAAAACTGAATAAATCTGGCTTATATGGAACTCCATTAAAAAAATGCTGTTTCAAATTGTGCTGGTTGACTGGTGAGAAAAGCAGGAAAACTGAATAAATCTGGCTTATATGGAACTCCGTTAAGAAAATGCTGTTTCAAATTGTGCTGGTTGACTGGTGAGAAAAGCAGGAAAACTGAATAAATCTGGCTTATATGGAACTCCGTTAAGAAAATGCTGTTTCAAATTGTGCTGGTTGACTGGTGAGTAAAGCAGGAAAACTGAATAAGTCGGGCTTATATGGAACTCCATTAAAAAAATGCTGTTTCAAATTGTGCTGGTTGACTGGTGAGAAAAGCAGGAAAACTGAATAAGTCGGGCTTATATGGAACTCCATTAAAAAAATGCTGTTTCAAATTGTGCTGGTTGACTGGTGAGAAAAGCAGGAAAACTGAATAAGTCGGGCTTATATGGAACTCCATTAAAAAAATGCTGTTTCAAATTGTGAATTGTGTTTGTCCTTAGCTATAGTGGGATGCTGGATAACCTTTCACACTGGAGTGTAAGCATGAAATATACCACACTGTGTTCTTGTCAATAACAGCCATAACGTTACGTGTGCCGGGTACATATATAATGTGTGTACCGCGGCAAGAGTGTGTGATTTACGAGTTCAAGTGGCAGTTTGATTAACACCATATTTCACTGGTTGCTTTTGTATGTTGTCTATAGCAGCTGTTTTGAAGTGTAGTGAACTGACATTGATTGTTTATTTCAGTTGATATATTGATAAGAGTGTGTGTGTGTTTGTTTTCAGGTTGTAAATTTCGTTGACGCTTGAAATATACATGTATGTGTTGTGAGAGCATTGATTATAAACTCCATGTGTACTGCGGTCTGTGTTGGTTTGTGTCACTAATGAAGGATGTTATAGTTTCCTTAAACAAACAAACAAACAAACAAACAAACAAACAAACCATTTACTCAAACACAAAAGTAACTGATCATATCAATGTCAAGGCAAACCATTTTTAGGGTCCACGTGCACAAAATGATCTTTGTTGTAACTCCCTATGCCATCCCCACTCTAACAGACTAAGTCATAATGCTAAGATTGTTTTGTGTAAGTAGGGCCAGGGTAACTTCATACCATTATAGGGGGTGGCCCAGTCGTCTAAGGCGCCGCTGTGCAGAGTTGCGTCCCTTGGGCATGCCAGAAACCTATGATTGTGGGTTCAAATCCCGTTACGCCCCGATTATGTTTCTAGGTTTGTCAGCACCATACCCGTGCTCATTGGTTTCACCAAAGTGGTAAACATCTGAGACCTGCATCACTTCGGGCTTTCCTCCCACATTAAGCTGATATAACTGGAACACTGTTAAAAGCGGTGTAAACCCAACTCACTCACTCACTCACTCACTCATACCATTATATTTGGGTAAAAAAAGAAAGCCATTTATCAACTTTTTTTTCTCTTTGATCTGCTGTGCATCTTTAATGGAGATTGAAAATAAACAGACATTTCTCCAGGACTTGTGTTGAGGGTGCCAACCCACTTTTGGTATGCCGGATGCCGAGCCCTATTTAGCGGTATTCCGGATGCCGCAGTGCAGTAGCCTAGATGCCATGAAATGTTCATGTGGTACGCGGATGCCAATATTTCAGCAGGTGACATTTATTCATCTTTCTTTCTTGCAAAGAGTGAAAAATAACAAACTATGTAGCCCTAACCTTACGATCATGCATGGCCATGCATTCTATGTGAAAATCCCAGTATGATTTACTTCTACCAGCTGTGTACACTGATATGACTCAAGAGTTCTATAATTGGTTGGCCAGAAACTTAAGTGGTATACCGAAGTTGGGTTGGCACCTGCTGTGTACTTGGGACCAACTTGTGAGATTCCACAAGGTGATGTTAAACTTGTGGACATACGGTCATCGTAATGCTAAGATTACTTGTGGAACGGGGCCAGAACACCAAAATTGTAAGGCAAAATTGACTATAAAAATTTAAAAATTTTGAATTTTTTTTATAAAGCCAATTTGGTGCATCTACAGTCCGGTTGAACTTCAGTACACTTAATTTCTAAAAGGGGAAAAAGGTTTTGAATTATGTATTGAATTATTTCACAGTTTGATAAATAAGAGTATGATCACATGATTATTCTGTTGCCTTGGAGTATATTTAAATGACCTGTTTTAAATTTTAGCAAAGTTTGTTTCTCTGATGCATATTCTTTTCAAACATCTGTTTTGTCAGGTATGTAATAAGAGATTATGTTACTGAGTGAATGAATTATAGAACCATAACAAACGTTTTATGTGTGGTGCTTATTCTAGACTTATACATGTGGTAACATGGTTTGTACTGTCAAGCTTATATGTGTGTTTGTCCAAATTACTTGTCTGTATGCTTGACCCAAGAGAATAAATCAACAACTTAATCCAGTCTTGAATTAAGTCTTGAATAATTTAGCAAGTCTAGATTGCCTCAGTGCGAGGCCTAAAATTATAGGGATTGTTCGGGCTCCATTTGGATTATATTTAATGTTTTGTAGATATATATCTTTATATAAAATAGCTTTATATTTGGGACTAAATGTTAGCCTACTATAGTGCTAGCATATATATTCATCAACTTTTGAATTCTGATTCCTATGAAATGAAATTGTAAAGGTCTAGAATGAATGCAAAATAAAGACATTAACAGTTATCTCCCCTGCATCGTTCCCCGACATCTGACAAGTGTGTAAATGAACTGAGGGTGACATCTTAATTTGCCAAGAGAAGCCTTTCTGTCTGATTTTTTTCGCACCAAACCTCTGAATTTATCAGAAGATGACTTTCTAACAAAGACCTTCAATATATATATGCTTCTAAACCGGTAGTAACCATTACCTGAATATCAGGCGATGGGGTAGCCTTGTGGTTAATCAATGCAAGTGGGTGTGATATTGATCACTAAAGCGTGTATGTTGATGTGATGTTTCAGGATCTGCAGGCGGCTTTCAATGCCGCGATGCTCAAGTACCAAAGAATTTCGGGGTAAGTCAGCTGCAAGCCTTACAAGATGTTAAGTAGGATTTTTTTTAAAAACTTTTATCAGTTTTGAATCAGAATTCAACTGATGCTAAATGCATTCATGTGAATGCTGGTCATATAGATCCCCCAGAATGAATCCCAGTATCATATTCCATACTTGAATCCCTCTATGTAGCTGTGTGAATTGTACAACAGTACTGACGTGGACCTGTTATTGTCTCATAATCAAATTTCTGTTCTGTAGCCTAGTGGTTAAAGCGTTCGCTCGTCACGCCGAAGACCCGGGTTCTATTCCCGACATGGGTACAATGTGTGAAGCCCATTTCTGGTGTCCCCCGCCGTGATATTGCTGGAATATTGCTAAAAGTGACGTAAAACCATACTCACTCACTCTGTTCTGTTCATTCTAATTCCTGCATTCTGATTAGCTTAATTGGTCACGTGTTATTGCATTCATTGCCCAGTGAACGTAAAAAATTAAGCCACGCCCACCGAAGCGGACTACTTATATTGCTAGGGAATGTCGGGGAATCCCAATATTACAGTCAGGGGAATTTCCTTTCTGCTGGCGTGTATCGTCATGCACAGGACATTTAGTGACATTCATGCATATTCATTGTCCAAACTACCCTTTTAGACCGAAGGCCGAGAAGGAATAAAACAGTAAATGTGCAAACTCGCTCACCTTATTTTTTTCCGCTTGCATGGGTTCCACAAATTTCATGTCTTCGGATGTTTGGTCAATATCAATATATCAGTTGCATGTAAAAGTTGGATTTTATTTTCAGTGGTTCCTATACTTCCATGAGGATCAGATAGGCACAATGCCTTCTGAGCGTGTCCCCATTGGGAATCCGGTTTAGATTAGGTCCCCAGCAACACATACAGACATGAATTAGGTGGCATGATTGATGTTTTTTCCAGTTCCCCGATAACGTGCGACGTTGTTCATAATATCAATCCCTGGTTTGTCTGGACTAGACACGATTATTAACAGGCCGCCATCTTGTAGCTGGGATATGGCTGAGTGTGGCCTTATAAACAAACCTCCAAATCTTGCCATTGTACATTGATCCAAGGGAAGTCACTCTGGATACAGAAATGTTATGGATAGCATGGGATCATGCACAAAGTCTGTCTGGTCCAGACTCGATTATTTACAGACCGCCATCATATCGCAGGAATATGGCTGACCAACAAACAAAGAAACAAACAAACTAGATAGACTGTCATCATACAGCATAGTTTTGGATGATACATCCTTAAAATCATTACTTTCACTGATATCATTTGCTGTGAAGACTTGTACAGCTCCTATGTGACTGCTTCCAGAAGTCCCCTGTCTCCGGACAAGCTGTACAGGAACGATGGTGTGACTTTTGACGAGAACTGGCAAGACAGGGCCATTGAGAGGTGATTCACTTGAGTCTGTGTCATTTCACATGTATGTCTAAATTAATGACCTTAATTAAACTTTGATCGGTTTATTTGCTTTTATTACATGAAGCCTGTTCTTGTTTTGTGCAATGGTTACCTCTGAAAGGGGTGTGAAATCAAACTCACTCACTCACTCACTCACTCACTCACTCACTCTCCTCTCTCTCTCTCTCTCTCTCTCTCTCTCTCTCTCTCTCTCTCTCTCACTCTCTCTGGGTCTCTCAAAATTGTGCTCTCACTGACTCACTTTCAGATTGTCCGGCCTATTTTGACCATCATGGATCGATAAAAGGCTCAGGCTGGTTGACAGTCAAATTTAGAATGAATGTATTTTCACATCACAACCTTGATCTAGTATGTTAGAATGTTGCATCTCCTGACTTACTCCAGACTGGATTATGTCTCCTGCAGGCACATGCTGCTGCGCATGCAGAAGGAGCTGCGACAGTACAACGCAGCACAGAAACGTCACTTGCTGGAACAGAGGCAGCGAGAGAGGCAGACATCGCTGTTTGGTCACTCTGACTGTCGACTCAATACAGGTAACGTCGTGGTCAGGGATCTGATACTGTCATGCACACTACAGTCAGTTCTTAACTACAAGAGACAGCCTTATTAGAATTGGATATTTTACTCCAATACAATCCCTCCCTCTTGAAATTGAATATAATTGGAGAGTTCTGAATGCAAAAAAATAAAGCTACACAATTACATCATGGATTTTTTTGTACACACTGTTGGCCAAATCGTTGTTGAAAGCTGACATTTGATAGGCTCTAGATTTCAAAGCGTAAAGTACTTTTAGCGTATATTGTGTGCAATATATGCATGGATGTTCTGTCATGGTACTGTTTGATACTGAAGTAACAGCAAATTGTAAACAATTAGATGATAATATACATGTATGTGACCCACCATGAAACAGGGGACCTTCTTGGTGAAAAATCACATTTTGACTTCTTATATTTTAAACTACAGGTTTTTAAGAACATAAAAATACAATTCACAGGCAACAAGTCATACATGGCAGCAAACATTTGGACAATTTTTTTGCCAAATCCCATTTTCAGTCTTGATATAATGACGGTAATTAATAACTTGATATAATAACTGTAATTATAAACCTATTCATTGGGATTGCTATTAAGTAAGAGACTTCTTTCTATAGGCATTAAAACCTATTGTGAGGTTTTACTTTCCAGTCGGGTTAAATCTCATAAACAGGGACGTTGTAATGTCCCAGGGATTTTATATAATGTCCTGGGTATTTTATTAATATAACTTCCGTTCAGATTGTAACATGTAATGAAATGTAAAATCAAATGACAAATGTTTTCTTCAATTCCCGAGGATCGAACTCGCAACCTTCATATCTGTAGCCCAGTGACTCACCACGAGGCTACAGAGGTGTTGATAAGCCTCACTGGTTTTTAGAATGTCCTTTTCAAGATCTGTACGCCAGCAACAGATATTTTACGCGCGTTTCCTAAGGTTCATGGAAAGTATGTTCGAAACATAAAAATGTTATTAAATGTTGTTTTAAGTTTCTTTTTTCGGGTTATATAAGTATGGAAAAACACTTTCCCTCGGTTTTGGTAGACAGAGCATGCCCTGGGGGTCGGGAAAAACCGCGGGGCTTCGCCCCCTTGGTTTTTCCCTCTCCCCAGGGCATGCTCTGTCTACCAAAACCTCGTGAGCGTGTTTTCTCCAATACTTAATAACTTGATATACCGGTAATAACAGTAATTAATAACTTGATATAATAACTGTAATTAATACCTTGATATAATAACTGTTATTAATAACTTGATATAATAACTGTCATTAATAACTTGATATAATAACTGTCATTAATAACTTGATATAATAACTGTCATTAATAACTTGATATAATAACTGTAATTTAGCTATGGTGACTGATTAATCAAATCTAGACATGCTGAAATGTATTTAAATAATGTTTTTATTGCATTGCAAACTAACAAGAGAAAAATAATAAATTTTTGTACATTCTTCATGGATGGCGATGTTTACGAAAGTAAGTTGACGTCAAACGTCTTTCTTTATGATGTCGCAGCACAATCGTATCCTTCCATGCCAGAAACCTATGATTGTGGGTTCGAATCCTGGTTCGCCCCGATTATGTTTCTAGGTTTGTCAGCACCATACCCGTGCTCATGGGTTTCACCGAAGTGGTAAACGTCTGAGACCTGCATCACTTCGGGCTTTCCTCCCACATTAAGCTGACACGTCATGATGTAACTGGAATACTGTTAAAAACGGCGTTAAACCCAACTCACTCACTCACTCACTCACCACCCATAAGGTCCCTTTTCCCCTGGTGGGTCACATAAGTAATTTAAGACTTGATGTAGTATTCCATCATTGCCTGCATGCACTGTGTACAGGGACTGCCCCCCGCCCTGGGTCTTCAGCGTATGCTGTGCAGCAGCTGGAGAGAGCTAACACCACCATGCCCCTCCGCTCAGCCACTGCAGCCTCCTCCCTCATCCCCCAGCGGCCCCGCCCCCAGACTGCACACTTCGGCGCCTTGAAACGCCAGCAGCAGCCGAAGCAGTCAGACCGGAGTGACCTTGCAGTTGAGACACCCTTCAGGTGAAGGTCAAGGTTGTTTGAGTTGATGACGAATCACGGAGGATGATTGCTTACTGGAAATTGTATTTTGTTAGCTGATACTTCATGTCCTTTTTTTAAAGAGCACGTTATTGCTTCTTCTTTATGTTGTTTTTTAACCTTTTCATACTGCTGGGTATTTTCATCTTTTGAAATTGAGTTGAAATCAATTGTTTATTTGTATCTTAAAGACTGTGAGGAATAATTTATCTTGATAATTATTTGAAAGCACAATGTCCAGAAAGTATGACACGTGTATGACTGATCGTGGGACAGGTTGGATCTATGACTGACCGTGGAACTGGTTGGATCTATGACTGACCGTGGAACTGGTTGGAACTATGGCTAGTCTGTATGTTGTCAGGTTCCGTTTGAGCCCCATGCCGCCAACTGCATTGTCCAGAGCCTGGTCAGAAAGGAAGGACACTCCAGATAGCCAGAGGAAGGTTGACCCTCAGATGCTGGACCCCCGTAACCCTCATGCCATCAGACCCAAGTCCAGTCGCTCCATACCCAGCAAGTGCAGGTGGGTGGGTGAGTGAGTGAGTGAGTGGGGTGGTGGGTGAGTGAGTGAGTGAGTGAGTGAGGGTGGGTGGGTGGGTGGGTGGGTGGGTGGGTGAGTGAGTGAGTGAGTGGGTGAGTGGGGTGTTGGGTGAGTGAGTGAATGGGTTGGTGGGTGGGTTTTTGAGTGAGTGGGTTTGGGTATGTGGGTGGTTGGGTGGGTGAATGAGTGAGTGAGTTAGGGTGGGTGAGTGAGTTAGGGTGGGTGAGTGAGTTAGGGTGGGTGAGTTAGGGTGGTCGAGTGAGTGAGTGAGTTAGGGTGGGTGGGTGGGTGAGTGAGTAAGTAGGGTGGGTGGGTGGGTGGGTGAGTGAGTGAGTGAGTGAGTGAGTAAGTAGGGTGGGTGGGTGGGTTGGTGAGTGAGTGAGTGAGTGTGCTAGCAAGCGAGGGTGAGTAAGTTAGTGAGTTAGGTAGGGTGAGTGAGTGAGTGAGTTAGGGTGGGTGGGAGGGTGAGTGAGTGAGTAGGGTGGGTGAGTGAGTGAGTGAGTGTGCTAGCTAGCAAGGGTGAGGGAGAGAGGGACGGAGTGAGGGCCGGTGGGTGAGTGCGTGAGTGAGTGAGTTATATCACTGCTTGTCAGCTTCAAGTGGAAGGAAAGCCCAAAGTGATGAGGTCTTAGACTTTATCCATTTTGGCAAAACCCACAACCAGGGTAATGATGCTGACAGACAGAAAAATGATCGAAATGAATCAAACCCACTATCATATGTTTCTAACACAACTCTGCACAGTCTCTCTGATGTAGGTAGTTGAGGAAGTTCGAATCAAGGAATTTACCAAGGTTATGATCCTTGGTCTGTCGGCACCTGTGCTTGAGCGTTTCCAAATAGTGGTATATGTTTGTGAGCTGTTGCACTCTTGGCTTTTCTCCACCAGTAAGCTAAAGCCCTCTGATGTTTCCCAATTATGTTCAAAGTGGTGTGGGGCGGTCGGGTAGCCTTGTGGTTAAAGCGTTCGCTCTTAACGCCGAAGACCCGGGTTTGATTCCAGACATGGGTACAATGTGTGAAGCCCATTTCTGGTGTCCACCGCCGTGATATTGCTGGAATATTGCTAAAAACGGTGTAAAACCATACTCACTCACTCAAAGTGGTGTAAAAAGCCTCCTATTGTTAACTTTGTATCCATCTTTAACCTCGACTGTAATGCACTCATTGTTATCTTATAGGAGAATACATATACCATTGCCATTTGCATTAGAATATTAAGTTTTGGTAACACTTGTAGCTATATTTAAGGCATGTTGGTTGGAAATGTATGATACCTTTGAGCAAGCAAATAACTGACATACTAATATTTGCCACAGTCGCTACATCCTTGTGTCTCGGCCTAAAGATCAGAACCAGCCACCGATACCATCCCCTATGGAAGAGCAACTTCTGTTTGAACGCTTCCCCAATATTGGCATGAAGACTCTCAACACATTCGACGGAACCATCATCCGGCAGCGGAAACCTACCTACGGCATAGAGTACAGTCCCTTTGCCCCACAGATGCACTGACAGAGTACAGTCCCTTTGCCCCACAGATGCACTGACAGAGTACAGTCCCTTTGCTCCACAGATGCACTGACAGAGTACAGTCCCTTTGCCCCACAGATGCACTGACAGAGTACAGTCCCTTTGCCCCACAGATGCACTGACAGAGTACAGTCCCTTTGCCCCACAGATGCACTGACAGAGTACAGTCCCTTTGCTCCACAGATGCACTGACAGAGTACAGTCCCTTTGCCCCACAGATGCACTGACAGAGTACAGTCCCTTTGCTCCACAGATGCACTGACAGAGTACAGTCCCTTTGCCCCACAGATGCACTGACAGAGTACAGTCCCTTTGCCCCACAGATGCCAAGCTCCTCACAGCGATAGTTTTGAGAGCTCCGCGACCAGTCAAAACTCCCCACTGTGATAGGTGGCCCCAACCATGCTTGCAACCGAATGACCGTTATGTTTACAAACAAGTGATGACTTACCGCTGATAAATTACTTTCTTTGTTTGTCAATTTGAATTTCTTTTTCATTAAAAGTATCATCTTTAATTAATATACATGTAGTAAGAATGTAAGGGAGAAGTTGGTTGATTTTCCGTTAGCCTGCAATCTCGAACAATCTGATTATTAAAACAACAAAGTAAATTCATCTGGAAAACATGGTCAGTCGTAAACCTTTCAAAATGAAATATGATGGCATTCCCAAAGACATAAACAAAAGTATAAACGTTACTACATATGGAGTTAGAGGGCAAATTTCAAGATTCTTGTAATGGCCGCGCCCACACTGTTTTGGGAGTCAAATTGACAATATACACAAGTATTTCAATAACAAGAGGGTATTTTGGTAAAATGACATTTTTTTGGTCATTCAGGACCCACTTGCACAAAGCGACCTTAGCGCTAAGATGATCGTAACTCCCATACTTTAACATAGGCTTACCATAGTCTTAGTGCTAAGATTGCTTTGTGCAAGTGGGCCCAGGTCTGTATGTTGTTTTCGTTGAAAGTTGTGAAGGGATCCACTGCTGGGTTGTCACACAAGCATCAAGATTCTAATACATTCTGTTAATGCCATGCTCATGATTAAGGCAAAAAATATTAGAGCATTACGTGTTTCATAAGCATTCCTACTTTTTGAAGCGGCCAATCACTTCCAGTGGATGTACAATTGACCATTAATGTTGACATGTTGGTGTTTCTTTACATTAGATTTTTCTTTTAAATAACAGAAATTGAAAACAGACATAGAAGTGTCTTAGGTGTTTAGTTGCGTGTGTGTTAAAAATTACATTAATCAGAACTAACACTGGGTATAAATGTATTGTTGAAATATGCTTAGGTACTGTGAGTCTAGTTTACAAGAGCTTTAGTGTCCGATATTAAAATAGATTGAACAATATTTATTGTAAAATTATGACTTAAATACATTCACATTCAGTGTATGTGTTCCTTAAAGTGTACATGTTTCTGTAAATACGTCTTTGAATTAGCTGAAATTTTATCCTTATGAATGATTAAAGCAACTTTGCAGGTACATGATTCTGTTATGTTTGTAACACCTTGAGCTCAACACTGTAAGAGGTTGATTTTTCGATCATTTCAGTCAATTATCATCCTTCTTTCCAACTTGTTTGCAACTTCAATTGTTTCAATATGGTCACTTTTGTATTATTAAAATATTTTTTTACATGTGTTGATTTTATTTAATATCTGGTTATTTAAGAATATTATAATTATCCAAAGATTTTTATAACATTCAATTTTCTGTTATATATGTTTAATATACAGACAGAGAAAATATTTGCTACCAGTATTTGTTATTTCAGTGCGTTATTAGTTTTATCTAACTGGGATTTCAGGTGACCTAAATTCCTTTTGTGTAAGGTCATATGAATATATGTACTAGAACCAAAGAAATATTGACCGTATTTACAAATCATCATGCCAATGAAATGTCAGCCATGTTCCAGTGGATAATATGTCCATTCTTGTGTGATAAACACCCGTCATTTTAAGCCCAAAAATAGCTGTCTACACCTCTAGACTGATGCTCATGGGTTTTGACAAAGTGGCACACCTCTAGACCGATGCTCATTGGTTTTGACAAAGTGGCACACCTCTAGACCGATGCTCATGGGTTTTGACAAAGTGGCACACCTCTAGACCGATGCTCATGGGTTTTGACAAAGTGGCACACCTCTAGACCGATGCTCATGGGTTTTGACAAAGTGGCACACCTCTAGACCGATGCTCATGGGTTTTGACAAAGTGGCACACCTCTTTGCACTTGTTCCATGCAGCATTAAACCAAACTCATCCGTCATATGACTGTGATTACATTATCAACGGAGCTGTTGAACATGCCCCATGATTATGTTGCTTCATCCCAAAGATGTAGACAAAAGGATGCTGATATTAGCATGGTAAGAAAGTAGTGTGTGTGAAATGAGTGTTGCTTGTAGTATGAGAACATCTGTTATCTATCTTCTTGTTGTGAATCGTCACAGGCCTTCAACCATGTCATGCTTTATTGTCAAGACATTACAGTTCCATTCATACCATATTTTCTTGGGTATAATGCGCACCCCCTTCTGGCGGATTCAGTATTTTTGAAAAAAAATATTTGGAATATTATGCGCAGAAAAAATTACACCGTACCCCTTTGAAAGCAAATTCCGGTAAACGAACAGGTGATGAGAAGCTTGGTCAGTACATATTTGAAAATTGACACAAAAAATCACAAGACATGTTGATTTACCATTTAAATTGTATTTTTATATGAGGGATGATATATTCCAATATCATGGGGGTATATTAAAAAGTTCTGACAATTATATACCAGAACAGATATGAAAATTTAGTTCAGGATTTGAAGACTTGGGGACCGGCCATTTGTCACAGGTGGGAGTGGGTCACATGTTTGGGATACTAATGAACTGAAAATAATTACCCTCCACTACGGCCACACATTTTTTATTTTTCATTTAACAGGACCACCGCCCCTACTGAAAAGCAGCTGGAAAAGAAAGAAATTAAACCAAAAAAATATTTATTTTTATCATGTCGCCTGTAAGTAACATAGACCCTCTCATACAACATATAAATTCCATGTCTACATCACAATCAGTGATTCAAGAAGGCAGTTGCAGTTTTAACTCCATGGGAGAATGACTTTCATATAAATAAATAAATGAATGACATGACTATTTATTTTTGTTCTTATTTCAACTGACCTTGTGTTCGATTCCCGACATGGGTACAATGTGTGAAGCCCATTTCTGGTGTCCCCCGCCGTGATATTGCTGGAATATTGCTAAAAGCGGCGTAAAACCAAACTCACTCACTCACTCACTCAACTGACCTTGTGTGGAAAAGCTAGAATAAATCTGTGAAAACTAAAACTAAAAGAGTGTTGGCCTAATGCTTGTCATATTTTTTATCAGCCTCCCTGAAAAAATTATTATAAAATGACCATTTTTTAAGACCCTCCTCAAATATGTGTTATTTTGTATAACCCTCCTCAAGAGACTGTCCTATTTTAAGGTGACCTGCCCTGATTTCATCTGACCCACCCACCCCTATAATAAATGACCTGACCCTGGGTTTGTTTGGTTGGTCCTGTTTGTGGTGTGTCACAGGAACACGTAGTTAATACTCAGGTTTTCGATGGTTTGTGTTTAAAGCAGTGTTTTGTATATTTGTTAGTTGTTTTGTTATGAAATGTGTATTTCTGTAGAATCTGGAATTTGATAAATTCTCAGCACTGTGATATTTGCTATTGTGAAGAGGAATTTACTTTACAATTGAGGAATAAAGATAGTTACTATAGCTAACATGTGTTCCAGTTATTTTTTGGAATCCTATGCCATGAATTATAATGATGGAATGTCAAAACAGGTCGTCTGTTTGTCATGTCCAACGTAGGTACTCCTGGTTAGAATTGTTCCCCAGCAACCTATGCTGGTCATAAGGGGGACCAAATGGATCGGGTAGTCAGGCTCACTTACTTGGTTAATGCATGTCATCGTATCCCAATTGTGTGGATCAATGCTCATGATGTCAATCACTGGATTGTATGGTGCAGACTTGATTATTTACAGATGCCGTCATATAGCTGGAATATTGCTGAGTGCGGCGTTAAACATCAAACAAGAATTGCTCCCCAGCAACCTATGCATCTGGTGGATTAAAAGAGTGAGTCATGAAACACGCGATCACGGGTACAGTGCTGACACATTTCCACACCACCAACAGATCCACGAAGATCCGGGTAGAATAGGTCTTCAGCAACCCATGCTTGCCGTAAGAGGCGACGAACGGAACGGGTGGTCAGGCTCCCTGACTTGGTTGATGCATGTCATCGTATCCCAATTCCGTGGATCGATGCTCATGATGTCAATCACTGGATTGTCTGGTCCAGACTCGAATATTTACAGGCCACCGTCATATAATTGGAATATTGCTGAGTGTGGCGTTATTCATCAACAACCAACCAATCTGTTAATTTGTACTTGAGGCTTCAGGCCCATATACAAAGTATACAAAGTACACAAAATTACCAATTTTCCATCAAGGTGATGGCGGTTCATCATACTTATATATTCAATGATAACATAGTGTACAGTAATTAATGATAACATGCTCTCCTCACAAGTGAAGCTTTACAGAATGTTAGCAAGTTTTCTACTATAGCTGGATCATAATCATTCATTGAATTAACAAAACATTTGGATGTGCATTTCCTTAAATATTTCTTTGGTACAAAAAGATTTCTCAAATCATTAAAACAAGGGCATTTCAATATTATGTGGAATTCATCCTCTAACTCATTTAAATTACAATTCTGACAGATTCGTTTACTTTTTTCAACATTTTTCCATCTTCCAACATTTATGTAAATTTTGGCACCTCCAGTTCTTAAAAGAGCTGAGTATCTTCTATGCATTAAATATGTTTTGCAATACACATATGGTTCAGTATTTAATGAAAATTTGTATTTACTGTAACTATCGAATCTTGTACTTTCTCTTAATTTTGCTTGCCACTCTTGAAAAGAAATATCTCTTAATCTAAGTTTAATCATACATGTTGGTCATCTGTGGTGCCATGTTGTTTTTCATATCAACATATTATACTGTAATCTGTCCAGTTTCTGAGGGGGCATGGATGGCCCTGTCGTCTAAGGCGCCGCGATTCGCTGTGAAGAGTTGCGTCCCTTGGGCACGCCAGAAACCTATGATTGCGGTTTCAAATCCCGGTTCGCCCTAATTATGTTTCTAGGTTTGTCAGCACCATACCCGTGCTCGTGGGTTTCACCGAAGTGGTAAACATCTGAGGCCTGCATCACTTCGGGCTTGTCTCCCACATTAAGCTGACACGCCGCGATATAACTGGAATACTGTTAAAAGTGGTGTTAAACCCAACTCACTCACTCACTCACTCCAGTTTCTGAAGATACATGGAACATCGTGAAGATAACCGAGTAAAATGGGTGTATGATCTTTGATTATCATCAACTTAAAAAACCTTTTGGAAGAATAAAAACTGAAACACTAAACAAATTTTACAGTTTATTTAATACAATGATGTCGAGAATATACACAATACATAGACATTTTTACAATTACAAAGTATGCCCATGAAGTGCAGGTTAGGCTTAAAAAAATAAAAGAATTGGTTTCAGTCAATGGCTTTTGAAAATATTTTGTGGAGGGGCAGGGTTGTTTTGTTTTTTTGGTTGTTCAAGCTAGTTTTGTAACTTAATTTAGTTTGAAATAATTTCGACAAAAACATGTGATTAAGTATTGTAGCAATTTACTGCCAGGGTTGTGTGTTCGAGACATGGAATATTTAAAGATTTTTTTGGGGGTGGGTGGGGGGGAATGCGGCGGACATAATGATGATGCATGCAGTGCCTGAGAATAGAGACTACTATTTTTTTAGCCTAACTCATGGCTTGTTTAACTTTAACATAAAAACTCTGGACCGTGATTCTAACCCTGACTATGGCAATAACATGGAGCTTAGTCTCAGCTTCCTATTCCTAAGCTAACAACAGGCTAAGAGACTAAAGAGTTGTCCTAAGCACTGCTAACAACCGGCTAAGAGACTATAGAGTTGTCCTAAGCACTGCTAACAACCGGCTAAGAGACTAAAGACTATGCTGCACAAGGCCTTGTCCAAAACATGGTTCTGTTGCCACTCATTCCTAATTTAAGAATAGGGTCGGTTGGCCTTTTCCATTTCTATTAAAAACAACAGCCCTGCAACTGTATGTTGGAGAATTACTGTAAAGTAAGCAGTATTGGGTATTTGTTTTCGTGTGTCACATATTTTTGTCACAAACAGTGGGAGTGGTCAAAGCGTTTGTTCGTCATGTTGAAAACCTGGGTTCGATTCCCCACATGGGCACAATGTGTGAAGCCCATTTCTGGTGTACCCCGCTGTGATATTGCTGGAATATTGCTAAAAGCAGCGTAAAACCACACTCACTCACTCACCCTCACTCACTCACAAGCAGTGTCAGGTGTCGTTGGGTTATCATCAAGTCTTCATTAAATCTATAAATGTACAACGGTCATGAATCTTCAGTCGATTACCCAACCAAATTATTCATGAATGATATGCAGTACCCCTTTTGACAAAATATTATCTATAAAATTATTATCTCCTTAAGAGATACCAATTCTACCTTAAGACAGGATTTAATCTACATTATACTCAGATTATTGCAGACCATGACAAAAATATTTATTTGAAAGCACTTCTTTCTTTCACCCAAAGTCCATACACATATACAAGTTTGTGTATATATATATGTTTATTATCAGTTTCTACCCTTTGTTCTCCAACATGAATGGATTTTATGTCAGAAACCTCTTTAAATTTAAAACACGGTAGGTTTATCTGCATATTCTCACAAAGTCAAACTAGCAAACACTGGATTGTCTGGCTTATGCTCGATAGTTTACAGAACGCCGTCATATAGCTGGAATATTGCTGAGTGCGGTGTTAAACAAACAAACAAACAAACAAACAAACAGTAGTCAACATCATGATTCCACCCTAAATCAGCCATGCGTGAGTGACAATTGTTGAACTTCAACGAGGATAGGTCCATGTGCTGACCACCAAGGGAGATAACTGCATCATGTCCCAAGGACTAGCTGAGGTATTCTAGACTCGCTTTAGCCTTCTCCATCTCATGCAGGAATGAGTAAAACTGTGGCAATGATAGTTCTGAAAAGTAATAGATGGTGATTACAAATGAATCATTGCTTTTCCCAATAATGAAATTAAATAAATTCCAACTTTCTTGAATAATTCGCATGAAAACTGCTTCCGTGCATTGAGGAACATGCATAGCACCAAGATCACAGATTCCTCACGTATGTTCACTCTTATAGTCTGGAAGGTAATTTAAGGTACCGACATTTACCAAAATATCTGAAAAACTGTTGGACCTACTCGAGTCAAAGTTGGTATGAGATTATTAAACAGTCATACATAACTGGATATTACATTTAAAGACAATCGGTGCACCAAAATAATATTCTAAAAAGATACCCCTATTTTTAATTTTGAGAGCGCCCTGTTCTTATTATGTTGAATACTGTACTTAACCACAGTCAAGTATGATAAACGACGTGGCAAGAACAGGTCATCCTTTATAAAACAGGGTCCCACTTGTCACTATGAATAGTTTCAGTAAAGACTTTACACACAGGAGGCCAGCTAACTTTCTGATGACTGTCAAAATGAACTTAAAGATGCAGACAATTCTGAGATAAAGAATAGAGTCTAACATCTTTCATGGGTCATTTTATGTCCACCATTCACTGATGCATGTCACACTAGTATGTTGCTGACTCAAACTCACCCATATATGTGTTCTTGGCTCCATTTCCTGTGTTGATAACTAGTTTCAGCTGAAACAGAATTTCGCAAAAAGTTTATTACCGTATTCTACGTAATAAGCGCCCCACCCTAAAAGCGCCCACAGCTATATTTGCTAATATATTGGCTAGTGTACAATCCCAATTATCACCCTTCCGATTGATCAATGTACACAAGACTTATTCATTCGTGTATAATACACACTTGTGTGTTATATGCACCCTTATTTATGGGCAATTAAATTCTTGAAAAATATATCTTCGTGTATAATACGCACAGACTTTTCTTTTGTATCATTTCAGGCTGTCAGCATAAACCACGAAATTTACGATCTTTCAACTCTTTCACCAAAATTATATTCTAATAAGAGCCCCCTATTTCTAATTTTGAGAGCGCCCTGGGCGCTTATTACGTCGAATACGGTAATTGAAAATAAGAAAACCACTGTCATAGAGGTTAATCCATGAGTGTCTGACAGCAGAGACCATATAATATATCCATCTATTGTATGATCTCTGCTGTCAGATACCATTCACCTTCAAAGTACCCAGTTGTTTCAAAAGGTATCTAGCAAGCAAAAGCGAGTTACATACATTTTGAGCAAAATGGTATCTGACAGGCACAAGTGCAATAATCTGTTTCTTACACACATCACACAATTTTAGGTGAGTGAGTTGGGTCAACGCCGCTTTTAAACAGTATTCCAGTTATATCGTGGCGTGTCAGCTTAATGTGGGAGGAAAGCCCGAAGTGATGCTAGTCTTAGACGTTTACCACTTCGGTGAAACCCACGAGCACGGGTATGGTGCTGACAAACCTAGAAACCCAATCGGGGCGAACCGGGATTCGAACCCTTGATCATAGGTTTCTGGTGTGTCAAAGAGACGCAACTCTGCCTTAGACGACTGGGCCACCCGTGCCCCACCTCATTTTAGCATCAGATTGATGCATATTTTGTCTATTCTTATGATCACAGTGGCGCATTAATATATAACACAACAGTCATTGACGTCATAGGCCTATGCTTACTCCCCATGGCTAGTGTGACATGCCACAATAAAGTTTCCGCCATATCCGTGGATTATCAAGGCGAAGATGATAATGCAAACTAGACAAGACTAAAACCATAAAGTGTCTACACAGACAAAGGTGAATTCGACCGAAGCACGAGTATGTTATCAATGAATTACAATCAGGAAAGTAGTTATCATAATTTGACATAGGTCATCACCATGGAGTAGCCAATCACAGACCTGGAATTTGATCTGACACATATGTTTCATACCACTTTTCTCAAATGGGGACCCGTGAAGATCCGGGTCACAAGGTCTTCAGTAACCCATGCTTGCTGTAAAAGGTGACTGTGCTTGTTGTGAGAGGCGACTAACAGGATCAGGTGGCCAATCCAACCCAAACCAAACCAAACCCGTGCCCCTACAAACCTGTGGAAGTAGAAGCTACTCACCTGAAGAAAGGTGTTTCCTACTTTGTCAAGCTCACTACTTGATGCTGTAACTGCAAAGGTGACAGGCTAGGATCAGAAAACTGTACCGGTACACAAGATTAATCCCAATACTTTTTTAATAATAATAATATTATAATTAATAATAACAACATAAATAAATAAATAAATAATAATATTATAATTAATAATAACAACATAGATAGATAGATAGATAGATAGATAGATAGATAGATAGATAGATAGATAGATAGATATGACACCACAGGCATTGAAGTCGATATGACCCTCTCAGATGGCGCCTCAAGCATTGAAGTCCATATGACCCTCTTGGATGACGCCTCAAGCATTGAAGTCCATATGACCCTCTCGGATGACGCCTCAAGCATTGAAGTCTATATGACCTTCTGGGATGATGCCTCAAGTGTTGAAGTCCATATGACCCTCTCGGATGACGCCTCAAGCATTGAAGTCCGTTTGACCCTCTCGGATGACGCCTCAAGCATTGAAGTCTGTATGACCCTCTCGGATGACGCCTAAAGCAGTGAAGTCTGTATGACCCTTGAGGAAGGTGCTAACCTACAGTAACATGGTGATTAAACACAACACCTACCTCCAAACTTCCACTCCATGTCCACCAGCTGGTTGACCATGAGAGTCTGGCCCAGCGCACTGTGAGACAGGGACACCAGGTTGTTCTTGTACTGCTCTGTGAAATAGTCGGCTTTCTCTTCTGATAAACCTGGAAACAAATACAGTTCAGGTCATAAAAACATGAGACATATAGAGAATCTCAACCGAGATATAAAATATAAAATATTGATAAAAGTGGAAAAATTCCGAGGCTTGCCGAGGATTTTTGCCACTTTTATCAACGACGATCATTCTTTCAACTTTTTCAATTTGTAGACAGTAATTAGCAGTGTCTTCAGTGTAAAAAGTACTGCAAACAACTTCAGTAGCAGAGCCATTAGTGATGTCATTTGATTGTGACGTCATGGTAACCAGTGACGTCAAAATGGTCTGCAAAGCATTGTGATGTAATTTCATTGCAGCGATATCTACAGTGTAGATATCGCTTGATCTCATTCAAGTGATATCTCCTGTAGGAGCCAGTTTTGGATGATAAAATACAGTTTTGTTTGTTTGTTTGACAGCTATATGAAGGCGGTCTGTAAATAATCGAATCTGGACAAGACAATCCAGTGATTGACATTATGAACATCAATCCACACAATTGGGATACGATGACATGCATCAACCAAATCAGCGAGCCTGACCAACCAGTCCCGTTAGCCTCCTCTTTCGACAAGCATAGTCACCTTTTACAGCAAGGATGGGTTGCTGAAGACCTATTCTAATCCGGATCTTCACGGGTCATATAGAGTATCTGTCTTTGAAATTTGTAAATCCTATTCAGCCAAAGACAGCATGTTTGGAATAAGTATTATGTTCATAAAATGTCCCAGACCACGGGCCTTGTAATCTGAGGTCAAATTCCTTCATTGTCCACATGACCACTGAGGTTGATCCTGTCAGTAGTCTGACCAGGGCCCCATTCCACAAAGCGATCATAACTACAATCAATCTTAGAGACTTACGTCGATTCTAAAATTGTCTTAGCTAAAGTTTACAACCGTTCCACAAAGCGATCTTAGGGTGATTGTTACTTTACAAGTTCTTAAGTAGCTGATCTTAACAAAGATCGGAATCTTCAGCCATAAAGATACGAAATTTTCCCTTGGAGTGGCCTCCCTTGGTCATGTTTAGCAGACAACGCATTTCCTTGCAAACCATAATAAAAGTCGCCATCTTTGTTGTTATGGTACAATATTTAAGATCGATTTTAGCAATCCTAAGTTGGTCCGGAGCAACTTAGCATTTTGATCTTAACTTACAACTCTCTTAGTTAAGATTGCTTTGTGGAACGGGCGGCTGATCGTAACAAAAATTTAAGATCGCATACTTAGTGAGTTACAATCAACTTAGCCCTAAGATCGCTTTGTGGAACGGGGCCCAGGTCAGGACTCCACATCCTGCTACCCCGAAAGGCACAGCCCGGGCTCATGGTGTGCCCCATGTTTGTCCTGTGATGGGAATCAAATCATGGACCTTCTGATCCAAGGTCAAACACCTTGTCCACATGACTAAAGAGACTAGGGCTTGGACAAGTCCAAGTTTACTACGTATTGGAGAAAACACGCTCACGAGGTTTTGGTAGACAGAGCATGCCCTGGGGAGAGGGAAAAACCAAGGGGGCGAAGCCAAAACCGAGGGAAAGTGTTTTTCCATACTTATAAACCAAAAAAAGAAACTTAAAACAACATTTATCAACATTTTTATGTCTCGAACATACTTTCCATGAACCTTAGGAAATCTGTTGCTGGCTTACGGATCTTGAAAAGGACATTCTAAAAACCAGTGAGGCTTATCAACACCTCTGTAGCCTCGCGGTACATTCACTGGGCTACAGATATGAAGGTTGCAAGTTCGATCCTCGGGAATATAAAGAAAACATTTGTCATTTGATTTTACATTTCATTACATGTTACAATCTGAATGGAAGTTATATTAATAAAATACCCAGGACATTGTATAAAATCCCAAGGATATTATAGCAAATATGACTTGAATATCCTATAAAATCCCTGGGATATTATAGCAAATATGACTTGAATATCCTATAAAATCCCTGGGATATTATAGCAAATATGACTTGAATATCCTATAAAATCCCAAGGATAGTATAGCAAATATGACTTGAATATCCTATAAAATCCCTGGGATATCATAGCAAATATGACTTGAATATCCTATAAAATCCCAAGGATATTATAGCAAATATGACTTGAATATCCTATAAAATCCCTGGGATATTATAGCAAATATGACTTGAATATCCTATAAAATCCCTGGGATATTATAGCAAATATGACTTGAATATCCTATAAAATCCCTGGGATATTATAGCAAATATGACTTGAATATCCTATAAAATCCCTGGGATATTATAGCAAATATGACTTGAATATCCTATAAAATCCCTGGGATATTATAGCAAATATGACTTGAATATCCTATAAAATCCCTGGGATATTATAGCAAATATGACTTGAATATCCTATAAAATCCCTGGGATATTATAGCAAATATGACTTGAATATCCTATAAAATCCCTGGGATATTATAGCAAATATGACTTGAATATCCTATAAAATCCCAAGGATAGTATAGCAAATATGACTTGAATATCCTATAAAATCCCTGGGATATCATAGCAAATATGACTTGAATATCCTATAAAATCCCAAGGATATTATAGCAAATATGACTTGAATATCCTATAAAATCCCTGGGATATTATAGCAAATATGACTTGAATATCCTATAAAATCCCTGGGATATTATAGCAAATATGACTTGAATATCCTATAAAATCCCTGGGATATTATAGCAAATATGACTTGAATATCCTATAAAATCCCTGGGATATTATAGCAAATATGACTTGAATATCCTATAAAATCCCAAGGATAGTATAGCAAATATGACTTGAATATCCTATAAAATCCCTGGGATATCATAGCAAATATGACTTGAATATCCTATAAAATCCCAAGGATATTATAGCAAATATGACTTGAATATCCTATAAAATCCCTGGGATATTATAGCAAATATGACTTGAATATCCTATAAAATCCCTGGGATATTATAGCAAATATGACTTGAATATCCTATAAAATCCCAAGGATAGTATAGCAAATATGACTTGAATATCCTATAAAATCCCTGGGATATCATAGCAAATATGACTTGAATATCCTATAAAATCCCAAGGATATTATAGCAAATATGACTTGAATATCCTATAAAATCCCTGGGATATTATAGCAAATATGACTTGAATATCCTATAAAATCCCTGGGATATTATAGCAAATATGACTTGAATATCCTATAAAATCCCAAGGATAGTATAGCAAATATGACTTGAATATCCTATAAAATCCCTGGGATATCATAGCAAATATGACTTGAATATCCTATAAAATCCCAAGGATATTATAGCAAATATGACTTGAATATCCTATAAAATCCCTGGGATATTATAGCAAATATGACTTGAATATCCTATAAAATCCCTGGGATATTATAGCAAATATGACTTGAATATCCTATAAAATCCCAAGGATAGTATAGCAAATATGACTTGAATATCCTATAAAATCCCTGGGATATCATAGCAAATATGACTTGAATATCCTATAAAATCCCAAGGATATTATAGCAAATATGACTTGAATATCCTATAAAATCCCTGGGATATTATAGCAAATATGACTTGAATATCCTATAAAATCCCTGGGATATTATAGCAAATATGACTTGAATATCCTATAAAATCCCTGGGATATTATAGCAAATATGACTTGAATATCCTATAAAATCCCTGGGATATTATAGCAAATATGACTTGAATATCCTATAAAATCCCTGGGATATTATAGCAAATATGACTTGAATATCCTATAAAATCCCTGGGATATTATAGCAAATATGACTTGAATATCCTATAAAATCCCAAGGATAGTATAGCAAATATGACTTGAATATCCTATAAAATCCCTGGGATATCATAGCAAATATGACTTGAATATCCTATAAAATCCCAAGGATATTATAGCAAATATGACTTGAATATCCTATAAAATCCCTGGGATATTATAGCAAATATGACTTGAATATCCTATAAAATCCCTGGGATATTATAGCAAATATGACTTGAATATCCTATAAAATCCCTGGGATATTATAGCAAATATGACTTGAATATCCTATAAAATCCCTGGGATATTATAGCAAATATGACTTGAATATCCTATAAAATCCCTGGGATATTATAGCAAATATGACTTGAATATCCTATAAAATCCCAAGGATAGTATAGCAAATATGACTTGAATATCCTATAAAATCCCTGGGATATCATAGCAAATATGACTTGAATATCCTATAAAATCCCAAGGATATTATAGCAAATATGACTTGAATATCCTATAAAATCCCTGGGATATTATAGCAAATATGACTTGAATATCCTATAAAATCCCTGGGATATTATAGCAAATATGACTTGAATATCCTATAAAATCCCAAGGATAGTATAGCAAATATGACTTGAATATCCTATAAAATCCCAAGGATATTATAGCAAATATGACTTGAATATCCTATAAAATCCCTGGGATATTATAGCAAATATGACTTGAATATCCTATAAAATCCCTGGGATATTATAGCAAATATGACTTGAATATCCTATAAAATCCCAAGGATAGTATAGCAAATATGACTTGAATATCCTATAAAATCCCTGGGATATCATAGCAAATATGACTTGAATATCCTATAAAATCCCAAGGATATTATAGCAAATATGACTTGAATATCCTATAAAATCCCTGGGATATTATAGCAAATATGACTTGAATATCCTATAAAATCCCTGGGATATTATAGCAAATATGACTTGAATATCCTATAAAATCCCAAGGATAGTATAGCAAATATGACTTGAATATCCTATAAAATCCCTGGGATATCATAGCAAATATGACTTGAATATCCTATAAAATCCCAAGGATATTATAGCAAATATGACTTGAATATCCTATAAAATCCCTGGGATATTATAGCAAATATGACTTGAATATCCTATAAAATCCCTGGGATATTATAGCAAATATGACTTGAATATCCTATAAAATCCCAAGGATAGTATAGCAAATATGACTTGAATATCCTATAAAATCCCTGGGATATCATAGCAAATATGACTTGAATATCCTATAAAATCCCAAGGATATTATAGCAAATATGACTTGAATATCCTATAAAATCCCTGGGATATTATAGCAAATATGACTTGAATATCCTATAAAATCCCTGGGATATTATAGCAAATATGACTTGAATATCCTATAAAATCCCAAGGATAGTATAGCAAATATGACTTGAATATCCTATAAAATCCCTGGGATATCATAGCAAATATGACTTGAATATCCTATAAAATCCCTGGGATATTATAGCAAATATGACTTGAATATCCTATAAAATCCCTGGGATATTATAGCAAATATGACTTGAATATCCTATAAAATCCCTGGGATATTATAGCAAATATGACTTGAATATCCTATAAAATCCCTGGGATATTATAGCAAATATGACTTGAATATCCTATAAAATCCCTGGGATATTATAGCAAATATGACTTGAATATCCTATAAAATCCCTGGGATATTATAGCAAATATGACTTGAATATCCTATAAAATCCCAAGGATAGTATAGCAAATATGACTTGAATATCCTATAAAATCCCTGGGATATCATAGCAAATATGACTTGAATATCCTATAAAATCCCAAGGATATTATAGCAAATATGACTTGAATATCCTATAAAATCCCTGGGATATTATAGCAAATATGACTTGAATATCCTATAAAATCCCTGGGATATTATAGCAAATATGACTTGAATATCCTATAAAATCCCTGGGATATTATAGCAAATATGACTTGAATATCCTATAAAATCCCTGGGATATTATAGCAAATATGACTTGAATATCCTATAAAATCCCTGGGATATTATAGCAAATATGACTTGAATATCCTATAAAATCCCTGGGATATTATAGCAAATATGACTTGAATATCCTATAAAATCCCTGGGATATTATAGCAAATATGACTTGAATATCCTATAAAATCCCTGGGATATTATAGCAAATATGACTTGAATATCCTATAAAATCCCTGGGATATTATAGCAAATATGACTTGAATATCCTATAAAATCCCTGGGATATTATAGCAAATATGACTTGAATATCCTATAAAATCCCAAGGATAGTATAGCAAATATGACTTGAATATCCTATAAAATCCCTGGGATATCATAGCAAATATGACTTGAATATCCTATAAAATCCCAAGGATATTATAGCAAATATGACTTGAATATCCTATAAAATCCCTGGGATATTATAGCAAATATGACTTGAATATCCTATAAAATCCCTGGGATATTATAGCAAATATGACTTGAATATCCTATAAAATCCCTGGGATATTATAGCAAATATGACTTGAATATCCTATAAAATCCCTGGGATATTATAGCAAATATGACTTGAATATCCTATAAAATCCCTGGGATATCATAGCAAATATGACTTGAATATCCTATAAAATCCCTGGGATATCATAGCAAATATGACTTGAATATCCTATAAAATCCCTGGGATATCATAGCAAATATGACTTGAATATCCTATAAAATCCCTGGGATATCATAGCAAATATGACTTGAATATCCTATAAAATCCCTGGGATATCATAGCAAATATGACTTGAATATCCTATAAAATCCCTGGGATATCATAGCAAATATGACTTGAATATCCTATAAAATCCCTGGGATATCATAGCAAATATGACTTGAATATCCTATAAAATCCCTGGGATATCATAGCAAATATGACTTGAATATCCTATAAAATCCCTGGGATATCATAGCAAATATGACTTGAATATCCTATAAAATCCCTGGGATATTATAGCAAATATGACTTGAATATCCTATAAAATCCCTGGGATATTATAGCAAATATGACTTGAATATCCTATAAAATCCCTGGGATATTATAGCAAATATGACTTGAATATCCTATAAAATCCCTGGGATATTATAGCAAATATGACTTGAATATCCTATAAAATCCCTGGGATATTATAGCAAATATGACTTGAATATCCTATAAAATCCCTGGGATATTATAGCAAATATGACTTGAATATCCTATAAAATCCCTGGGATATTATAGCAAATATGACTTGAATATCCTATAAAATCCCTGGGATATTATAGCAAATATGACTTGAATATCCTATAAAATCCCTGGGATATTATAGCAAATATGACTTGAATATCCTATAAAATCCCTGGGATATTATAGCAAATATGACTTGAATATCCTATAAAATCCCTGGGATATTATAGCAAATATGACTTGAATATCCTATAAAATCCCTGGGATATTATAGCAAATATGACTTGAATATCCTATAAAATCCCTGGGATATTATAGCAAATATGACTTGAATATCCTATAAAATCCCAAGGATATTATAGCAAATATGACTTGAATATCCTATAAAATCCCTGGGATATTATAGCAAATATGACTTGAATATCCTATAAAATCCCTGGGATATTATAGCAAATATGACTTGAATATCCTATAAAATCCCTGGGATATTATAGCAAATATGACTTGAATATCCTATAAAATCCCTGGGATATTACAACATCCCTGTTTATGAGATTTAACCCGACTGGAAAGTAAAACCTCACAATAGGTTTTAATGCCTATAAAAAGAAGTCTCTTACTTAATAGCGATCCCAATGAATAGGTTTATAAATCAAATCATGGACCTTCTGATCCAAGGTCAGACACGTTGTCCACATGACTAAAGAGATTAAGGCTTAGACAAGTCCAAGTTTACTACCCGGGTACCTGACCCCCTATAACCTGACCCTACCCAGGTCTCAAGAGTTGGGTACAAAATGTCTGATTGGCAATTGTTTTACCGCAGCCCGGGCAAAATGTATCAGATACATGTATCAAATGATCAGATCATGCATACACTGAAGATGACTGAAGCTTTATCTTTACTCAAACCTATACACATCAAAAGGAATGTGTGCATCGTCAGAATGAAATTTGCAAACATGAGCGACTTGTAGTGTAACCACTGAGCTATAGTGAGTTTTTGTCATTAAACAATATATCCCGTGACTAACCACGGGTAGTCCTGTGGGTACCCAGATCATACTCAGGACCCACCCAACCCGAGTTCCCGAGTACATGAGTTACCTGTCCGAGCCCTATAAGAGATATACCCCGTCAGACAAGGGAAGGATGTCATCTGTGGGATGACTCAACGCACTGCCAAAATGTGACATACCTAAGTTGACAAGATCTTCTTTGACCTGGGCTGGACTCAAGCTCTTCTTCAGGGCACCTGTATAAAGGGAGATAATCACTTGATTCATATGTTCATTAGGCTAAATAAATAAATAGTGGTATTGGTTCTCAGGCTCCGCTCTCATCATCATAAAGTCCCCACACATTTCGATTTTATTTCCATTTACAAAAAAGAAATCCTTAAATATGACGGGTCTCGAACAAACGACCCCAACAGTGAAATGCTACAATACTTAAAAACAATCCAATCCAATATAGCCTGCAGCTCATACACGATTTCGCTGAAATAAATGCAAACATAATTAAATAGAATCTTAGAAAAAAGTAATATTATGGATTACAAACATAAGTCCAGATATACAATGAACTCTCTTGTAGCCAAAATATAGTGTAATAACAGGACTAACTTGTGTGCTTCAGTACGAGATTGTTGACATGCTTGTTCTGGTGTTGTGTGTTCGCGTTGTGAAATAAAATCAATGCTCATGGTATGTGTGTATTATGCACACACTGGAAGCCCAATGGAGTCAAATACTGTATTCCACTATTTTAGTCATCAAGGAAAACATTTTTGTACATCCCCAAGGTGATTGTAAACAACTGTTTATTTGATTACATACTTGTTTGAACACCCACCCAACCCCCCACTCCGCACTATTTATTTCAAAAGCCATTGTCTGAGAACCACATGTTTTATTTTTTAAGCCTTATGTATTCTAATACTTCTAATAGTGACCAACAAACAAATCTTAAATCCTCAGAAGGGTCTGTGGTCCAGTGTCTTTTAATGAACCTTACCTTGGAGATGGAAGTGTTCTGTTTGTACCTACAGTAACTACAGTACAGCCTAGTTATAATGCCATCTAGGGGCGGTCGGGTAGCCTAGTGGTTAAAGCGTTCGCTCGTCACGCCAAAGACCCGGGTTCGATTCCCGACATGGGTACAATGTGTGAAGCCCATTTCTGGTGTCCCCCGCCGTGATATTGCTGGAATATTGCTAAAAGCGGCGTAAAACCGTACTCACTCACTATAATGGCATCTTGGTATAGGTTTCCACACAATCAAATTGTACATAAACTGAAGCTGGGGATCTACTCTTAAGTGGTTTGTTGTACAAACAGTTTCATGATTAATGATTCTGTTATGTCCATTACATCATAAATATTATTAATCTTCAATGATCAATCACCTGATGAAGGCCTAAGCATATACTCCGAAATATCGTGTTCCTCATAATAAAGAAGTTGACATCCATAAGTTCTCTTCCTTTATGTGAATCACTTCTAAATGCCTTTCAAAGACTTAATAAATTTATATGATCACTGTTAATTTTGCCATTGAAAATTTATACCTCATGTTTCTAGTTTTGGAACTGACCTGTAGGGTTTAATGATAAAACATCACATGCTTTGTAATACAAATTTACAAGGAATCAGCCTTTCACATATTTCCCTCCAATAAATTATTATTGGGTTAATTACATTTTTGCAAAATTTGAAAATTTAAGAACATAACTCACTATTTGGCAATGAGAGGAGACTTTTGAAGACATTCTTCAGGGCGCCAGCTCCGACGCCATTTTGTTCTGCAAACTCATCAAGCTGTGACAATAGACGAGATGACTGGAAGGGAATAAACAGTATGAACAACCTGATAGAGTTACCATGGTTACATACAGAAAATATTTACACAGCTCATACATATTCCATAGGGTATCCTCCCAAAACGTAGACCTACCAAAACGCAGACCCGTTAAAACAACACTCGTTATGGCTGGTTGCATCAGTATTTAGTACCCTGTACCCTTGATTAAAATGGTATCACCCATGTAACAAGAAAGAAAGCTGGGAAGAGTTCACAATTTTTTATTCAAATGTTATTTCATTGTCATTTATGATTATCAGTCATTTCATCAGTGGACCAACTGCATCCAGGTACTGAAGGGGTGTCTTTTCACGGCGATGAAGCTGTTCCTTCTCTCTGTAGACAACCTTCCTGGGTGGCGGTACTGCTCCTAATTGAATCTGCGCTAGTTTTGCTCTCTCCAAAATTTCTACCTTCTGGATCAGTTCGATAAATCTGAAGATGTTTGGATGCTGGTGCTGGAGGGACTTGCCGATTCTGGAGTGGAAACCTTCTAGGTTGTTGTTTGTACGGGGCCCTTGTGTCGCATGGTATATCCACAGTTGAGGTGGGAACCGGGCATCGTCATCCACCCATGTCGTCCTGTACTTAGCATACGTATAGCCGTCTAGGAGAACTTGTGGGGCACCTTTCTGGGACAAGACATACTCAACTTTCGTAAGTCCGGCCATAGCTTAATTGGACGAGGTTGAGGCTCATGTTCAAATATATTTATTTAACCAGAAGTTTAATTACTCCAGTTCAAACCCCAAGTCTCATAACATT